AGTTCGCTGCTGTTGAGCGCCCTGAATGGCGTTCTACAGCAAAAGATATTTGGGTTACCATTACTTTAAAGCATCGAACATCGCTTAGTAGTTTGACCCGCTTACACGTATGTACAATATACCTATGCAGTGAGAAAACTGGTAATTCTTTCAATATACAATTGCAGAACTTTACCCAAAACCTTTCGTTAATTGTGAACTCTCATCCCAATGATTTATTTTTGATAATAGGTGACTTTAACCTAAGTCATATAGTCTGGCACGGTGAACCGAGTAACTTGCAGGCGAACGGGATTACTGGTACATCTCAAGCGTACTTTTTTGATACCTTATCTGAATGTGGCCTCAATCAATATAATCTTGCAAAAAACACAAATGGTAGAATACTCGATTACATAATATGTAACCACAGAGTAACTGTCGCGTCATGTAGCAACTCGTTGGTGCCTGAAGACTCTCACCATAAATCTTTAAATGTTACTATTAAGTTTTTGAAAGAATGTCATTTAAAGAGTAATCCCCGCTATAAATATTGTTATGAAAAAGGGGACTATAAAGCTATCAAATTATCACTGTGTAACATAAATTGGCATACATTGTAACAGTAATTTTTTTGGTATATTAGTAATGCGATAAAAGCGACACCTGTTGGCCGCATCGCTTTGTTGTTGATTTATCTAAAGTAGTTTGTAGCTACGGTATTGATCTCCTTTGTTCACTTTCGGACAACTAGATGGCGTTGGTTTGAGACATAATAGATTGATAAAAAGACTTCCTTTTTTAATCTGTTTTGTTATTCTGTCATGTCAAATTGTATAGGTGTTGAGAGTGTTCAGCTATGGTGGAAAGCAAGTTACTTTTGATTTTGTTAGCGTTGTTTTCTTTCTCAATTTAAATGTCAGAGTGAAATGATGAAGAGGGGTTAATTTCTGGAAGATTCCTGAACCGAGGATATATAAGTCCGGCTTTCTACCACGAGAGACACTCTGCTATCTCGTGTCTTTCAACCTTAAATAGTGTTTTGATTGTCGTGTAATTTGAATTTCGTAATATGTAGTCTGTTTAAATCTACCCACTAAAGTGGTATTATCTAAATTCTTCTTAAACCTATTTGTTTCTGGAACCTGATTAATTATATGAGTGCTAATCCATTCGTAGGGTCCCAGATTTCGGGGTCAAGACGGTCAGTCTCAGACGGCGTGCTTGCTCTTTTGTGACCTTCTGGTACAGACTCAAGTTTCTTGGTACCCTCTGGCAAAGCTGGTGATTGCGCGGCTCACGACGCAAGCGGACAGCCGTACCCAAGAGTTACGTACTTAAACTTATAATTGCAAATTGTTAAACTTTTATCCATATCTAATATAAATAGCCGACTCGGGCGGAAGAGGAAGTAACCTCCTGGAGGGACGACGAGGTGGCACCGAGCACCATCAGCTCGGCTCTAACGCGCTCCGCTGCAGTTTTTTTTTTCTTTCTTGTACCCACACTAAATAATTTATTTAATTTCTCATTGTAAATTTGAACTACTTTTTTTTTTGAAATATACATGTATGTATAACTGAGGTGTAAGTTGTTTTCCTCTAAAGAGTCCCATAGGTTTCCCACACGCACACACTTCTATTCTCATACAAGGCGCCCTGAGGGAATCTCTTGAATCTCTCCACTGGGTCAGCCGGTGAGTAGTCCGCCTGAGAAGAAAAGCGGCTACAACATGTTCAAACAATATCGCTTTAGAGGACGCAGTAGATACATTTTATAAACACCTTTATGACGTCATAGATCAATCGATACCCCAAAAAGTAATTTCCTCTAATTCTTTTCCACCGTGGTACTGCAGTCCTTCCAGTTCCAAAAATATAAATTTTATAAAAAATATCAAATTTATGGTAATTCTAGTGACTACAACACATTTTGCCTTCTTCGGTCGTTTGTATTCCGTGTGGTGACGGATTCCGTGTGGTGATGGATTAAGAATACAAATTGTCACCACCCCAATTCATCCCGTGGGTGTCGTAAGAGCCGACTAAGGGAGCAAACTAAGCAGGACAACCGCACTGCAAAGAGAAGGAAAACTTGAAACAAACCCTATACCAACCCGTCTGGCCAGCGTGGTATAGTAGGCCAAAACCTCCTTTCTAGGGAGAGGCCTGTGTCCAGCAGTGGACTACTATAGACTGTTGATGATGTGATGTGATATCTCGCTCTGAAGATGCAATAATTAAATGCCCCAAGCATTTCTGGTCCTATGTTAAATCAAATAGAAATGGATCCAATTCACTACCCTCGACAATTTGCTATAATGGTCGGTCAGCCGACACAGGTGTTGAAATATGTAATCTTTTTGCTGCACACTTTTACTCCAACTTTCTTCCGCCGTCGGCGTCTTCCTTACCAAGTCCTGTGTCTTACAATGACGTACCAAATTGTATAGGTGATATAGTGTCCGTGTAGTGACGGATTAAGAATACGGAATGTCACTACCCCAATTCATCCCGTGGGTGTCGTAAGAGTCGACTAAGGGCGCAAAACAACGCAGGACACCAGCTCTGCAAAAAGAAGGAAAACTTGTCACAAACCCTATACCAACCCGTCTGGCCAGCGTGGTATAGTAGGCCAAAACCTCCTTTCTAAGGAGAGGCCTATGTTCAGCAGTGGACTATTACAGGCTGATGATGTGATGTGATGTGATGATATAGTGGTTGATGCTGATGCAGTTCTGAAACTACTTCAACCTCTCGATCTATCGAAAGGGGCGGGTCCCGATAAAATTGTACCCCTATTTATTGTTAAATGTGCTGCATGCTTAGTCGAGCCTCTTACCATACTGTATAAAAGGTCGATTTCAGAGGGACTAGTACCTAGAATTTGGAAGTCAGCATTTATCACCCCTATACACAAGAACGGCAACAAAAATGATGCTAAAAATTACAGGCCTATTTCAAAGTTATGTGTTTTTGCAAAGGTGTTGGAGAAGATTGTGTATTCACAACTTTATGAAGCAGTTACCTCAATAATAATTTCTGAACAGCATGGCTTCCTTAGAGAACGATCAACTTTATCAAATTTAATACTTTTTACGGACTTTACGACATCAAACATGGATGGCGGTGGACAGGTAGATGCAATTTTCACTGACTACAGTAAAGCATTTGACCGCATTGACCATAAAATACTTTTACAGAAACTACTTTTTGCGGGAGTCCACGGCAACCTTTACCGGTGGTTTGCTTCATATATTGAGAATCGATGTCAGGCAGTAGTACTAAGGGGGTTCTGTTCCACCTGGTGCAACGTCTCTTCTGGCGTGCCGCAAGGCTCATTACTCGGACCACTTCTTTTTAATTTATTCATAAATGACGTCGGCCAATGTATAAAATATTCAAAATTTGTGCTTTATGCCGACGATATGAAGATATTCAAAAACATTACTTGCATAAATGACTGTCGCCAACTTCAGGAAGACTTGGATAGATTTGAACACTATTGCTTGGTTAATAAATTAGATTTAAATGTTAATAAATGTCACTTCATTACCTTCACTCGCAAAGCCAAAAAAAATAATTTTACGTATTCTATTAGGGGTCATGTGTGGATGAGGTCCGAGACCTGGGAGTTATTCACGACTCCAAGTTAACATATGAAAAACATATAGATTATATTGCTAAAAAGGCTAGTAGTATTGGGTTTTGTTCTCTGGTCTGGTTCTCAATTTAAAAATTTGAAAGTGTTAAAAGTGCTATATTGCTCGCTGGTGCGTAGTGTCCTCGAGTATTGCTCGCAAGTGTGGAATCCACGATACAACGTTCACAGGGAAAGACTGGAATCTATACAGCGTAGGTTTCTAAAGCATCTGCAATACAAGTCTAAGTGTTACGACCCAACTTATGAAGCGCGCTGTCGAAGACATCATATCTTACCATTGTGTGAAAGAAGGAGGATTTCAGATGTCACTTGTCTTGTCAAAATTTCTCCGAACGTTATTGATTCACCTACCTTATTATCCAAAATCAACCTTAAAGTACCAAACAGGATGACTAGACAACATGTATATCTAGATGTTCCTCATTGTTTGTCAAACTATGGGCAGAACTCATTCTTTGTCAGAGCTGCAAGAGAAATTAACGGACTGGTTGGTTTGCCACAATTAGATTTGTTTAATACTAAACCATACCAATTTAGCAGAGTATTAACAGATGCATGGTTCTCGGGCTAATATTATTGAACTGTATAACTTTTGTTTATTTTGTTACCATTTCGGTTTTTGTTGCTTTAGTTTTCTCATTTTATTTATCTTTTACATTTATTATAATTGCACGGTTCTTTTAATTATTAGTATGTTGTTAAAACATCATAAGCTGTTTAGATGTATAACTGCGAAAACATGTAAATGGTGGATAGTGTTAACACATGTTGTATCCTTTGTTATATGCACTGTATGTTTTCCGAACAAAATAAATATATATATATATATATAGCTAACATGCCCTACATAATAATTAAAAAATACTAGATTTACTGTTAAATAGCGTCTAACGTTTAACCTACCTATCTAGAAACCCTAACCTACGTACGCAAATATCTAATGATAAATCACAGTTCACTGTGATTTTGTCCACTACTGACAAGACAACTGAAACTGACAATACTTTGCTCTGTGGTTCGTTCGTTCGTTCGTAATTTATTGTAATCGCAGTGAAAAGTGGAACCCAATTTTGTCATTATTTGTGCAACTAAGCGCTACTATTTTTAATCTAATGTGATATTATCAATATTTTCTACGTACAATCCCAAAATAAATGTGTACAATTGTGCATTTATTATAAAATAAACTTGAGATTGTGTCTATGAAAAAGATGCCTTTGTCCACTAATTTATGTATTTCCATAAGTTTGATTTCATTAATTTTTACGTGTGTAATAATATCAAGTGACAATTTTGCACATGCAAATGAGAATGAGGTTGAAAGCATTACGAAAATTGGACAGGGTGTAGGACATATCATGAACATTTATTACTGGTGAGGTTATTTTATCAGTATGTAAATTATAGTTAATTTTATTGTGATATAACCAGTCGTCTCCACCATAATACCATTGTTACAGCTATTCATGTGGATATAGAAAAGTATTTGAAGACTATGCAGGTATAATACAGCAGAAATATCCTGATATTTCTGTAATTGGGGCCAATTATGATCCACCTGGTCTGAATATGTATTTGTCTAGATTAATTGTAAGTATAACTTCTTAAGTCAATTCAGTGATGCAATATATTATTATATCTAATCTTTGTACTTTATATGATTGAAAGTGAGACTACAACACTTGATAGTAACCTGATTAATTATGAACTGTGGATGAAACTCCTGGGAATGGCTAGTTTATCTAAAAATTCCTATAATGAATTCTATGCCTTAAGTCTAATGGCATTATTGTGATCCTTGTAGTATTTATTTATAATAGCATTATATGTGTTTAATTATGTTAAAATATAGAATGCAACCACCTCTTTTATAATCCCTAGAAACAATATCTAATAAAAACAACCAGCCTGTTTTTTTCCTATGGCACCTTGCAACAATATCTGTGAAAAAGTCTACCTGGTGACAGAAAGTTATAAATATTATAAATTATTATAGTTAATTCATATTGCTGCTGTTTAATTTATTTGGAAGTTTGTCACCAGTCTGTAGCTTAGTGGTACAACCAATAATACACCCTATCTGGATGACTATGCAGTAGCTCACTATGTAGGGATGTTGTACCTTGAGTGAGATAATTGGACCAATATGTTGTAGTAAAGATGACATTGTGTCAACATTATTTCAATTAGCAATGTTTTTATGACTTCTGTATAAACTTATCATGAGGTTTATATTTGAAGTCCTAATATATCATTTAGCTCTTTACTAAGTTTATTACATCGATATAAAAAGTAAGTTATATTTCAAATATACATTATACATTTTAATAAATTTTTGTTTTGCAGGGTTTTGGTAAAATGATACTTATCATGTGCATACTAAGTGGAGTAAATATTTTTGCTTGGTTAAATAAGCCGCAGCCCGCATGGTGGAGTTGGTGCCTTGAGAACAAATTATATGCATGTATGATGATGTTCTTTCTAGCCCAAATGATTGAGAGTCAGTTGGTCTCATCTGGAGCTTTTGAAATATCCCTCAACAACATTCCATTGTGGTCTAAATTGGACACAGGGAGGATTCCGCAGCCACCAGAACTATTTCAGATTATTGACAATACCTTGCAGTTCTCAAAAATGGATCTCCCCAATAATAATTTTGTACAGTAATGCTTTTTGAAAACACATGGGTATGGGATATATATATGGAGTATCATAGTCAAATCTAAATTTTAATATTTAGTATGAATGCTCATTGTAGACATTAATACCTTCTACTCATTGGAAGTTATATGTGTGATTATTATTAATTACCATACCTGTGTGTGTCCAACATCATCATAGAAAGTTCTTATGTACTTTATGTTACTATCAATGGAGAATATTCCTAAGCTATTTTCGAAGTTGAAATTGTTATTACTTTTAACTTAAATCTTTATTTACCTATTATATATGTTCAATAGTACAAATTGTGAACTTATAAGTTTAAAATAGTAACTTTCTACAACTTTAATTTCAGTAATGAAAGAATTTGGGTCTTGAAGTAATCACACATTCTTACTTTATAAATATATTTAATTAAATATTTAGATTGTAAAACAGAACTTTTATTTTCGCACTGTACTTACGCATAATAATGATTACTCTGTACCATATTTATAATAACTGAAAAAAGATTAAAGGCCTACATTTCAGTTAAAAGGCATTAGAATAGTAATGCAATATGCAATTAATATGGTATTTAACATTCACTTTTGTTTTAATGGTAAAATTATAGAGCTGTCAATTGTGATTTAAATAATATTTACAAGAGACAATGGTGCTAATTCTGTTGTTCAAAAACTCTCTAAACTAAAAATCCAAACAAAAATGTTTGTCCTGTCAAATATTACGTTTTCAGAATAGGAAACGTTGTTTGACAGAACTAAACAATTTTTTTGTGATTTTTAGTTTAGAGAGTTTTCGAACAACAGAATTAGCACCAATACATAGGTAACCTACTACCGAATGACTCTTAGTAAATTAATGGTATAAATCGTTAACCTCTAAATTGACCCCATAAAGGGGAAGAATCTAACTGATGTTTTAAAATTATCTTTTCTTTGATAAAGCATTTTCATTTAGACAACATTCTAAAGAGAAGTTACTCTTTGTTTCCTTTCAGCGTTACATATATACCTAATAATGATTGTTGAGCTGATAATGATTGTTGAACAGAATCAGAGGCGTAGCATGGACTAACATAGGCGTGGGCGAAGTCACATCAGCCCCTTTTCTATCGTTTACAACTGTTTTACCGAACATGCTTTGACACGACAAACCTACTCATGATAGGAAAAACAAAGGGCAATGACAGAATATGAGAAAGCATATAGATTAAAAAAAAAGTTCAATTTGTAACTTGCGTGATTTTAATTTCTTGCCTTGTAATTTTTTTTGGTGCAACAACATTCACAGCAGAAAAGAAAGCGCAGATAAGGTTAGGGGTTTGAAGTTTGAACTTGCTTCGAACCTTCGAAAATAAAAACCCTAGATATATGGCCTACGCATGCGCAAACGTACCACGCGCCTTCGGCAATTGACTGATTACGTTTTATTTGTTTGTTGCAATAGCTATTGCATTTTATGAAATTCTAATGATAGTGCAGTTAGTTTCGAGTAGGGTGCAGTTTTTCCACTGTGCAAAAAGTACGAAATTCGAAGTATTTCAAGTGATATAGACGGTGTAGCAGGTAGTATCTTTATTTATTTTTTACTCGTAAACTAAGAGGGTGCTGTTTTAATAATAAATAATTTTGGAAAGTGCTATTTAAGATACGTCGATTGGTATTTTGTTTTATATATCTCAAATTTACAGGCTGGTACGGGGGGTAACGGCGGTCGCGACACAGAAAAGTATGGCATGAGTAGTGATGTTTGAATAAGTTGTCGATGTTTACTTATGTAAATGGAAAACCATAATGTGAAAACTAAAGTAATTTGTATATAATATTTTTTAAATTCATTTAAATATATTGAAAAAAAGAAACTTTTTTTATGTTCTTTAGTTGCTACTGATGTACGATTACATTTGTGTGCAACACGGGGTTATATGCTAGGCAATTTACCTGCCATCATTTTTCAAGCTCACAGAACTAGTTGACGCTTTAAGCCGGTGTAACCTTTAAAAGTTAGTTTTTTGATCAATTCATTTTTTAATATTACGTGCCCAACTAGACTATCTCAGTGCCTAAATGCATGATTATGGTAATCGAAATCAGGATGAACTATAAATGTGCCTGATTCTGAAAATCAACATGAGCCAAGTTTTATTCCTCCGTAAAAAAATGAAATGCAGTGGACGCTTTAAGACGTCATACGCGTCCTGATCATGTTATTGTATGACTTAATGCGTCCTTGGCGGCAAACGGGTTAGATGAAATAAAGGCGTGATTGGATCATAGCCAACCTTCAGAGGAAAGAAGCTAATCTTAATCATAGAAGCTTATCTCGCCGTAATGTATGTACTGTACACGCATAACTCAGAACGACTGCAACAAATGTCTTGTTTTTTTTAAATGGGTACCCTAACCGTGTGAAGCCAGGCCGGGCAGCTAGTAAAAATGTTGGTTATTTTTTTAATATAGCTAATCAAAGTACTGGGCCAAAATTATCTATACAATTATGCCATTTTGATGACAGTTTGCCCTTGATGATGACCCTTAACTGTAGAGTCTGCTTGACGGGAGCCGATGAAGTCAGCGAAAGCGTTTTGTACTTGGTGTTAAATATTTGCTCACTTTGGGGAAGAGCGATTGAGCAGTCGTGGTTGTTGAAATGCGAGCTTCTCCATCATTGTTTGCAATTCTTGGCAATAGACATCTGCTATCATTGTTGTGCCATTTGGTAAGAAGCTGTGATGTACAAGTCCGGTACTGGTTCACCAGACAGTCACAGTACCCGGGTCCACCCACTTAGACTAACGCTTACGGTTGTCGTAAAGGATCCACTTTTCATTGCAGGTAACAATTCGATTAAGAATTCCCTCGTTTCTGTGCCGATTCAGTAGTGCTATGATTGTTTCGATGATGTCTCGCTCGCTTAGCTCTTGTGGCACCCACTTATCTAGCTTTTTTTATCTTTCCGATTTGATACAAGTGCTTCAATGTTTTTTGGACATTAACTCCTAAGCTCCTAGGCTCGTTCTTCAACTCAGTTTCCAGATCTAAAACGATTGAACCAATAACGGACCGAGTTTATGCAAGCAGGGTTAGTACACGTCGATAATGTTTCGTGTTGTTCGCGCAGCAGTATTCCCATGTCGGTATTCGAAAATTGTGCGAATTTTTACTTTACGAATATCCATAGCGCCAAAAGCTACCACAATTTCACAAAAACAAAATACTATCTAAAACAAATGACTGACTTTAAAATTAAAATAACATGGCTTTCGAATAAAATTTATTTGAATCATGAATTACGCGCCAATCCACAGATAATTAAATCTAAAAATGCTGGTTTTCAAAATCACCATTTTTATTGACAAAGACCTATTACTTACTATAAAAACGTGCAAGATCAGCCAATAATTAATGGATACGGATATATATCGTTTTTACCACGGATATTCACAATGTGGATCATCACTAATATGCATATAAATCCTAAAAGCAAAAGTGACGACAGTATAATAAAATTTAATTCTTCCTTTTTGCAATATAATCTAAAGTGAAATACCTAACAAACTAAGAAGAACTAGTTACGTGTCATCTTATTTATCTGTATGAGATACTGTTATTTAAATACTAACTAGACAAATATATTGTAAAGCAATGATAACAAGAAGATGGTAATATTATTTGTATCTTGTTTAAGTTTTTTGTTTTATAGACAATTCCCGCGCTGGGAATAAATCCTGTCCCATCGCGGTGGACTTTGCAAACACACATGAAATTGACACGAAGAACACCTGTTCATCTCGTTTAAGTTGTAATGTTTAATTTCAGCTAAGTATATGTGCTACATCAAAAACCCGTATCGCTTAACATTATAAGTAGGTTTTAACATACATTCCTTTTTACGAAACATTATAACAACAGCAATCAATTAGATATGTAAAAAGAAGATAAATTTCTAATAGTGACCAAATAGAAGTCATCAAATCCCAAAGGTTAATTCCTTTTAATTAATGTTTCAAATATTCATGAGAACGACATAGTGTCCTCGTGATTAACATATCTTACGACAGTTGAGCATGACACATAGGACAGGAGTGACGTAAGACGAGTTCATGTTGTTGCGCGTGCGCTCCACATGTGTTGCACGTCCACACTGTATGTAGCGCTACTAGCGCCCGTCCAGAAACCGCGCATTCTGGGAACTCAGTTCCACATCCTGGGCAAGTGGACATCCTAAAAAGAAATGTTATATAGTGATGAGTTACATAGAACATAATTGCTGAAATAAGATAACAAAACCGTAACGATTACACAGTAGGTAACCAGTTATGTAAGATATCCTGATATAAGGATAACCGATATAAAGCTCACAGATTAAGGATTAGGATCCCTTTATTACTCTTGGTTATAATTATTTTATCTTAAGTTAACACTCTTTTAAATTTTTTTAAACTTTCTTGACCTGGTGAGGACAATACAACTACATACATGTATGAATATGAAACTAGGTGAAAAGTTACTTTTAATGAATTTTAAGGGAGAATAGGAGAGAACTTACAGCTCCTGACATTACAGTCGAAGACTGCTGTCGCAACAATAGTTTGTCCACACTATACCACGTAAGTGCTTGTGGCATCCCTAATTACTAAAAAATACTTACCATTCAGGCATACTAACTTCACAACTTGAGCACTCGATGTGGTTTCCTTTAGCATCTTTAGGTTTGAATCTTGTAAATATCTCAATTGCTAAATTTTCGAATGTATCAGACTGAAAAAAGGTACATTACAAAAGTACGAAATTAGATTACTAGGTATTTATATCCACAGATGGCAAATTGCAAGCAAATTAGTATTTTGCAAAACAAATTTTATTTAATAGCTGTATCCTGCAACGCTCTGCTGCGGCACAGCGTGTTCGCAACGCGAAAGATTGTTAAAAACCATCTTAGAAGCGGGTTGTATGATGTGTCCAAATTTTAACTCAATAGGTGCATAACTTTCTGAGTTTTTGAAGCGTACACAAACCAACTTAACATTTTTATATATACAGGGTTAGTCGATGTAGATACTTTATGGAGTTATAGTAGGCATTATTACTTATTAATAGATTTCAATATAATAAATAATAAATAAATAATATTGTACCACATTCACACAACGCCATCTAGTCCCAAACTAAGCAGAGCTTGTACTATGGATACTAGACAACTGATATAAATACATATGTACTTCAATATAATATAATAATACTTCAATATAAAACACCATAACCCAAACCAATTAAGTTTTTTTTATAAAATAGGCCAAATTTTGCCTAATACGAGTACAATTTTGATCAAACTTATAAATATCCCCATTATTTATTTCACAACTATAAATATATAATAAAGATTTCCATTACTAAAATTGTTGCTAACTGGGTCAAAGTAGATGGTTCATGATAGCAAAATTAAATTCATTTTGTATAAAATAGTTTTTTATTAAGCAATATTAAAAAAAATCGTATTGTCAGCTTTCTTACAAAATTGTTGAACAGAGAGAGAGAATTAGCGTATAACTCGGTAGCACCTAGTAAAAAACGGCTTGTATTTTTGGCCCGTTTCCTTTAGGTACTATTAGCGACTAACTATTTCTGACTGGATTTTAATTTGTGCTACGAATTTTGTTGAAGATGACGAACTGTACGAACGCTGAATATTCTGATTTGTTACGAATACTGACAATGCGAACCCACTTATTACGATAATTAAAATCCAGTCATTCTTTTACACTTCTGTAATGCGCAGGTCAATCATCATGCTAAAACTAGATGCCACGAATGAAATTAAATGGTAAATCATCAAGTAAGTTAGTTAAATTTTGTACCTTAAAAGTTTTCGAACTGTTTTCGGGACGAAAAAAGATCCATTTCTAGTTTAGTTTAGAGAATTTTCGAACAACAGAATTAGCACCAATATCCCTCTACACATTTGGGTCTTTGTGAACCCTTTATCTGCCTATTATCAGGATTTTTCAGTGATTTTGGCGCTCAGTAATTGATGCTATAGTAATTGGTTATACCGTTTTTATCTAATTTGAACTTCTCTGTCCACGATATACATATGTCTCAGAAATAATATAAGAGGTCTTCAAAGGATCTCTTTCTTCAGTATAGTATAGGCACAGCCCCGCAACAACACTTTCCACTGAGAGGCTTAGTTCTTAGGGTTAGGCAAATCGGGAGACAAAATCATATTATAGTACACACAGGCCCACAGTACAAGGGAATTTATATATTTTTGTATTTTTTTAAGTAATTTATCTTCTTTAGATAGAGGGGCGCCACTATTAAGTTTCTGCCCCGGTTCTCAAAAATTCGTAGATCCGGGGCTGCCTACAACCTCTTACAAGTACTTAGGTCGAATTAACCAGACAGATGAATAGGTAGGTAGGTAGGTGGAATTCTTAGCTCCAGTGGTGGCTATTTCGACCAACATTTCGTAGGATCTACAAATATGTATTTCGGGGTTTGAGTGTTTAATATGTATTATGTGCATGTATTTACAAAAAAAAGGTAATCAAACTAGCTTTCATAATACAAGCTCTGTTTTGTTTGAAACTAAGTGGCGTTGTGTGTCAGATGTCTGAAAATAATATTATTATTAACATATTATTTGTAGAGAAACAGGTCACACTAACTCAAACGGAGGCTACCCTTGAGGTGCTCAACAAATAAAACTTGCTAATGGACTACCATTAGGTAGTTTTTCCCATTCCAAATCATTTTGAGAGAAGTTCTCTATTTTATGATATCGCAAACGAGCAGATAGGTCACCTGACGGAAAGTGACTACCGCCGCTTGCACCTGGAACTCAAAAGTCAGAGTTTTGGAGAGCAGTTAGGCCTTCGGCAACCACTATCGATGATGAGTAGATAGGTAAGCATTGCGAAAAAGCGGTTAATAGGGAATATGCATGTATTTTTTTATTTTTTTTTAACGATTCTACAAGTTATTACATTACCAAAAATAAATATAACACATCCGAAATATAAATCGTTAAGCAAAAAAATTTTTATTGAAATCACTATCATTTTGGGGCAATTTGAACACGTCCATTTTAGCACGCTTTTTTTGTGACGTCAGATTACACTTTCAGACGAATTCGATGTCAACAACGGAGTGAAGTTCACAAAGTTTCTAAAAGTTCAAAAAGTGAGTGATAAAAATTAACTTATTACCATGGAAAGCCAATAAAAACTCATTATAAATATTGTGCCGTTCCTTTGTGCCCAAATAAAATCAAAACTGCTCCGGACAAAGTATATTCAGTCATTGTGTTGAGTCTTTCTACACGGGAATTTAATAATTTAACACTGAAAACGTATTAGTTATTAACTTAAACGAAACAAATAATCACCAGAAACCAAATATTACAAATACACACAACTTGTTGACACTCTTGACAGTGTAGGTTGACGTCACGTTTTATTCAACCAATAGCGTTGCGTTTTAGAAATTTGCGAGGGAATCTTAAAAAAGCCAATTTTTGATGATTAAATTTCACTATTAAACCATAATAAATTTCAAAAATAATTGTATGGGTATCTTTTCTTAGCAATAAAAATTACAAATAAAAATATTTTGTCCATTTTGGTGTCACGTGCATATTCCCTATTGTGTTGACGTCCGAGCCCAGTTATACGTGCCGAAGAATGGTTTTTCCACGGTAAATCTAGCTTATTCAACAGTTCAGTACTCACATCAACTGCTTCCAATTTGATTAGGGCCTTTGAACATAGTTCAAACGCTCGTGCTTGAATAGCTATCGATGCTATTGTACACCAAACCTAAAACAATCACAAAATTAGATGTGACTGAATATGGACTCTTATTTACTCAGTAGACACATGTACCTCTGCCGTCCTTACAATTTTAACGACTTATTAAATTGTAAGATCTTTGAACTGAAAGGCTGGACCGATTTTAATGGTTTTTATGTGTGCGCTCAAGTGGATTCGAGAATGGTTTCAATTCACAATTCAGTAATATTTAATTTAAAAAAATATAGCGGTACGAAGTTCGCCGGGTGAGCTAGTATATTTATAATATATAAGTTAATTAATAAAGGGTAACGTAATGTAACATCAACAAGCAAACATAATATACGAAGCCAAGAATAATTCGCAAAAAGTTTATCGGCTATGGTCTCGATAATCAACAGTTTATTGACCAACGAGAGAAAATTCCGAAGGCGAACACTAATCTCTCCTTCCAAATTTAAATTCTTACTGAATAACTTGCTACGAGGAAAACCGGCTGGGTGTCCCTTTAATATCACATTTAGGAGAAAATCAGTGCATATGTCGATCTTATTTTATGGTACCTGGATCTGCTGCGCTTCGTGCAGCAAATGGTGGTGGTGCGCGAGGCGGGCGGCGGCGCGCAGCGCGGCGTCGTGTCGCGGCGGGCACGAGCGCGCGCGCGCCGCCGCCGCCGCCGCCCAGTGCGCCGCCGCCGCGCGCCGCCAGCACCGCACCGCCTCGCGCCCGCGCGCCCCTTCTGCACACAATCATATGTAAACGCCCCCCGCTCACTCTTTGGACGCCTCCATGCAATACCGATTCCCCGAACGTAAATCTCTTGCCCGGTAAACAGAAGAGAGAAGATTAGGGAATCCCCACACGCGCCCGCCCGCGAGTGATTCAAATTAAGCATAGTTTCTATAGTAACGCGAAGCTTTGCTTTTAGTTTCGAAACTGATCATATGATGATATATATGTCATTATTATGATTATGCCACAATAAAAATATACTAGAAATGCATTTTCGCCACGCCCTTGAAAATGCCGTCCTCGTGCGGTGCACGCCGTGCAAGCTCGTACCCGGCGGGTCTGCATACATCGATAAAATAATAATAGGTATATAAAACTAGAACTAACCTACTCCACCTTGACTGTATAAATGACCAGCCAGGATAAACAATTTCTTGATCTTCAAAGGTGATCCTTTCTTGGACGCCTCTAAAGTTGCCAACTGAAAAAAATAATGAACATGCACTATCGGTGTTCGTTACATACTTAATAATGGGGATCACGGCTAAAGCCACAGCCTATACATGTATCATATTATTATAGATTACATTATGATGTAATTTAAATAAATGGCAAGTCTCTAGAAACTACTACAGTCAGTCAAAAAAAGTATCGGGAATGGATGATTTGTTTATTTATGGTTCCAAATTCAAATTTTTGTTTTTTTTTTGTTGTTGTTAGATTGGCACAACTGTTTTCCATTTTGGCGCGGAGTTTGAGTTGCATCTGTTATTTATATTAAATACATTGCTGTTTTTAGTTATATCATATCTAGTGTGTATTGAGAATTTCATAATGAACAAAAACATTTATCTTAAATTTTGCATCGCCAATGAAATTTCGTGTTCGGAGTCACTTTGGTCGACTTTATCAAAAACACCTGCTTATGAGTGGTACAAAGCGGTCGAGATGTGATGGAAGATTTGCCTCGCTTTGGTAGGCCATCAACGTCTGCAACTGAAGTTCACATCACAAAAGTGAAGGAAATAGTTACTGAAAATCCTCATTCAACTTTCTGTATCTCACGAATCGATCCATTTTAACTAATCATTTGTGTATAAAACATGTTCCGCTAAGCTAGTCCCAAAAGACCTGAATTTTCTCCAAAAACTCAATGAGAGTCGCTGAGGACATGCTAGAACGAGTCAATTCCGACCCAACATTCCTGAAACGCATTGTTACTGGTGACAAGACGTAGGTTTACGAGTTTGACATGCAAACTAGTCAACAAGCTTCGGAGTGGTGCCTTCCGACTGAACCGAAACCGAAAAAACCACGCCATAGTCGATCAAAAGCAAAGTCATGTTGACTGTTTTCTTTGACTATCGCGGTGTTGTGCACTCGGAATTCTTGCCGGAAGGTCAAACGGTAAATAAATAATATTATTTGAGCGTTATGCGGCATTTAAGAGAGCAAATTCGACGAAAAAGGCCAGATTTGTAAAAAGAAAATTCTTGGATTTTGCACCACGATAATGTGCCTTCGCACAAGGCCATCGTTGTGAACGAATTTTTTATCAAACGCTCAACAAATACCATCGAGCAACCACCATATTCACCAGATATGGCTCCAGTCGACTTCTTTCTTTTTCCTAAACTCAAATTACCACTTCGTGGCACCCGTTTTCAGTCGGTAAAAGACATAAAGGAGAAATCGGCGGCGAGAACTGAACTCAATTCCGGAAACAGCGTTTAAAAATGTTTTGATGATTGAATTATTCGTTGGCGTAAGTGTATCGTTGCTTAAGGAGCATATCTTGAAGGTGATAAAATAAAGAACAATGGCGAAGTAGTAGTTGAGTATAATTTGAGCGTCTTAAAATGTCATTCACAGGAAACTAATTCTAGTAAATATCTACGTTTTTTGAAACTATCACCTAAGTCAGTAATACCCCAGGAAAAGAAAGAAAAATATTATAAGCTTATTTGATGTTTTTAATTTCCTTTATCAGTTTAGTGTTACCATTTTATAGACCATTTTATATATATATTTTCATGTAGTGGAAATACTGTCCAATAAAGTATCATAATATGGTAATCACTTCATAGTTATATGGTAATCAGATAATAGTTTTATTATTCTAAGTACTGAATCAATAAATAATATAGTTTGTGGTGCGTTATTAAAAGCATTGTTTACGAATTTAAAAATCCTGTAGTGGAATATAAGGAAGTAAAAAAAATAGTGGCAACTGCAAGCTGAAAAAAAAGCAATGGTTTTTTAACAACTCTTTACAGATGTTTGGGCTCTGTGTTTAAAAATAAAGACTAAACGTCTGACACGAATGGCCGCCGCCGATTATATTAGTTTCGTTTTTGAATTTACAATTCATTACATGCTGCAATAGGTAATAAATTAAGGAAAAGGAATATACTTATTGGATATTATATATGCGGATGTACATCCAATATCCAATTATACTCATGTAATTAATATTAAGTCATTATATCCAATTATATTCCAATTAAATAAATATACTTATGTATAAGATGATTATTTCATGCATCAGACACATTAAAAGTGACATATAAATCGTAACCTACGAAAGTTCTACAGCTAGTATACTATAATAATTCTTTATTATCTTTTTTTATTTAAATGGCACATATTATTCAGTTATAATTATCAAAAGTTATGTAAAGTCGATAACCATAGACAAATTAATAAAATAAATTAAACATTAAGTACCTACCTATGTTATAAAATACTTTATCTATGGACTCATTTAAAGACAGTCCATAGCAGTGCGTAACTGAAAACATTAAATGCTAATATCTTTTTTCCTACCCTTTTCCAAACAAAAATTGTTTTTTACGTAGATTCTAAAAAATTTTTAAAGAATTTTTTAATATTTTTTTCACTACAAGACGGTGCAATTTGATTCCAAATATTTTTTTGTATGGAGACCCGCCATTGTTCTTTGGATGAACAACAAACATTTTGTGTATTATTTTGTGTATCTTTTTCCGGTACTTTCTTGACAGAGTAGTATATTACAATTGAAGATAATACGGCCAAATAATATGACCCGAATGCTAGAACTTATTATACGGGGATCTAAGTCATAAATATATTAGAAATACATAAACTTAAGCGCTTTAATAAAAACCTGCCTACGAGTTATGGCTCAGTATCAGAGGCGTTACATATTTATTATGTCCAAACCTGTTATTATTTAAGCTTCAGAACAAGGCGTTAAATACAGTAGTGTTTTGCTACTGTAAATCATTACAATACAACATGAACTGAAAGTTATTGTCATAAAACTTACTTGAAAAGCCATTTCTGCAGCTTGTATTAATCTTCCACTTTCTTTCAATTGCATAATACCTTGTATTGAAGGCTCATTGCTGATATTGTAGCTAGAGTCATCTATAGCATTTTGTTTCTGAGCGCCAAATTCCTGTTGCATAAATTTTTTTTACGCATTAACCTACAAGTTACTAACTTTTTTTTATTGTATTTCAAGTTACGTTGTGACTAGCTACTAGTACACTTTATATCAAAAGGAATTACGCAAGTGAGCAGATACACAGTTTCAAAGTCACATGTAAAATGTACCGCTACATGTCAAAGAAATAAGTTATGATAATAACAATATTTTGGACATCTGACACATAATTTCAAATCCATCCATCCATCTAGTTTCAAACTAGGCAGAGCTTGTACTATGGAAGCTAACTGGCTGATAAAATACTTATATACTTTTTTGTAAATATATAATTACATACATATATGTATTTACAGTACATGTATTTACATAGTTTACGTAGCAGTTTCAAACGAATCAGATAGAGTACTTGCCAGATTACAGTTACTTCATAAACTTCAGTGTTAAATGTTACCTTGGATGCTTTTGGAGAACCTGTGAACAATTTGGCCAGGCTCTCGTTATCTTCAAGTGCCATGTGGCATTTTTTCAATCCTTCTGTATTATTTGACATAGAGTAGTATTCCAGGGCACCGGTCCTATAAAATCCACATGATTCACTTAGTATTTAAAAGCTGTAATTTTGTATGGATAAATCTATACTAATATTATAAAGCTGAAGAGTTTGTTTGTTTGTTTGTTTGTTTGAACGCGCTAATCTCAGGAACTACTGGTCCGATTTGAAAAATTCTTTCAGTGTTAGATAGCCCATTTATCGAGGAAGGCTATAGGCTATATATCATCACGCTAAGACCAATAGGAGCGGAGCACCAATGAAGAATGTTTCAAAAACGGAGAAAATTTATTACTATTGAGAGACGCAGACGAAGTTGCGCGGGTCAGCTAGTATTATATACGTATACAGGGTTACAAGAAAAGTCGTGCTAGATCCGTTAAGGGCGTGGAGTACCCATCATTTCTGACATATTTCACTATGAAACACCCTAACCTAAACTTAACCCTTTTCGAGATAATCGTCTTTTAATTTTTTTATTGAAATTTGCTGATTTTTAGGCTACTACATTTATTTTTGTTCATTTTGTGTATCTTATTATTATTTTTGCTATTTTACATGTGTAATAAGATGCTTTAGGACGTCAGTCATTAAAATAGTTCATAAGTTAATTGAATAGATCGTAGTAGACAAGTGAAAGTACAGAAATAAAAAAAATTACTAGAAAATTATTTTTCTCTAACGGATATCTAAAAACAATATTATGGTAATTGCTCGGCAGATGTTTTTTAAAATATCTACGTTTCATCAGCTATCTAACGAGGTATAACAATCTAGGGTTTGTATTACATTTCGTGGAAAAAAAGTAGTGGGGACGCTCCAGGTAACAGTTCTAACGGTCCCGCGTCCTGTCCCTGTCGCCCTTGTCCTTCAAGTTAAGACGCACCAAGCGAGCGAGACAAGTGACGATTTATGTAGGTGCGAATGAAAGAAAAAATGTGTAGAGACCGGTTAGGGCTGGGAATACAACAGGGGGCATTGTTTGGTTGTCACTAGTTGTCAGTCTGCTTTTGTGCTTCGTACATAGTAGATGTGATATCGTTTTGCTCTTTTTCTCGACTTGGCTGTGATTCTGGACTATTTCTTCTGATTTGTGACTACTGTGCTTGTTAACCGGACTCTGATTTGTACCTGTGATACGGAAGTGTTGAAGATGACCTCCTACACACCTGAGGAATATGCTGATATGCTTATTTGTTACGGATACTGCGATTGTGTGTCTGCGCAAGCTCGCAACGAATACATAACTCGCTACCCTGGTCGTCGAGTGCCGGATGTGGCCGTTTTTGACAGAGTTTATCGAAGACTTCGAGAAACTGGCTCTGTTTTGAGACGAAATACAGACATGGGAAGACCACGAATTGACGACGAAGAACAGGACAATGAGATAGTGCAACGCTTTCGAGCGGATCCGACTACTTCCACTAATATTGTTGCCCGTGATCTGGGACTTTCACAATGGAGAGTGTGGTTTACAGTGCATACTGCTGGCCTATACCCGTACCATTACACGCCGGTACACGTTATTGAAGAAGGAGACCGAGCGAGAAGATTGGACTTTTGCAGATTTATGCTAAATTCTGACGTAGAAGACCCAGATTTTCTAAGAAATATCTTGTGGACGGATGAGTCCAAATTTGATAAAGATGGCATAACTAACTATCACAACGCCCATTACTAGGCCCCAAAAGAACTAAGGAATCCCAATAAGAAAAGAGTGAAGGGGTCCCAACGAAGATTCAGCGTGAATGTGTGGATGGGCATTATCTCCAATCATTTGATTGGACCTTACTTTCTCCCGGATAATCTAAATGGGGAAAGCTACGAAAATTTCCTGAGAGCAGACTTGAGTGATGTGCTGGATGATCTGCCACTCAACCTGATCAGGGACATGTGGTTCCAACACGATGGCTGCCCTGCCCATTTCAGGAGAAGTGTCAGGGAGTGGCTGGACACAAATTATCCAAACAAATGGATAGGACGAGGTGGGCCGTTGCCATGGCCAGCAAGAAGTCCGGACCTAACCCCCATGGATTTTCATGTGTGCATGAAAAGTCTTGTGTATAGCGAGCCGAATCCAGTTTCGTCTGTGGAAGACTTACGAGAAAGGATTGTGGATGCAGCAAATAAAATGAGGACCACGTTGACCACTGGAGTAGTTAAGACTGGTCTCCGTAGAAGGATGCGACAATGTATCAGAAATAGAGGCGGCCATGTTGAACATGAACTGTAGAATAAGAAAAAGGTGTGTGAAAACCTTTAATAAATGACATTTCATGCTTAACTATTGTTTTATTTTACTTTTTTGGGCTAAGTATAAATTTTCTTCTCTACTGTCGCCTATGAAACTAAAGTTTTTTCAATGCATTTGAATAAAACCTTAGATTATTATACCTCGTTAGATAGCTGATGAAACGTAGTAATTTTAAAAAACATCTGCCGAACAATTACCATAATATTGTTTTTAGATATCCGTTAGAGAAAATTAATTTTCTAATATATTTTTTTTCTTTACTTTCACTTGTCTACTACGATCTATTCAATTAACTTATGAACTATTTTAATGACTGACGTCCTAAAGCATCTTATTACACATGTAAAAATGCAAAAATAATAATAATAAGATACACAAAATGAACAAAAATAAATGTAGTAGCCTAAAAATCAGCAAATTTCAATAAAAAAATTAAAAGACGATTATCTCGAAAAGGGTTAAGTTTAGGGTAGGGTGTTTCATAGTGAAATATGTCAGAAATGATGGGTACTCCACGCCCTTAACGGATCTAGCACGACTTTTCTTGTAACCCTGTATATAGGCCACAAGGGGGTGAAATAAAATGTTGAAAAAATAATAGTTGTGGGTACGTCACTTGTAGATGTATTTTTTATGATACAGGAAGGTAAACAAGCAGATAGGTCTCTCATCACTCATCAACAGCCTTTACTAGTCCACTGCTGGACCTAGGCCTCTCTTTAGAAAAGAGGCTTTGGCGTACTATACCATGCTGGTCAAACGGGTTGGTATAGGGTTTGTGTCAAGTTTTCCTTCTCTTTGCCAGGGGCGTGCGCTCCTTGAAAGCAGAAATGCAGTGCTTTACTTGCTATTCACAGACATTTTAATAAAACTTTCGTACGTTTTAGATGACTTTAATTAATAGTAAATAAATGAATAAACAAAATATATTAACTTAAAAACGCTTACTATTTAAAAATAGCACCTACATTTGCAAGCACAAACATTATGTTTGCCAGGCGTTTACCGACAAGCAAGCGGCGCTGTACCTAACCAACCAGCTCATGCCGTCGCGTCCCGCAGGACATTTGTTCGCATGTGTGTAGTAATTTTGGTGTCCGTGCACAGTTCGCAAACGCACACACCCATTTATTTTATTTCCCCGCCTCCAGCCGCAGGCTACTGAAGTTAGTTCGGCAGTTGTCGGGAGTAATCGGAAAAGTTCGTAGCCGCCGTGTGCGCTGTGTTCGCGGGGGCCATTTTTTTTTTCATGTGATAAGCATTGTCTACTAATTTTTTTCCGCCAGTATAATTATAGTTTTATTTTTCATTTTAACATTTGAAAGTGTGTACATTTAACAGTTTATTACTGAGTTCCGTTGATTTTTTAAAAATGTTATTTGATTGTGAGGTATGTGTGGAAAATGTGTGTATATTAAAAATTAAAAGTCCTCAAAATTGTCATTCAGTGAAAAGAATAAAATTGTGTCTAAAGGTAGGTGTGTACCCGAGTTACAACAATTAAACCAGCAAAAAGACAATGTAAGTCGCAAGTTTCATGTTAAAAGTTATGAAACGTACCTATGGCTGTGTGGTTGTGTACACACGATTAAATTATATTGTTTTCCTACTCCGCCGCATACCTAGTGTCATAATCCTGTGCACGCCGCTGCTCTTTGCAGTGCTGTTGTCCTGCGTAGTGAGCTCCGTTAGTCGGCTCTTACGACACAGACGGGATGAAAACTGGTGGTGAAACTTTGTATTCTTAATCCGTCACCACACGGACAATAATCAGACGGGTCACCTAATGGTAGGTAGCTACCGTCGCCCATGGACACCAGCAACTTAATACAACAACAAGTTTCACTAGCTTTACCGCCATTTGAGTCTTCCTCCCAGAATTAGGGGGAGGAGGGTTTTGCACTCCGATAACCTTACTCACTCCGGGAAAAGCAACGAAAGAATTGCTTAACATCGGTTTTCTGTGAGGCCGTAGTAGTGTTCCGATCGAGGCCACCTTTTTGTAAGACCTGTAAACTCCACTATATTCCACAAATAAATAAATGATTATAATGAACTAGCTTTTGCCCGCGGCTGCGCGCGCGTAAATGTCGGATATCGCAGTGAAAAGTAGTGTATGTCTTTCCTCAAGAATCCAAAGTATGTCAATATCAAATTTTATCTACATGGGTTCAGCGGTTATTGATTCCCCATACAAACTTCCACCCCTATTTTAAGGGGTTAAAGGATTATTTCTGGGATAAAAGCTACCCTATATCCCTTCTCGGGACTCGGACTATATCTATACCTAATTTCATCTAAATCGGTTCAGCGGTTTAAGCGTGAAGAGGTTAACAGACAAACAGACAGACATAGTTTCGTATTTATAATATTAAGTATGGAAACACATCTTACCAATTTTGTCTATCAATATAGTAGTCACCAATATTACTGTAGGCTTGCTTGACCTGTGCTTCTGTGGTACTCGCTGACATCTTTAATAGTTCTACCACACGAAACCAATGTCCTAAACGCTTTCGAAGAGCTATGGCCAAGTCACTGAAATGTGAAACATACTCACATAGAAATCCTATAAATAAAAATCATATGAAACAAAAAACTATAAAGTTATATAAAATATATACTTCAGCCACTATCCAGTCAGTTTAGATTATTGAATTTGGGACCTCCGTAAGAAACTGTGTACCTATACGTTTTAAAGTCTCGCGACTATACTTACATATTTTCTTATTACGTTTAAATTCTTTCAGTTCAAATCTCTCAGTTAAAAAAAAAGCATCTCTTTCCAACAAGCATAAAAGTGTGTCTTTCATATCGTCTAAGCTCAAACTAATATAATTTACTAAGTGAAACTTATAATACATCTACCGTGCTCTCAGACCCATTTAATTTCAAATACATTGCAAACAGGTAACTTACCCATCGTCATGCCTGAGAAGTTTCACCTAAGTTAATTTACAGGTGAATAAAAATTGTATTAATTACGTACCGCCGATCTTCGTTATGATATATCTTCTCTGCAGTATCAAAATCTTTAAAATAAGCGGCAATCTCTGCCTTTTTTAGTGCGTTTGAATGTAAAGCGTTCAGTCGCGATACAAATTTTATACCCGCATAGTCATTTCGTCTAACAAAGGCAGCTTCCGCCGTCTCTAGAGCTGACTCAGATTCGAAATTCTTTAAAGCAGCTTCTGCGAGTAATAGCCTGAAAGCAATTCAGCATGCAGGAGTCTATCAAACAATCACAAAAGCAAAGAATGTATGTGCCAATGTGTTATAGTACGAGATCCGGCTGCAGTATCAGTGCACTCATCGAGTATGTTCTAAAAACCCAGTTTTAGGTAGATATATAATCTCCTAATCATAAATATGCGTATGTGTGGGTTTTTAGCACATACTCGATGAGTGCATTGATTCTACAGCCGGATCTTAGACTATTAGAATCTGTAAGAATTTTATTTAAAAATGATATAAGAAGATGCTCCTAAAAGGTAGTAAGAAGTAAAGTTTTTAAAGCAAAAGAAATTGTACCATAATTGAGGATGAGGATTATCTTTTATAAATTTTTCTGCTTCCTTTAATCCGACTTTTTCAATCAGCTGACGTGTATCTCTCAAGGACTTAACTTCAACTCTTACAATATGCTGAGGCGTGCACTTGTCTTCCACGTTGTCTAATAGCGCAAAAGTAATTTCCAGTTCCTGGAAAGGCCAGGTAAAAAGTTAGTTGAATATATATCGTTTCTTAAATTTATACTTATTAATATAACGAAACTGAAGGATTTTTTGTTAAATGGTTCGAGTTAAGTTTGATTACTAGCGCTTATTTCTGAAAGCATTACTGGAATATCATATATTTGAATATTTCTTGTTTTTTATAGAATTTAAATAGAATTATTAACGTAGACTAATATGATCTAAATTTACTTCAGTAGGTATTTAAGGCTAGCAAGCGTGATTAAGGAATTTGCAAGAAAGACTAGGTTTGAAATACTTATTAATAATAATTAACATCAAAGCGAAGGGTATAAACCAAAGGATATAGGGTCAGTTAAATTGTATAGGATTTTGTTAGAGACAAGGTATAAAGATAAATTCGTTTCGTCTTCGCTTTCAAATTGTGAAATATAGATTAGCTTCTATACAGGCGGATGAACATTGCAATTAACGTCCATTCTTCTTTTGCATAGTTGGTAAACGAGCAGACGGGTCACCTGATGGTAAGTGGCTACAGCTGCCCATGGACACCTTCAACTTAAGAGTCACAAGTACGTTGCCGCCCACTGTCTCCCTCCATTATCAGCGGAGAGATCTTGGGATTCGGTAACCGGTTATAAAGATGATGATATCTCAGGCTTGTCCTAGTTGCTCCTATTGAAGCTTGATACGAAATGAAACTTACCCTTACCTTAAACTTACAAAGATATCCTTGCATAGTTAGAGGTTCTTCAGGTTCAGTGTCCCTCATTACATAAAGTCGTGCTTTCTCTGCCACTGCTAACATTTGTGGGTTATCAGACGCCCAAAGGGCGCTCCAAACATCTTTTCTTAAAGCTTGGCCGATGCTTATGTTATTCGCCATATCGGTGTCCAATAAATATAGAGATCCCGGTTGATCAATCACATAAAACTTACTGAAAAGTATTTTTGTATTGATACATGACGAGATTGTAGTTTTATCAATGCACCGTTCCTATTAAATATTTCTTACAAAACATGAACTAACAAAATTGTATCCATGCTAAATAGAAATTATGATTTGAACCTAGTATTTTAAATTATAAATATTTAACTGCAAATATTTAGAAATAGGCCGTATTCTTAATGATGTATTAAATAATAAAACACCATAAAATATATTTGACAATTTACATTAATCAAATAATAACTATCTAACTTCAATTTCAATGAGCGGATATGACTAAATGGTTTTGAGAAACCTTACAAATAGAAACTTAATCTACTAAGGGAACTTATAATTATTTTTTAATAAGATTTGTGTAACTGTTTGCATTACATTCAACGTAAAACATACCTGGAATTAGAATTAAGCCCTAACTTATAAGGCTTCGAATTCATATTGATCGACGTTATTTTCTTGAAATTCACTAAAGAGAATAATAATATAGAGCCTGAATCTCTTCCGACTAATAAGTGACTATCGGAAGAAGCAATACAGCATATTGTATCATCTTGAAATCCTCCATCATTAGAAGTCACCGGTGACCCATCAGCATGGTATAGCTGGTCAGAAGCACCTGATTCAAATACGATAAAGGTAGTAATAAGTAGTACCTATGGTATAGCCTGTATAAAGCGATTTAGTTCAACATTTGACTTACGGGGTCTGGCTGGAGTAGAGAATTTCCAGGTCATAAATGATTCCTTGGATGCAGCTACCACAATAGCTTTACTGTTGATTGTCACATAAATAACAGGTATATTCACCGTTTTTGCTAAAAATATTAAAAAAAAATCCGTGTAGTGACGGATTAAGAATACGGAATATCACTACGCTAATACATCCTGTGGGTGTGGTAAGAGCCGACTAAGGGCACAAAACACCGCAGGACACCAGCACTTCAAAAAGAAGGAAAACTTGACACAGACCCTATACCAACCCATCTGGCCAGCGTGGTATAGTAGGCCAAAACCTCCTTTCTAAGGAGAGGCCTATGTCCAGCAGTGGACTATTAAGGGCTGTTGATGTGATGTGATAAAAAAAACTTCATTAGATTTAATAGTCCCAAAGTAGTCTTCTTTGAGGGCAGTGAACCTTTATTTCCTGTGTGTGAAGCCTTTATTTAAGGTGCAGTTTAGCACAACATGTGGCTTTACTTGGTTTAAGTTCATACGGCACCAAAAACCAATCGAAGGCCTTTTAAAGCCCTTTTTGATTTTCGTTTCGTGCCATATTAACGTTCCTTAACTATCGTCTAATGTAATAAACATCAAAAGTTATTTACATTTACGCCAGTTGACGTCAGTTTATTGCACCGCTGGACACAGGCCTCCCCCAAGGTTCGCCACAACAATCGGTCATGTGCTGCCCGCATCTAACGACCTTGAGGGGCCTACCCATGCTGTGTTTTCCAATACACGGTCACCACTCTAGAACTTTATAGCCTATCGTTTCTGCGAGCAATGTGCCTCGCCCACTGCCACTTAAGTTTGGCAATTCTGAATGGAAGAAGTTAATAATTTATTATTAAATGAACACTTACCATCACACTGGATACCTTGCTGATTTGATATAATAAGTGTTCCAAGAGTAGCAATAACACAATATTCATCAATTCCACACATGTCAATAACGTCGGGAATGTGGTTTATCCAAGACTATAACAATAAGATACAATAATAAAATAAAGTGGCTGCCTTTGGCTTATCTATGAGTTCTCGAAGAACGAATCTAAATTTAGTGGCACATTTGTGACCTGTGGAAAACTGCCATTAGAGATGTCTCTTGTGTCCCAGCGATTCTATTCAGCTCTTTAATTTAACCCTGCTAAAGATTTTTTAAAGCTAATGATATCGGAGATAACATAACGCAAGTCGGTTAAATAAACTGTGTTCTTAAATCCTATGCCTATTTTATGCATTAGATGCACGTATTGGATTTTATCGAGGAACTTTTGTCATAAGTTCATGACATATAAAAGAGAGGACGTATGCGACTCATAGAAATCTAGAAACAATAATTGCTAACAGTTTCCATGCAGTTATTTTTAATTTTGGCATAGAATTAAACGACTAGATGCACGAATAATATAATGCAAGAATATAATAATAATCATTAATAGGATGTTCGATTATGTGGCATCGCTAACGTTCATAGCTAGCCTTTAAGATAAGACTTAATTTCTCTACCTGTAACTAGATTGCAATAATTCTGATCGTTGAATAATAATCTCACCTCACAAATCTCGTAAACGGCTGTCTGATATGAAACTAGACAAAGTATGTTTATCAGTAGTCTGGTTTCCATTACCAGACTACTGATAAACATACTCATATATTTCAAAATACATACACATTATAGATAAATTACACCCAGACACAGAATAAATGATCGTATTCATCACACAATATTTGTCCTGGTTGGGAAGCAATCAGAATCACTCACCAATAGACCCGTCATTCAATCTTTTTAAGCAAAAATTTAATAACTTACCTGATGAGTTACAGTATCCCAAAAGGTCACAGTCTCATTCCCTGAGACATACGCTAAAGTATTTCCATAGAAAGCATATTTATGGTCCATTTTAACGTTTGCAAAATATATAAAAGAATCAATGGCGATAGCGAGACGCAAGGACTTCCTCTCCCAGGACAATGCTCTCATTGAACCTCCAGGCACGCGTAATGTACGAATATGCTACAAAAATTAAAAATGTGGCAATCATTTCACATCATATAACAAAAAATATTCCAATGAACTATGTAATGGACTAGATAGCTTGGAGATAGTTTATTAGAACTTTAGTTCTAAAAAGTTGTCGGTTTCTAATAATTTTAGTTGTTAGTGGGATAACTTGTTCGTTACTTCGGTTTTTGTAGACGATACTGTTCATGAGGATAATATCACAATAAAAAAGCCGTGTGGTGTCGTGGGACACCCGATAGGAACGAAGTTGTGACGATCGAGTAAAACTGATTTGACACGATTTTAATTACAACGCCATCTATGAAAGCGGCTATTACCTACATATTAAAAACAATTTATACATTGGTAAAAGCTCCTTGCGAAATGATTTCCTATCTATTCGATAGATGGCGCTGAATGTCTGACAAGATGACACGAAAATAAAGAGCAAAAAGCCAACATCACGTGGTATTCCCAGGCGGTCACCCATCCAAGTACTAACCACGCCCGATGTTGCTTAACTTCGGTGATCGGACGAGAACCGGTGTATTCAACATGGTATGGACGTTGGCGAACGTTAAAGCAAATTTAATGTATGGTATCCACAGTTAGACGTCAATTTATATTTAAAAGTGTCGTGACAAATTTTCGTACGATTTTTTTCCGTCTAGCCCCCTTTCACAACGCGCGATAAGGAACTTCGTTCCAAAAGATTACTAATTTACTAGCCTTACCTCTCCGTATGCACCAAAGAACTGTACTACATTGGTCTTGTCGGCTGTACAACCGGCAGCAGCCAGGATGCTTCCATTATGGTTCCAGTGGCAATCTATAATGGACATGTTCGTTTCTACTAATGCACTACCTATAAACAAAAAAAAAGGGTCTACAGGTAAATACGCCTAAAAATGACAATTAAGTATATTAATAAATATGTACTACTCATACATCAATAATACACAAAATGTTTGTGATTCATCCAAATTTATTTTATCACCTTCAAAGTATGCTCCTTCAGAAACTATACACTTACGCCAACGAATAATCCAATCATCGAAACATTTTTTAAACGCTGTTTTCGGAATTGAGTTCAGTTCTCGCCGCGATTTCTCCTTTATGTCTTCAACCGATTGAAAACGGGTGCCACGAAGTGGTAATTTGAGTTTAGGATAAAGAAAGAAGTCGGCTAGAGCCATATCTGGTGAATATAGTGGGTGCTCGATGGTATTTGTTGAGTGTTTGGTCAAAAATTCGTTCACAATGATGGCCTTGTGCGAAGGCGCATTATCATGGTGCAAACAATTTTCTTTAATTCACCGTTTGACCTTCTGGCAAGAATTCCGAGTGCACAACACCACGATAGTCAAAGAAAACAGTCAACATAACTTCGACTTTTGATCGACTTTGGCGTGGTTTTTTCGGTTTCGATTCAGTTGGAAGGCGCCACTCCGAAGCTTGTTGGCTAGTTTGCATGTCAAAGTCGCAAAGCCACGTCTCGTCACCACTATCAATGCGTTTCATGGATGTTGGGTCGGAATTGACTCGTTCTAGCATGTCCTCAGCGACTCTCATGCGATTGAGTTTTTGGAGAAAATTCAGGTCTTTTGGGACTAGCCGAGCGGTAACATGTTTCATACCCAAATGATTATTTAAAATGGTACGGATCGACTCGTGAGATACAGAAAGTTCGGCGGCTATCTCTCTCAAAGTTGAATAAGGATTTTCAGTCACTATTTCCTTCACTTTTGCGATATTAACTTTAGTTGCAGACGTTGATGGCCTACCAGAGCGAGGCAAATCTTCCATCACATCTCGACTGCTTTTGAAAGCTTTGTACCACTCATAAGCACGTGTTTTTGATAAAGTCGATTCGCCGTAAGTTTTCTGTAACATTTTCAGTGACTCCGAACACGAAATTCCATTGGCGATGCAAAATTTAGGACAAACCCTTTGTTCGATGTTTTTGTTCATTATGAAATGCGCAATACACTCTAGATACGATATAACTAAAAACAGCACTGTATTTAATTTAAGTAACAGATGCAACTCAAACTCCGCGCCAAAATGGAAAACAGTTGTACCAATCTAACAACAAAAAAAAACAAAAATTTGAATTTGTAACCATAAACAAATCATCCATTCCCGATACTTTTTTGACTGAATGTACGTTGTTTTTAAAAGCCGGAGACGAACTCAATCCTAAGCTGAGAAGAAGTTAAACAAAAATGAAGAGGGCAACTGTCGTACTTAAACTCTCTGTCATTCAAATATGGACACTAAAACTTGAACAAGTACATCCTGCTGAGTTAAGCAGATTGCTGTAAAGGTATTTTGAAAGTGCCTAAAAATGAAGGTCTCAAGATCAGTGAGGTCATGTCTGACCTAAATCTTCGTGATGGGGCGAGGGCTGTTCTTCAAATAAAAGTCGCACGGCAGCCAAAGATACAGCTACGGTAATTATTTAAAGAACAATGGCGGGTATTCATACAAAAAAATATTTGGAATCAAATTGCATCAACTTGTAGAAAAAAAATATAAAAAAATCTGCAATTTTTTAGAATCAATGCGTAAAACAATTTTGGTAAGAAAAAATATATTAACATTTAATTTTTTTAGTTGCACTGTTTTTTATTTGTGGACTCTTAAAAAGAGTCCTTTATAGAAAGAGTCTTATACAACATAGCTCATAATGTTTCCTTTATTTAATTAATTTGTCTATGGCCATCGACTTTTCAAATTTGTTTTTGTATTGTTTTACATAATTATCTGATAATTATAACTGTATGCGTGCCCTTTAAATAAAATAAAAAAGATAATAAAGAATAATTATAATCCACTAGAACTAGAACTTTCGTAGGTTATTTTTTTTTTGTCACTTTTAATGAGTCTGATGCATGAAATAATCATCATACTTATGTACATCTGCATATATATTATCCAATAAGTTTATTTACATCAACAGCCTTTATTAGTCCACTGCTGGACATAAGCCTCTCCTTAGAAAAGAGGTTGTGGCCTACTATACCACGCTGGCCAGATGGGTTGGTATAGTAGGCCAAATAATAAGTTTATTAATTTTCCTTAATTCATTACCTATTTCAACATGTAATGAATTGTAAATTATAAGCCTAAAGTAATATAATCGGGGGCAGCCATTCGCAGCTTGTCGCGTCTGACGGTTAGTCTTTATATTTAAATACAGAGCGCAAACGTCTGTCAAGAGTTGTCAAAATACCCTTGCTTATGCTCAGCTTGCAGTTGCCACTTTATTTATTTTTACTTCTTTTAATTTCACTACAGGAAATTTAAATACGTAAATAATGCGTTTAATAATGCACCGCAAACTACATTCTTTATTGATTTAGTACTTAGAATTATAAAACTATTATCTGATTACCATATTACTATTAAGTGATAGTAAAATGGTAACACTAAACTGATAACGGAAATTAAAATAATCAAATAAGCTTATAATATTTTCTTTCTTTTAATGGGGTTTTACTGACTTAGACGATAGTTTTAAAAAAACGTAGATATTTACTAGAATTAGTTTGCTATGAATGACATTTTAAGACGCTCAAATTATACTCAACTACGAATTCGCCATTGTTCTTTAATTCATATGGAACTAGTATTTAAAAAAAAAAAAACAATTCCGCCATTACTGACAAAGCTTGCGCATAACAGCTTGACTTGCTATATCACATCGAAGGTTCAACAGTTTTTGGAGGAAATTTGTTCTACACCTACACTGCCTGTATACATTCCAGCCTTATCTAATGAAGACGCGATAACTTTGCAATATAATTTTATTGCAAAATTATCAGGTCTTGGTTGTAAGAACTCAAGTGATTACTTGAGTTCTAACAATTGTGTTTATACCAGAGTGTTTTGTTTTGTACGCTTAGTTTGATGTCAGTTATTGTGTAAAACATTTACCTTCTTCGTTGCAATTTTTTAATAGCAAAATAACTCCACTTCTGTAGCATATTGCTAGCACAGGTCGGTTACTTGGTGCGTTGCCGGAGTACCAATCCATCGAAACAACGTCCATTGATCCTGAAATGCTTTGAATAGCCACGGGCATCTAAAACAAAATCTTGACTGCAGTAATTAACATTGGTAATATAATATTGCCTATTCCCCTTGATTAACTTGTGGCAACTTTTACATTCAATGAAACATAGGTACTTAAGTACCATCTAGCGAAGATACACTTCAACTACGGAGTAATTACTAATCCTGCATCGCGCAATGAAAATCTGCACCTCACCTGTTCGGAGGATCCTCGGTTTGTGTTAGAGGAACATTAACGCCCGTTGCCCCACAAACTAAATTTGTCGTTTCATTAGCTTTTTAGTGGCAAGTATACTTGCCAAGAATAAATTATAAAAAATAAATAAACAAAATAATAACGTCAATAGTCAATAGTCAATAGATAATAACGTCAATAGAAATTCTACCAAATTATAATATTTGATTTTCAAATAAGTTTTACATCTCGCAAAGTTATAGGTACAACATACTGTAAAGTTGCCTTGATCATCATAAATATGCAGTTCGCCATTGGACAGTGCAAATAGCAGCTGTGTGTTATCAGGTGACCACTGAACAGCAGCAAGTCCAGGGCCTTTGATATCTTTCCCCCACACTCTAGAACCATCTACTGATCCAACTATTACTGCACCTGAAGTTAAAAAATACCTATTTAAAATATCCGAAACAATTAATTTCGAATATATGATCTAATTGTTGATATGATTGCCTCACCATCTTCATAAGCTATGCAGATTTTTTGGCCATCAGAGCCCCAAGCCATACTTTTTACAGTTGATTTATTTCTATTATTTATCATTTCTTCATACCAAGATCCCTGTAAATAAAAATTTATACACGAAATACAACATAACTATTTAGTTAGTACCTGTGCTTATTTCTATTATATACAACATGTATTATAAATGTACATATGAAAATAGCTTATTATTAAGTCGAATTGGAAGATTACATCGAACTATAGTCGAAATACCTCAAACACCACGGTGATGCAAAGATTCAAGAGGTGTACCGATTAGCAACTTTTGTAGTCGGCGACTAGTCAGCGATTAGCCGACCAATAGCTTCGACTATCCGGCTACAATAGTCTCTGAAAAACTTACTTGTAAGAAAAAAAAATCTCCATGATATTTATCAAAGTTAGAATGTTCACTAACAAATTTAAAAACATAATATTATTATGTTCTCTTCAATAACAGTTGATAAATATTGCTTCTTGTTTAAATAAAAGAACAGGTTCTTTTAACAGACTAAGTCATATTAAAGCAAGATTGCATGTACAGTCAACGACAAAAGTGTATAAGATTTCATACGTGGGAGAGCCATGCTTCGGCAAAAATGGGCCGGCTCGACCCGTGCGATACCACGGCCTCACAGAAAACCGGTCGTAAAGCAATTTCTCTGTTGCATTTCACCGAGTGAGTGAGGTTTCCGGAGCCCAACCCCCCCCTATATCCCCCCCTCATGATAGCGCCGTTGAAAAATAATCTACCCCGGGGGGGGGGTACCAGCTGCGTTAGCGTTGGAGAATTCGCCGTTGGACGTCCACACTCAGAACACCATACGTCTGGGCGTGGATGTCTGGGCTGCCCCGCGTATTCTGGGGGGGGGGCGGGCAACAGCGCTCGACAGGATATCTGCGGTGGGAGCAAGCACATCAGGCCACCCCTCGCCACGCTTGACGTGAATTTCTGCAACATAAGGGGCCTTCACTCGAACTTCAACTCTGTCCACCACCACCTCGAGACAGTGAAGCCAGCCTTGCTCTTTCTAATCGAGACGCAGATATCATCTCCAACGGACACATCCTACCTCTCCTACCCTGGCTATCATCTGGAACACTCCTTTGTTGCTAGGGCTGGAGTGTGCGTGTACGTTAGAGGTGATATCAGTTCGCGCCGCCTCAGCAATCTTGAAGGACGGGCCACACTGGGGTACACAGCGACGACCATCTCCTCGTCTACGCATGCCTCTACAGGTCCCATAGCGATAACACCGAAACTGACCGACTGATGGACCACGTCCAAATGGCTACAGATTCCGTGCTGCAGCAGATCCCATCCGCGGAGATCGTGATACTTGGCAACTTTAACGCTCACAACGCCGAATGGCTTGGCTCAAGCAAGACCGATCACGCGGGGAGATCTGTTCACGATTTCGCCCTGACCTATGGCTTGTCACACCTGGTATCAACGCCCACGCGAGTTCCGGATGTGGAAAGTCATGAGCCTTTACTGTTGGACCTTCTGCTGACCTCAGATACGGACGGTTACAAAATCGCCGTTGAAGCCACTTGGCTCCTCGGGATGGGATGGCAAGGAGGCAGATCTGATTCTTGCCGGATGATCCCACCGTCGTTGCCGATTCTGTCACTGATGTAGTACTTCAGGGCATGGAACTATTTGTTCCTTCTACATAACTCCCATCGGTGGCAAATCCAAGCCCTGGTTCGACAGATCCTGCAAAACGGCGCCCCACGAAAGCGGGAATGTTACCAAGCATGGGCAAATTCAGCGACGGCAAGCGATGTAAATACCAGCACGCTAAAAAAACAATATAACTTTGCCTCCAGGTCTCTTAAAACAGCCATTGGTAGGGCGAATTCGGAGCACATCAGCGGGATCGGTGACAGACTAGTGAGACTTCCTTCTGGAACTCGTGCATTCTGGTCTCTTGCCAAGGCTGTCCAGGGGAATTTCTGTAGCCAATCCTTTCCACCCCTGGGATTTCCAGATGGGAGATAATTCGTTGTCCTATAATGCCAAGGAGAAAGCTGATCTTCTAGGCAAATTTTTGCATCCAACTTGAGTTTGGATGGTTGGTGGACCGGTTCACACAAAAATCAGTGCGTAAAGCACTCTTTTCCCTCGACATTCATAACGATTTGTACGCACCTCAGCTTGAGAGCACCTCCCTAACTGCCTCAGCCAGTATCGGAATCCTAGGCATCGACATATCAAGCGAAGTCCAGTTTCGGGGTCACTTAGAGAGCAAGGTCAAATTTTGGCCTCGAAGAAGCTCGGTGTCCTGAACAGATCGAGGCAGTATTTCACTCCGGCCCACCGCCTTCAGCTCTATAAGGCGCAAGTCCGGCCGCATATGGAATACTGTTCTCATTTCTATTCAGGGGCACCTCAGTACCAGCTTCTCCCTCTGGACCGCATCCAACGAAGAGCGACTTGAATCATCGATAGCCCAAACATCTCCGATCGCCTCGATCCTTTGGCGATACGTAGAGATGTGGCTTCACTCTGCATTCTCTATCGCTTATATCATGGAGAGTGCTCCGAGGAATTGTTCGGACTAATACCAGCCGCAAATTTCCGCCATCGTTCCACAGGGCAAAATTTTCATCCTCATTACCTGGATAGTTGGCGCTCCACTACTTTGCGCTTTTCGAGACACTTTATGCCCCGCACAACCAATCTGTGAAACGGGTTATCGTCTGCGGTATTTCCGGACCGATGTCGTATCGGTCCGGAAATACCGCAGACGATACCCTCTCTTCAAACCGTCTTCAAACCTTCAAGAAAAGAGCGTACTCCTTCCTAAAAGGCCGGCAACGCGTTTGTGACTCCTGAGTTACAGACTTTCATGGGCGGCGATAGTCACTTTCCATTAGGTGATCCGTCTGCTCGTCTGCCCCCTCTAACATATTTTTTTTTTATAAAAAACGGATTGTCAAAACTACTGAACCATATTTGGAGCAAAACTAGGTAGTGCTACAATGTTACAAAACTAAGTGATTAAATAAAGTACCCATAAATAAGCTAATTGAATAGTCAGCTTATCAAATCAAGCTTATCAATATAGCAAAGTTAATGATCAAAGACGTTTCAACAAAAATTTGTCGACTGAACTGTCGCCAAAAGTTGATGATTAAAGACGTTTCAAAATAATGAGCTGATCGAACCGTTGCCAAAAGTTGGTTATTAAAAACGTTCCCAGAAGTTATAGTCTTAAAAATCATAACTTCATGAATATTTCATTTCTAGTGTTCTTTGACGAACTCTAGCTGAGGTCCAAAAGAAAGTGATAGTACTGAAAATCATAACTATATTGATATTTTATTTCTAGCATTGTTTGATCAATTAGAGCTAAGGTGCAATAGAAAGTGATAGTATTGAAAATCATAACTAGATGAATGTTTTTTTTTTAGCGCTGTTTGATGAATTGGAGCTGTAACATCAGCTGTAATGAAATTATATGAAATGATATTTATTTCTGTAAGTAAATCTTTTCAGATATTTTTACAAGTCGGACTTTATAGCTAGAAGGAGCCGGCATTTCCTAAGACTCACTCTGGGAAGAAACGCCGAAACAAACCACAGAGGTGTCTTTTTTTTTCTAAGTCCGTAAACAAAGTTAAATAAAACTGTGCGAGTACAGTATAGGGTCTGGATAGGCCTTTTGAGGAAAGGACCATAGTTTTGAGTCAACCTGTCCATACAGACGGCATACAGGCTCCAGCCATCGTGTAGCCTAACCGATATTGGTCAAGATCAACGACCCGAAGCATGACACTACCGCCAGCAGGACATTTAGGTAGGCCGTGGAAACACTCAAAACCACCAGAAAGAAAATAAAATATGAATTAACATTACAAGCCTACACTGTACTCACATTTACATACTTACACAAAAAATAAAAAAAATACTATACAGTTCAAAGTCAACGAAAAATAAAATACAAAAACAAAATACGAAATACACCAAAAAATAATAATAATTAAATGTCCATCACCTTCAAACTTAACAACAAAGATGTCTACGTAAATGTGGGAGTGAGCAGCATCAATCCCAAGCAAATTTTTCGTCTAAATAATCTGTAATAGTGTAGTAAGCCTTTTCACATAGTTTTTTAAATAAAGCGGTACGGAAAATGACGAATACTCCCGAAATTGTAATCGGCGACTAGTCGGCCTTTTTACAACCGGCTCGTTGGTTAGTCGGCCAACTGCTAGACATAGGCCTCTCTCATTGCACGCCACTTAGATTGATTTTGGGCTTCTCGCATCCATCTACATCTCTAGTAATTTCTTATAACACATAGCAGAATAGTCAATTTATATTACAAATTTTTCTAACAATCACAAGACGTATGGATAAAATGAAGGAATACCTTGTAAAGCATCCAAACAATAATTACACCATGCTCATCACTAGTAGTCAGTTTTTGAAAAACCTCATTCCATATAGCCACACACAACTGACCTGTGTGGCCTTCCAAACTAAGATTCATAGATAGGTTTCCGCCACCACCTGTAACGACATCAAATGGCTATAAAATGTGTTAACTATAAAAAAACCATAAGGCATACAAGATATCTTAAGTTGCTTTTAGTTAAGTAGGCGCTGGAGCGGCGCGAGTTAGATTCAATGCCTTGGAACGCGTTAGTGTAAAGAATAGCACTATATTGTATTATAGGCGGGCGAAACGAAGTTGTATGCGTCTGGAGAACTTCGGCCGTGCCGGGCGAGGTTTTGTAGGAACCAAGCGCGGTTGTTTACACCCTTTATATTTGGCTGGCCTATGGGTCCAGTGACCCTCCCCCATGGGGTTTGGAGGCGGAAGTGCTCGCCGAGGTATGTCGACGGACGGCTTAGTTCCGGGCGGATAGCGGCAGTCGGCCCCCGCTCGAAGAGATACGTGAGTGGCCTGAAGCCCTTCGCCGACCCACGATGGGTTATTGGACGTTCCGGCTGGACGCTCTACGTGCTGGCTTTACCACCGTGGAGGCGCTCCAGCCGGTCATCGTCGAGTGGGCAGGGCGGCAGAACGGGTCTCTTTCCTTCCGGCTGACGCAGGTCCTTTCCGGGCACGGCTGCTCCGGGAAGTACCTGAGATTCGGTCACTAGGAGGGAATTGAGTCCCGCCTGTCACCACTGCGAATGGAGTGAGGACTCGACTCAGCACAAGCTGGCAATTTGCCCGGCTTGAGTGACAAAGACATTCGAAGACAATACCAGAGGTCATTGTGTTGCCTTCCAGTGGCATTAGGACGGCCATGTTGTCTGACAGTATTCGGATGTTATAGTCCCTAATATCCCTTGACATGGCTTTAAGGGCAGCGTAAGTTACTGTTACACATTCGCATTGGAATATAGAACTGTGTTAGCCTAACGCTAGTGATATGTTCATATTAAGGTCTTGTGAGAAAACTCCAGTTCCTGACCCAGTCTTGGAATGGTCCGTGTAAATTCGGACTCCCTTAATGCTAGATTGATCTCGGTCATTTTCTTGTGTCTGAATGTGGTATCTCTTTGTGGAGATATGGTGTTTTATGATCCCGTCGCATGGGGCTGCTTTTAGTGATTAGTATGCCACTAATTGATCCCATAATGTGGAGTGCGATCCGTCACCTTTGTGCCAGACCCAGTTGTAAAAACTGTATGAACAAGTCCAGTGGGGGCAGACTAAGAGCCACCTCTAGTCACGGCAGTTGGCGTTGTACGCATACAGCCCGTGACCGCAGAGTTCTTTCACATCACACATCACATCAACAGCCTTTTATAGTCCACTGCTGGACATAGGCCTCTCCTTAGAAAGGAGGTTTCTTCCACTAGATAATAGCACCATACGTGATTATTGGTTGTATAACTGTTCTGTAGAGTCATAGTGTAATCTTTGGTGATAGGCCCCAGCTTTTTCCGAGTTTTTCCGAGCCGTTTGTGTTGGCAGAAGACAATGCAGGCTTTATTTAGTTTCTCTTCGAAGTGCCTATTCCACAGGAGTTTACTGTCTAGTATTACTTCTAAGTATTTGACCTCTTTGGTAAGAGCCAGTAGAATATCAAATAGTTTGAAAAGTCTGAGATTTCCTAGACTATGTTTGTTTGTAAACATGATCATGTTTTCAATGGGTTCACTGTCAAGTTGTGTGTTACACAACACTGTTCAACGATCTTCAGTGCGCGTCTCATTTGATTGCATATAACATTCTCAAAGGGACCAGTGATGAGGATAGTCAGATGGTCTGCAAAGCCTATTGTGAGGAATCTAGGAGGAGTTGTGTAATGAGTTCATCGGCGTATACCGCCCTATGGGCATCCTCTAGCCACCACCCTCCTAGTCACTTCACTCACAATACTTTGAATAGCTCTATATCTTAGCAAGCTGTCCATTGACCCTGAGATTGTGATATCAAAACCATGTCCAGACAGAGCTTAGCTTAAAGGAGGCTTGTTTGTGGCTTGGGTCACTATCAGTAACTTTTCTGTGCCCCTGACAATGTGAATCGAAAATTTTATTAGGGCTGGTTAAGCAGCCACAGGCGTGGATTTAAAAAAACTCACGAACAAGCTCACATTTATAATATTAGTTAAAAGTACACAGATTGTTTCCAATACATCAACACTAAAATTCTTTAACCAAGCTGAAACTGTTAACACACTGTTTTTTTTTATTTAAGCTTTTGTAAATTTAGAAAGGTATTTGTAGAATTTTAATTATTAAAAAACTTTAATTAAATTTTCTTTTTTTAATTGTCAGATGGATTATTTTTTGGATATCAGAATAAATCAACTTTCATAATGTTAAAAACCCTAAAGGTTACTGAAAGGCTAATAAATGATAGAGATTTTATTAATAGCCATTCTGCCTAGTTTGGGATCAGTGTGTGAGATGTGTGAAAATATTTTATTATAGGTCCAGCCCTATAATCATTTACTCAAAATACTTTGTATAATTCTCACTAAACATAATTATTCAAAAATAATTGATAATAGCATTAGACTAATTTAACTCCTGATCAACTAATTTTAACCACCAAAATATCTTTATTTTATAATTATTGATAAGATTATTATCAAAGTATTTAAAAATACGAAGATTGAATAACAATCATCTTACTAGAAAAAGCAAGTAGATGTAAGCTATATAGCAATAATAGTCATACCTGATTCTAATTTTAAAACTTTTAACATTCCATCCTCTCCACCCACAGCAATATATCCGGATGAGTGATTCCAAGATAAACAAGACACATTTGACTGTTTAGGTATTGCAATCTATAAATGAAATAATCATGTTTAATACACTGGATACTTTATAACTTTTTATTTATTGAAAACATATCAGGTTTACCTTTTTACTCATATAGATAAACATTTTGGATATTTATTGCACAGGTACCAATAAAACGAAGAGTTATATTTAAATAGTTCTTGTTATTTACATCCTACGTATAAATATATAATATATTTATAATATTTTCGTCATTGTACACAGGTACCACAACAAACTAGTTTAAAATATGTTTTAAAGTTTAAATTTAAACAGTTTTACGACAGCTCTTGAGAACTTATTAGATAGCGTTATAAGAAATAACTAGGGTCTGTTTATAATGAGTTGTATGTCACTAACAAAAAGAGCAAGACTTCTGTAGGTATATCTCTATTAAAAAAACAAGTAACTTCAACTTTTAATTAATGGCTTTGTGGAAGAGTGTAACCACAATTTCGCCAATAAAAAAAACAAGTAACTTCAATGAGTATACAAATCAGCGAAGCGTTGCCTTTGGTTGCTATGGAAACTCCGGTGTTGCCAATGCAAAATGAAAATTTGTCAATTTTAAAATAGAGATCTGAAGGCCAATTCAACATCCAACGTTGACCGTTATGTGATTATATCGTGTTGTAATCAAAATTGAATCAGTAATCTGCAATGATTTTTTATACTCTTTTTTTTTTAATAAAATATCACGGGTAATCTTCTAATCTCAGTAATACTTTGTAATCTTACTTCCTACGAAAATATCTTTTATGACAGTTGAGGGATCGAGAGTTGATCGGAACCACAGATTAAGAGATATGTACATAGTAATCGGAACTGAATTTTTACCGAACTTTTATTGTGACAATTGGCCTTCTGAGATCCGTAAGTGATTAATATTTAAGTGTCCTGTGTGCTGAGTGTTTAATTTTAGTTTTAGTTTGCTCTAAATGATTTTGTTGATTGCCGAAAATATTATAAATAAAACTGTGCCATACTGTAGAAATCCCATATAAAACGCTTCGCATTCTTTAAACCGTACCTAATATTACTAAAAAGTCAAAGTAATAGTAAGTTTGGCAGAATTGTATCTTGGGCTGCCAACATCTCAAAACTTTCTGTTTCCTCCTTGACTTAAAGGTCTTAGTTACCAGGTCATTAAATTAAAAAAAAAAAAACTGTTTCCTCCTGAATGACATTTAATACCGTTTCCTGTCTTGGAAAAATCAATATTATTTACACCAACCCAAACCTACTTTCGTATTTATTGGAATTAAACAATTATTGTGATGTTTATTTTACAAATAATGGCTATATTCCGTTCGTATGTAATTGAAAATATTAAAAGCCAAATGTCACTATTTCATAATAGAATGAATGTATTTTTGCAATAATTTAATTTTCTTTATAATAAAATAAACAGGTGTTACACATTTTTATTACTTTGTGAAAAGAACAGGGCTACTACCAAGCCCTATCAAAATCGCTATCATTGAGCTCAAATTAATGAAAATGTTGGGTCGAAAACAAAGCCTGAAAGGAGAACCGGTTCTGGCAGACTATGGCCCAGAAGAATCTTTAAATGAGAGTGCTGATATTGAATGGGTCAACAAGGTTAAAACTTAATATACCTACACATAATATTTCAGAAAATAATATATTTTATATTGTAAAAAAAATAACATCTGAAAACCGTTTGTCTGGCTTTCGTTTAATAATATTTAATAAATTTATTTCAGTTATGGGTTAGAAGAATATTAAGACTATGTGCATTACTCAGTTTAATGTCTGTTTCTCTGAATACACCAAAATCATTTGAGAAATATCCATATCTACAAACAATAACATTTGCAGTAGATTGTTGTGTAACTCTCTTATTTACAGCAGAAATGATAGCAAAAATGCATATAAGAGGAATACTTAAGGTTTGTATATATTTTAATACTTTTTCAGTCCTACTCTTATAGGATATAATATTATTTCAAGTCATTATTTGTACACCAAAAATAATATCAAATTCAGATAAAATTAAATATTTATAATTTCATCTGAACTGATTTTGAGTACATGGAATTGGAGCAACACTGATTGTAGTATGTGTACAGTCCTCCTTCAGTGGTATATGACTGCTTTGAAAATTTTATGGAAGATTTACAAAAATAATTGATTATGTACATGTTGAGATTTTGACTTAAACTGGTTTAAAACATATATTTTGGAGTCTACTGGGTTAATTCAAATTAAATCAATTGGACTGACACCACTGTGGTTAAATGTAAGTTAAGTATCTATTACCTGTAAATAGATGGCACTACATTCCTTTGTTATACTTACACTAACACATAGGACAAGACAGTGGATGATGTGTAGAGCAACACCCTATCTGCACTAGAGATATGCATTTAAAATGTATTGGATTACCTACTTTTATTTATTTTATTTACACTTCCTGCATTACAACTTGCATGAGGTGGACTTAATGCCACATGGCATTATCTACTCAACCTTAAGATGGTTCAGTAAGTACTTTATAAGTGAGTAATTTACAAACATTTTGTTCTGTTTTAGGGTGATGTGGCCTACTTAAAAGACCACTGGTGCCAATTTGATGCATCTATGGTATTTTTTCTTTGGGTGTCAGTTCTACTACAAATGTTTGAATTGACTGGTATTGTACCAAGATACAGCTATCTAAGTATATTGAGAGCACCAAGACCTTTGATTATGATACGGTTTTTGAGAGTATTTTTGAAATTCTCTATGCCAAAATCTAGAATTAATCAAATATTCAAGTAAGTGGAATTGACTACCCATAAAACTTTTATAAAAATTCATACACCTTTGCTTATTATCATATTTTCGAAATAAATTTTACTTCATGGTGATAATTTATTTAATCTTTACTTTACAGACGATCCAGTCAACAGATTTATAATGTGACACTGTTCTTTTTATTTTTTATGTCACTATATAGTCTCCTTGGAGTACAGTTTTTCGGTGAATTAACCCATCATTGTGTCAGAAATGATACTAATCCTCAGTGAGTATAAAAATCAGCCTTAGTAAAGCAAGATAAGAATAGTATTCAACTAAGTGCTTACTCCATGTTCTACTCTAATGTGTTGCATTTCTATGCAGTGAAATAACTATTAACTCACTGGCTATCCCTGATACATTTTGTTCACCTGACCCTGGCTCCGGATATCAATGTCCTGCAGGCATGAAATGTATGAAACTCAATCTATCTAAATATATCATGGGCTTCAATGGTTTTGAAGAATTTAGTAAGTATTGTTAAATTTCTAAGATTTTTAAGTGAAAATAACTTTTATTTAGAAATATTAGCTATATTAGCACTAAGCACAAAGAGAACAATACCTTAGTGCTTAATCTGTCCACTGCGGGACAGAGGCCTCTCCTTAGAAAGGAGGTTGTTTCCTACTATACCGCACTGGCCAGAAGGGTTGGTATAGGGTTTGTATCAAGTTTTCCTTCTCTTTGCAGTGCTGCTGTTCTGCATAGTTTGCTCACTTAGTTGGCTCTTACGATACCCACGGAATGAACGGTGATACTACGTGTTTTTATTCTGTCACCACATGAATGGTGAACTCATTTACAAATGATTTTGACATCAGTACCTTCTTTCTTTAAATGTAAAAATAAATTTACAGTTTGTCCTATTATCGTGAAATTTTGCATACATGTTGCCAGAGATACAGCAAAAAAAAAAAGCTTTCTATCTTATCTGTCTATCTATACCTTTACGCCGACTAGACCGCGTTTAAAAGCAACAGTTTGTAATGGAAGTTGTGGTGGCACATTCTCCCTTATTATATCCTCCTGTAACAATTGTATTTGTTTCTAGCTACAAGTTTGTTCACCGTGTATCAGGCATCTTCCCAAGAAGGATGGGTTTTTATAATGTATAGAGCTATAGATTCTCTACCAACTTGGAGATCAGCTTTATACTTCAGGTGATAAAATCTCAGCTTAAATTATTTTCTTTTAAATTAAAAAGACATAATGAATCTGTTTTTTAGAGTTTCAAGCCCAAGTCACTAAACGTATTATCGTAAAAATTGGCATACACGTTGTACAGAAATAGACATATGAAAGCATAAAATCATCAAAGCTGCTGTCAAAAGTTATTCATATAATATTGTTTTCAGTACAATGATATTCTTTCTCGCCTGGCTGGTGAAAAATGTTTTCATAGCAGTCATAACCGAGACATTTAATGAAATACGAGTGCAATTTCAACAAATGTGGGGTGTAAGGAATCCTATCACCAAAGGGAGCACAACGCAATTTTTTACTGGCGATGACAATGGCTGGAAATTAGTTACCATAGATGAAAATAAGCATTCAGGTATCCAATCACTAATTTGTACAATAACTCGTTTAAAAAAATTTATCTCTTATCTTAATATATATAAATCTCCTGTCACGATGTTTGTCCGCGATGGACTCCTAAACTACTTAACCGATTATAAATTAAATTGGCACACCGTGAGCAGTCTGGTCCAACTTAAGAGATAGGATAGCTTAGATCTATAATTATAGTCGCAATTTTATTTTATTGCAAATTATTGGTCTATAATTAATTGACAGTCACAATTATCTGTTAACTCCAAAAGATTCTAACAGATGTCGATACTTTTCGACTGGATTGAGTAAGTAATCAATAGATGGCACTGCTATGGTAAACCGGCATAATGTATATGGCAAAACAACGTTTGCGGGGTCAGCTAGTTCACTATATTTTTCAATAACATTTCAGGCAGTGCTCCAGAAATATTCCACAAATTGCTGAGGTCTGCATACTTTCGCTTATTAGTTATGGGAGTTGTTTTGGCTAATGGAGTTATAACCGCAACCATGAATTTTAAACATGACGACAACCCGAGAGAATTCTTTTATGAAAAATACTATTACATAGAGGTAATATAGCTTAACTGGCTAACGTATACTTATATAAAAAATCGTATCTATCGTGGATTTTAAATAAATTGTATTATTATATTTAAAATTTACTCACTACCTTTACATATCATCATCATCAAAAACCCTAACAGTCCAATGCTGGACATAGACCTCTCGTTACAATGGATTTGTTTCAAGTTTTCTTTCTTTTTGCAGTGCTGTTCTTCTGCAGAGTTTGTTCCCTTAGTTGGCTCTTACGACACCCACGGGATGAATACAGGTGGTGACACTCTGTATTCTTAATCCGTCACGACACGTCATTTACATAGCAAACAATAGACCTAAACATAATTTGGAATCGGTGACGATGACTAAATGCAATTAACGGGTTATATTGGAGGGGGGGGGGGGGGAACTCAACGGTTACCACTTGTTATTCTTAAGTTCAGGGTCTCAATTCTGCTATTTTATGTTCACGCCAAGCCACTGTCATACCACTGACACGCTATTGAGATGCAATCGAGTGGCCATTGGCATGAGTATAAATATCGGTAGTCTACACTAACTTAGTGTTTTAACAGTGGCGATGGAATGGCAGTGGCTCATCAGTGGTGATATCAAAAAGATTGCCATATTTGGAAAAACAAATAAATCATTTTCTCAAAAAAACGTAATATATTTTCAAATTATAAGCAATTTATTTTTGCGTGTCAGTGGTGTGACAGTGGCTTGGCGTGAACATAAAATAGCAGAATTGAGGCCCAGATGTCCATGGGCGGCGGTAGTCACTTACCATGAGGTAGTCACCACCATAAAAAAATACAAATGAAGCATGGAGAAATCACTGAGCCATAGCTTTCCTCTCTTCCCAACTTAATTCTAAGATGCAACCTAACTTGTCCTGTTTTTTTTTAGATTGCTTTCACAATCTTCTTGGACTTAGAAGCATTAATAAAGATATGGTGTTTGGGTTTGAAAGGTTACTTCAAGCATTCTGTACACAAATTTGAGTTGCTTTTAGCTATTGGTACAACAATTCATATAATACCCCAGCTGTATATGTCAGGGTTCACATACTTTCAGGTATGTTATTTACAAATACTGTATATCTACTTAAGAAAAGACGATACAAAATTTTAATATGTCTTCTTTTTTCAGGTTCTTCGAATTGTAAGACTAATCAAAGCATCTCCACTATTGGAAGGATTTGTATACAAAATCTTTGGGCCTGGAAAGAAACTTGGCAGTCTGATAATATTCACAATGTGCTTACTTATAATCAGTTCATCTATATCCATGCAGTTATTTTGTTTTCTCTGTGAATTCACTAAATTTGAAACATTTGATGAGGTAATCTGACTAAGTAATGTAAATGTAAAAGTACTTTTAAGATACTTTTTGATAGTTAATAAATTAAGTTAAATTCTCTGTTCAACTTGGAATGAATAATAAATGAGTGAGAAAATGTAAACACATATTCTCATTCATTTATTAGTTAGTAGTTGGCCACCCTACAACGCCGGGGACCAACGGCGTGCCGGGGGCTGCTTAACTCTGCAGAAGACTGCGTGTTTACCTCAATCGCAACAGCTTTTCACCGAGAGAATACTAGGACCACTGGAGAGTAGAATTAGCACAGCTCTACTCCATCACTGCTTTACTGTGTAGAAACGAGACTATACAACTTATAACTAAACTGTCTTCAAGAGTAAAAGTAAACAGTGTGTATATGTTTACGAAGGTTTGTCTAACACTAATAGGTGTATAGCACTAATTTATAGCGGTGCCTATTTTTTGACCGCTCCAGGATAAAATTGTCACGAAAATTATCTGAATGTAGATGTAGTAATTTTTACCATTTCAGGCATTCATGTCTATGTTCCAAATCTTAACCCAGGAAGCGTGGGTAGAAGTAATGGACGAAACAATGGTACGAACAAGTCAAACTTTAACACCTTTGGTTGCCATTTACTTCATATTGTACCACCTATTTGTCACATTGGTAAGAATCACAATAATGACACCAATTTTTTTCAGCAGTAGATGATATTTTATTTTATTATAACGTTTTTATCTTCCAGATTGTGTTATCACTTTTCGTGGCTGTGATCCTCGATAACTTAGAACTGGACGAAGATATCAAAAAGTTAAAACAACTAAGATACCGGCAACAAAGCGCTGAGATTAAAGAAAGCCTACCCTTCAGATTGAGAATATTCGAGAAATTTCCTGACAGTCCCCAAATGACAAGGTTGCATAAAGTTCCGGGCGACTTTAATCTTCCAAAGGTAGAATTAGTATAGGATTGTTGTGTAGAATTAGTATAGAATTGTTGTGTAGAATTATTATTTACAAATATGAGGTCTGCCTTTTATCTATTTACATTTTTGAACTGTAGAAATGTTATATTATGCAGGTTCGCGAGTCATTCATGCGACAATTTGTGTGTGAGGTAGACGGTGAAGAGGACGTAGGTACAACAGGTGGCGGCGGTGGCGATGTGTCGAGACGTGCCTTTGAGTATATCGGCGTTGCTAAAATCGCGTTCCCATATCGTAAGCGATGTCTTGTCAAGACCCTTATGGTGGCGCCACCATCACAACGGCCCAGTTCCGCTCTAAGGAGACATGTTGTCAGTTCTATTATTGAGTAAGCCATTGTCTTTACTAATACACATATTTATATAATCGTAATGAATAACGTTCCACACAGATATCAGAAAAGGAAGAGGTACTCAACTCCGCAGTTGTATTATTATTTTTAATTTTTTGTTTTCTCATGACTTCGTGATTTATCAACCGATTTAAAAACTTTTCTTTTTAATTGTCGTTCCCCTTTGGTCCAATTCAATTTTAAAGAAATAATACCACTCCTTAAGGTGGATAATTAAGGAATGGAGTTGACAGTATATGAAATTCGTTATAACGTAGGCGTTAAGCAATACAGTATACCTAAGTTAAAAAAGTATCACTTCAAGTCGGTGAATCTTTTTAAATTTTTTGTTATAATCTTTATTTCAAAAAAATATAGTTCATCAAATTGGTGCATTAATGTTGTTTCTGACTAAGTTTTTTGTTTTGACTTTTCGTTTTAATTTTCAATTTTCCAGGTATTATTTGTGTTGCAGTCGAGGATCTATCGATTCAGGTTTTAGTTTTCTTTTTGTTACATTTATGTTCTTAATTGATTTTCCATAAATTGACGTTTTTTTTTTGGTTAACAGGGATTCCAATAATCATAGACCACTATTGGGCGATTCAGCTATGTTGGCCACTGGAGGTAAATCCGGACTGAAGCCCCAGGGAACTATAACAAGTGCTAAACAGTTACGGGTTGACCAAAAAAAGTATGTATTTAACGATTTAGTTTGATCGATTTAAACTTACTTAGTATACTACTATTTTTACTTATTTACAATATTTATTACAATATTGGATAGGGTTTTTCTGGGAGGAAAAATAGTCTAACTTACTCCTTATATACACAGCTACCTAGTATTAAAATATTATCACAATCGGTCCCGCCATTTAGAAGATTACCCGGAACAAATAGACAGACAGGCAAAAAGGAATTTAACTGGGTTTTAGGTTTTAGGCATAGGTATCGTGCAAATAAGCATGAAAACCACCATACTCAAAGTTTTATAACAAAAAAAAACTTAAGTAAACAAAATGCATTTTCCTTAGATTTTGTAATGACTAATTAATTAAATGAATGTTTAATATCGAGTGTTTCCATTATGGTTTCCATCCTGCGGACATGCTGCGGATGATGTTGTCAACGATTTCTTGGGGCAACCTCTGCCATTCTTCAAGTAATGCGTTTCGCAACTCGCCCAGATTGTTGGTCGGTGGCATTCTTGATTTCACAGTCCCATTTACCAAGTCTCAAACGTGTTCATTTGGATTCATATCCGGGGTCCGTGCTGGCCACTCCATCACCTTTACACCAACATAGTTAACGTATGACGTACTGAGCGAGCACTGTAAGTCCGAGCATTAGAATGAATTCGTTGCCAATAAAGGGTGCAAATGGCATAACATGTCGACCAATGTTCCGTTTTTAAATTGGACCGTAAATAAAAAAAAGTAATGTAACCGGCCAGTGTTACGAAAAAATACATTAATTTTTCCTTAGATTTGTGTTTTGCTAATTCTGCCGGCATGTGTATTTGTGGATGTACGTATGTGATCTACGCGACGCTCTTTAAATCTCTTGGAGTATGGCTACATTGAATGACTAATAACCTGAAATGGACCCTTGTTAATAATATATTTATATTTAACACGAAACCTTTTTTCTACCATTTGTATCTTTGTACACTTCTGTATTTAACTTACAGTAACTTGAAAAGAAGACTCACAAAAATTATTGTGCTCTTCCTGAAATTTCTTGAAAAAATGTTGTAATATTGTAGCTATAATATATTGCGTCTGCATTTGAATGAGAGGATTTGCAATTGGAGAGGCCTAAATCCGGCAGTAGACTGCGATAGGCTGATGATGATAATTGTAGCTACAGTCCTAATTAACGTGCAATCAATAATATGGCTCTAAGGTTCGGCTCACGTTCAATCCGGCGGTCGGTGCGCAGCGGCTCAATCAAACTCAAGCAAACATACGAACATTTGTTGGAAAACGGTGACATCGGAGCTGCGTCACGTGTCGTACCATCATCTCGGGCGCGTCCTCCCTACCTCGACATCCGTCTGCTGCAGGCCAAGAGACAACAAGCTGAAATGCGCCGGTAAATCTAACTGTAACTGTACTTGTTTTCTTAATGTTTCTTAGTTTTGGCAAACTAGACTTAGAGTAAATTGTTTGAGAAAGGTGTCACTTGTAAATGGGCATTCCAAGTTTGAATCTCACGAAAGTTTCTTATAGAAGTAACTGATTTGAATTAGGACCATATATCGCTTTATTAACTCTTGTGACTATAAAATTAAAGCGGTGTAAAACAAATTATTATCGATTAGGTGAGCGTTGTCGCTTTTGTAAGGCCAGTAAGCTCATTGTTATAAAGAATGTTTAATTTATTTAAGATTGCGAATCTAAATAAAAAACATTTTTAATACAATGTAAATTTTTTAAGTTTTAAATGTAGGTAAAAAAATTGGTTTATATTACCTTATAATAATTATATTATCACTAGCGATCCGTCCCGGCTTTTCACTGTAGATACTACTAAAGTGGTATCAGTGTGGAATAATTAATTATACTATTATTATGATAGGACTATACTACAGGACATCTTTAAATGTAATATTTGCTCCGATCCTACCGGCCGCTGCCACCCAGGACGGGCGTATGGCTCGGCAGTCGTTGGGCCTCCTCATTTTAAACTTCTAATAGCTTTTAAAATATTTATTTTAATGATATGACCAATTTTAATCTAGATTAAATGCACAACTTATCTAACGTATTTAATTGGATAGAAGGAAACATACATACATACATACATATATAAACATAATGTATTCTTTAAAATAGCTTCGTAAATTACCCCTTTTTTTTTGTAATATTTAAAAGATAAAAATGGTTACTGTGGCTTATCCTTAGAAGATAGACATATACCATCGTGGACTTTTTTATAGATCTTTTTAAGATATACAATTATGTAGTACATTATTTTGGTCTAACTCATAAAGTTTGGCCAGGGTTTGCAATGTACTGTGTATTGTTGTGTGTACTGTTTGTAATGTAATTATCGCACAAAAACTTGTTTTTGTTTTTCAACAAATCTTTGAAATACTCTACTATACTATGCATGTACATACATATAAATCACTCTCTCTATGAAATAAAACCGCATTAAAATCCTTTGCTTAGTTTAAAAGATCTAAGCGTACAACACAAAAAAAAATACTTTATTTTATACTATGTAAAGATATATTCTTACTTCTCGTATTTTTTTATTTCAGAAACCAACGAGAGGAAGATTTGCGTGAGAATCATCCTTTGTTCGACACACCGCTACTTATAGTGCCAAGAGAGTCTCGCTTCAGGAAGATATGTCGCGCTATAGTTGATGCCCGATACGATGCTCGCTTGCGGGACCCGGTCACTGGCAATGAAAGAAAAGTTCACTACAAAAGTTTTCAGTGAGTGCATGCCATTTTGTGATTAAAACCGTTATCGAGATTGTTGATATCAAGACGGGTTGGTATAGGGGTTGTTACAAATTTTCCTTCTCTTTGCAGTGCTGTTGTTTTGCGTAGTTTGCTCCCTTAGTAGGCTCTTACGACACCTACGGGATGAATACGGGTGGTGACACTCTGTATTCTCATCTGTCACCACACGGACAAAAAAATACTATTATATTATCACGACTCAACATATGAATAAGAAAAATTAATTAAACTGTATACAATATACATTATTTCTTACTTACTGATACTTGATGTATTTTTTGCAGTAATTTCTTGGGGTTAGTAACTTACATGGATTGGGTCATGATTATGGTCACCACTCTCTCTTGTTTTTCCATGATGTTTGAAACCCCCACAAACCGAGTTATGGCCAATTTTGTTTTGCAGGTGAGTGTACAAATATTTTTAATTTTTGATTGTCAATTTTATGCCTTTTTGTAATTGAATATGTAGCCTACTCAATAATATTTATAATATATGCATAATGTACATATATATATAAACATATACATATATACACAAATACATACAATCACCACTATACTCGTACAATACTTACTCTTATTGTGGAATTTATTCTTATTGTTTAAATCGTTCTAATCTCTGTGCTATCTTTTTTTACTTGGTCTTGGTCTATGTGGTACTTTTTAACTGATTTTCTGATGTATGTGTTTTCTATGTAATAAATTATTTTCGTCTTTCTACCGCCTATACGAACTTTAAAATTTCTCTTCACACATGCCTGGGTCGTAAATGCCCGTGTGTTAAGTATTTTCAAATTAATATAATACTATAAATACAAAATACTGGGCATGATTTTTGACTTTTTTTCATATTTCCCACCATACATAATTATCTGTTTAGACAGTCTTGTTTACACTACATAGTTACAGATACATGTCGACGTCTAGGACACGACACACTTTTGTTTAATCATTACCTATTATCTCTATTTAATAAAGATTTTTTCATATTGTAAAACATCTGGTTCTAGATTGCTGAGTATGGATTTGTCATCTTCATGAGTCTAGAACTGGCCTTAAAAATTTTAGCCGACGGATTATTTTTCACGCCTAAAGCTTATCTTAAAGATGCTGCGGCAGTACTGGACGTTTTTATTTATATCGTAAGTGTAAAAGTTTATTTAATGTAATACATACCTTTATGTGACTTATGCCAAAAAAGATTATTTCTAAAAGGACTTTTTGGCATTTGTTTAATTTTTTTTACAGGTATCACTGACATTCCTTTGCTGGATGCCAGTGCGGGTGCCACCGGGCTCGCCCGCGCAGATGCTCATGATTCTACGTTGCGTACGTCCTCTGCGTATTTTTACGCTTGTCCCCCACATGAGAAAAGTTGTCTACGAACTGTGTCGTGGATTCAAAGAGATTCTACTGGTAAGCAGTAAAACGGTTTTCCTTATGACATTTTGGCAGGGTTTTATAAGGAACTAGTCTAAAGATGAAAAGATAGATATGAAGAAAGATCTTTCATTACGCTTAACTGATGAGGTCCATGTTAAAGTTTGCTCAGCTATTTACTATCATTAAACGGTTTCAATATTTACTATAAAGGTTTCTATTTAATTTCCGCAGGTATCGACGCTTCTGATTCTTCTGATGTTTGTGTTTGCGAGTTATGGTGTTCAGCTGTATGGTGGCAGGTGAGGATTACATAAAGAATTAAATAGGATTTTTATTTTGAAATATCAATGTCATTATATATATGCATGTTTAGTAAAGTTTTGTACTAGAAAGAAAAAGGAAAGAAACACCTAGAATCAGGCTCTTTTTTCATTAAGAATAAAGAGAATGGACGGCTTGTTTTTTTTAAAATGTGTAAATGATTTTTAGGCTAGCGCGTTGTAACGATCCTACAATAACTCGACGTGAGGACTGTGTAGGAGTGTTTATGCGACGCGTATTCGTTACTAAAATGAAGATACGACCAGGACCCAATGAAACTTTCCCTTCGATGCTGGTACCAAGAGTGTGGTACGTATGGCGGCCCGATATTGTCCTAAAACCATAGCGTTTTAGAATTTGTTATGTAATTGAATTTTAAATTTAAAAGTTTAATTTAATTCACAATTTAATTTGTTTTAACAATTAAAAAATTGTCTATGGCAAAAGAAACTATTTAAAACCGTCAGAATGACATAAACTAAATATTAAAAAAATATCAAAATCATGTTTCAGTATCGTTTAACTATTACAGGGCAAACCCGAAACGATTCAATTTTGATAACATTGGTGACGCGCTGCTCACGTTATTTGAAGTACTTTCGTTCAAAGGCTGGCTAGATGTTCGCGATGTGTTGATCAAAGCACTGGGACCGGTTGGTATTTTGATTATATTTTATTTTAATAAGGTTCATATTTGAATTGTATTTTTATTTTGATTCCTTATCGCTTTTTTATAATAAGTTTTGAGTGATGATATTTTATCCTTTAATAACTAGGTAATAAGATGTTTCTGCTACTGAATATTTTTACTAGCCACATTATATTTTCAGGTTCATGCTATCTACATACATGTTTATATCTTTTTGGGCTGCATGATTGGATTGACCTTGTTTGTAGGCGTCGTGATAGCAAACTATTCTGAAAACAAAGGCACTGCTTTATTGACGGTTGACCAGAGGCGGTGGTAAGCCTCTTTTTTATTTATTTCATAAAATAACTTATCTTATTTATGGATATCGTTTAATCCTTTTTAATTTTTAGGTGTGATCTAAAAAAGAGGTTGAAAATTGCCCAGCCGCTGCATTTACCGCCACGTCCTAACAAACGCAAAGTTCGTGCGTTCGCGTACGACGTCACACAAAACCTGAGCTTTAAACGAGTGATCGCCATCGTTGTACTTATTAATAGTGGATTGTTGGCAGTTACGGTAGGTACACGCACAAATTGTTACTTCTGTATTGACATGCCATGCATATGCCATGCCATGCATATGCCTATGGAGAGTTGACGTAAGAAAAGAGCGTACTCCTTCCTGAAAGGCCGGCAAACGCGTTTGTGACTCCTAAGTTGCAGACGTTCATGGACGGCTATAGTCACTTTCCATCAGGTGACCCTTCTGCTCGTCTGCCCCTTCTAACATTAAAAAAAATCTTCGGAGACTAATTAAAAAACATATCCCGCAAGAAAGATAGTATAGAATGAACTAGTGCGAATGAAAGTATAGACTAGAGATGTGCCTTATGTACTGACCCGTATATATTTATTTGCACTATTACAAACGGACGTTTAGCTATGAAAAGCCTTGGCCTTTGGCACATACGGCCGGCTCGACCGGAGTGTTACCACTGCCCCACAAAATAACCGGTATTTCGCTTTTTTTTCTTTGCTTTTCACCTTGTGAGTGAGATTACCGAAGCCCAACTCTCCCCCCTCTCCTCCTACCCTCTGAAATCAAAGGGTGGCAATATACTTGTGACTCTTGAGTTGCTCCGTCAGGTGATCCGTCTGCTCTCGACGATCTCGTCGGTCCCCCTATAGCATAAAAAAAAACTTTAAGTCCTTGCTACTATACTTATACTCCAATTGCACTTTTTATATACCTCTTCCCGCCTAATATGAACACTTGCTTCTCTGAACCGTTGCAGTGGTCTCGCTACTCGCCGTACACTGAACAACTAGCTCTGACGTCCGCTCTACTGACATTGGTGTTCGTGGTGGAAGTATTGCTGAAGACGATAGCGTTCACCCCGCGCGGCTATTGGCAGAGTCGACGCAACCGATACGATTTGCTCGTCACCGTCGCCGGCTGCATATGGATATTTATGCATTTCACATTGAAGGTAGTCACAAGCCGTTAAAACGATTCATTTTAATACGTTCTTCATAATAATAATATTTAGTTTTGTATCCGACACAAAGATTGACTTTAAACTGTAAATAGTGTTCGTAAAACTCATGCAGTATAATAATAACTTCATTATTCTCACACATGGCCGTCTGATCCTGACCTGATTTGTCTAACAACTACTCATTGCTGTGAATATTATGGTACGTTTATACGCTTGGCAAGTCTCGACAAGTGTCCACAAACACAGCGTGTAAACGTGCTGTTTGGCTTGGTTTTCAGGGCTAGTATCGGTTTTTAAACACAGATCAAAGGAAGCTTGCGGCAAACTTTGCGACGTATTTACATGTTGGCTTGTGCTCGTTCCCCATTGCTCAATTGGACTGCTCAATTTTATAATAGTCGAGCAGTTTAGAATCAACATTAAGCCCCAATGCTCTAGTGACGGATACGGATAAGAATACAGAGTGTCACCACCCCTATTCATCCCGTGGGTGTCGTAAGAGGCGACTAAGGGAGCGAAATACGCAGGACACCAGCACTGCAGAGAGAAGGAAAACTTGACACAAACCCTATACCAACCCGTCTGGCCAGCGTGGTATAGTAGGCCAAAACCTCCTTTCTAAGGAGAGGCCTATGTCCAGCAGTGGACTGTTAAAGGCTGTTGATGATGATGATGGCTCTAGTGTTTATATGTTGAGTAAAAATATGTCAAGTAAAATGCAATAGCCGACACAACTTCAACGTCCACGTCAGCAAGCGTTTGTAAAGCCTTAGAGCTTGTGGACGCAAGCGTGTAAACTAGGCGTTATACTTAGATTTTCGTAAATACATATAAATAGGCTTGTGTCCACTAATAACGAAATGGTTGGTTTATAGTTTCAAATTATAAATGAAGAGATATAGATAAGGAAAACCAGTCTATTTCTCATAAGAGTTAAATATTATTAATATTTTTTTCTTTTTTAAATCGCACAAAATAGGCATTAAGGCACGTGACAGCGAACACCAATCAGAAAGTGTTACGTCACGCCACGCAAAACATCATTGTTGTTGTTGATGTTTTCATACAACAGAGCAGGTTACTCCTTATTGTTTTTTTTTGTTTTCAGCATATTTTCTCACCTTAATTCAGTTTCAGTTGACACTGGACACAGGTGTAAACAGTTTTGTTTCGCAGACTGTGACGTCATCAAGACGCCATGACAATATGCATCGTTTTCAAGGGAAATATAATTGTTTTTTTTAAAATACAAAATACGTAATGTAAATATTGCTTTTTCTTTAAAATATAGTTTTTTTAGGATAAAATAGATATTAAAGTATAAAATTAACAAAGTTTTCAAATTGAGTCAATTAGCCTATTGTACTTTCCATTTTATGACCTGGCTGTTGTAGTCTCTAATCACAGGGCGGACATGCGGGTCCGAACCACTTTTCCAGCTCTTGCAACCTCAGTCCCATCCGAGAACTGCTGTATGTAGCTTCCACGCCATCTATCAACGACTACATTCCCATGGTAGGCATCAAGCAGTCCAGTCATAAAAAACCCGGATAATATCCTTTGCAATTGTACCGAGCCCCAAATAAAATTGGGAAAATACTATATAATAATACATTAGATGAACAAATCTTTATCACGTATTATATAACTTAGTTCTCTTTTTTGTAGAACGACTTATCGTACTTCGTGGGGTTCATGGTAGTGATCCTGCGTTTCTTTACGATCACGGGCAAACACACAACGCTGAAGATGTTAATGCTCACCGTCGGAGTGAGCGTCTGCAAGAGTTTCTTTATCATATTCGGCATGTTCCTACTTGTCTTCTTCTATGCACTGGCGGGTACCATTGTATTTGGTAATGTCAAATATGGCGAAGGTATTGGACGGTACGTATAATTTTTTTGAATTTAGATTTAATTTTTATGTTTATGATATTTGTTTTTATTTGTTTCGATAACCTACACTTCAAAGGATTTTCATCATAATCATTTATTGTAAAGTCACTAATTAGATTTCTGCACAGATAAATTACTATAGTTGACAATAACTATAGATAAATAAATAGATAAATTATATAGATAAACTATATAAAGATAAATGACTATAAATGACACAGATAATTGGCGAGCTCAAGTTACTAGCGTGAGCCAGAAAGTAACTGGAAACCTGCGAACATTATATCGTCTAAAGAATTTCCTGCCCCTTAAAACTAAAACCACACTCATGCAGTCCTTAATAATTCCAATAATTGACTATGGTGATGTATGTTACTTCGACCTGAATGCAGACCTTTCTTAATAAACTGGACCGTCTTCTCAATAACTGCATTCGATACATTTTCAATCTTCGGAAGTATGACCATGTGTCTGCTTTGCGCTCCCAATTAAACTGGTTATCTATTCGCCTGCGTCGCCATCAGCGTGCACTTACCTCTCTATTTTCACTCTTAAACTCACCGACTTCACCTACTTACCTCGCTCCCTACCTGCGTTACCTGTCCTCTAATCACGACAGAAAGCTTCACTCAGAAAATAATCTGCTTTTCTTATGTCCCTCCCAAAACTCCAACTTCGTGAACTCTTCGTTCTTTGTTCAAGCAGTACTAATCTGGAATGCGCTCCCGCTCGAAATCAGGATGTCCACTATCCGTTTTGTATTCAAAAATAAGGTGCATGATCTCCTTCTTAATAAAATGGCAGAACTACCCAGTCCATAGTACACCTCACATTCCGGTATACATAGTGTACGAATATAACATGTATATTTATAAAGATGTATATATATATATATATATATATATATATTTATATATGTATGTGTATGATGTGATGTGTTGTATATGTGTATGTATGTAGTGAACCGTGTATAATAATAATAATAATTTTTTTTTAATATTCATTTATATTTTTATATATTACATGCCATAATATGTAACCTCTGTGCACCTACCTTATATGATTTCTACACCACCAGAAGGTTGACTGGAAGAGAATGCCTTGGGCATTAAGTCCGCCGATGTACAAAAGTGCATAAAGTTTGAAATAAATAATAAATAAATAATTGACGCTTCTTCTTACGCTGAGTGTTGTGGGTTCGATCCCCACATGGGACGACCCTTTGTGTGATCCACAAATTATTGTTCTGAGTCTGGGTGTTCTTTGTATCCGTTTTATGTATGTTTGTAAAGTCCCCCGCGACACAGGATATATTCCTAATGCGGGAGTTGTCTTTTTATAACAAAAAAAAATTGATCTCAAAACCAGGTAAATTTTACGGGTTAATTTGAATTCACGATAATAGTAAATCCTCGAGAATTGGGCTATGAAATTCCAAAAAAAAATGTTTTTTAGCTCGATTAGTCATTTCACGTTCATCAAAAAAAAAACAACAAAAGTAGCAGTAAATAATCCCAAACATAGTAAACAATTCCAATGCAACATGAATCTTAAAACATTAAGTTAAGAATAGAAGCAAATTTTCAGGCGGGCGAACTTTAACTCACCGATCCACAGCGTGGCAATGCTATTTCGCATAGTGACGGGCGAGGACTGGAATAAGATCATGCACGACTGCATGGTGGCGCCGCCCTACTGCACGCCGGCTGACAACTACTGGGAGACGGACTGCGGCAACTTCACCGCCTCGCTGGCCTACTTCTGCACCTTCTACGTCATCATCACTTACATTGTGCTCAACCTGCTCGTGGGTAAAGACATCTTGTTACACTAAAGCGAGTCTTGCAGTAGTCGCATATGATGTCTAAAATCATGCACGATCTGACGGCCAACTATAGCATCGCGCGGCAAACAAGAAGAAATTCGATTGACATCGTGTTCCTCGAGGTGTATTACTTTAGGGGGCATTTTTTTATGAAAGAGCAGACCGGTCACCTTATAGAAAGTGACTACCGCCGCCCATGAACGAGTGCAACTCTGGAGTCACAACCGCGTTGCCGGCCTTTGAAGAAGAAGTACGCTCTCTTCTTAAAAATTTAAACCTGTTTTTTTTAAATTACTAAGTGTGCGTGACACTTAGTAATTTAAAGGTCATGATCACAAATATTATGATCTATTGCTGTTTTGGAAAAACTGATTACAAAGTGTTTTAATTGTTTTTTCTCCCGTTCAATGAGACTCTGTTGATTTATTTTTTGTGTACTCTTTTCTTTGCAGCTATTATTATGGAGAATTTCTCACTGTTCTATTCAAACGAAGAAGATGCTTTATTATCATACGCCGATATAAGAAATTTTCAAAACACGTGGAACGTTGTGGATGTTCATCAGAAAGGTGTTATACCAGTAAAGAAGGTAAACTATTAGTAATTTAAACGGCCTTAATGTTTACTATTTACAACAATAACTTGTGAACCATTGTTATTCTTTTGTAGGTAAAATTTATTTTGCGTTTACTAAAAGGTCGTTTGGAATGTGACACACACAAAGAGAGACTATTGTTCAAATATATGTGCTATGAACTGGAACGTTTGCATAATGGAGAAGACGTTACCTTCCATGATGTCATCAAGTGAGTGGACTTCTACTAGGCATGCCTTTTAAGTTCTGTCGTTTCCATATTTCCCGCCAATTTTGAATTTTGGAACTGTTCTATATTCGAATGTGTTTAAATTTTGAATCTCAAAACAGTTGAAAGTATTAAGATTAATGTTATTGTTTAGTCACAGCATCGATTGGAATCTGTGAGGTTACGTACGAAAATGAATCTTTCTAAGGAAAATGTTCGTGCAATAATTTTCTACAACTTTAGAAGAGGCCTGACACGGCTTCAGTGTTTTGAAGAGCTAACATCTGTGTTCAGTGATGAAGCCCCATGTCTGCGGACTGTCGAACGCTGGTATTTAGAATTTCAGCGTGGACATACTAGTGTTAGTGACAAAACTGGCGAAGGACGCCCAAAATCCGCCTTCACTGAAGATAACATCATTGCTTTGAGACAACTAATTCTCGAAGATCGTCATGTGACGTATCGAGAGATAGAGGCTCTATTAGGCATCTCAGGGACAACCATTCAGAAGATCTTGCATGAAGCGCTTGGTGTGAGAAAGCTAGTTTGCCGTTGGATATCGCATCTGCTTTCCGACGATCACAAGGCGGCCCGCGTTAGATGGTGTAAGAAAACTCTGCAAAGGTTCAAACCGAGGAGAGTCAAATCACGTCTACGACATCATCAGTGGTAACAAATCTTGGATCTATGCCTACGATCCTGATTCCAAACAACAATCTACAATCTGGGTCTTTCAAGACGAGCCAAAGCAGACTAAAGTTGTTCGTTCTCAAAGCACTTCAAAGAAGATAGTGGCCACGTTCGTTGGAAAAACCGGCCATGTTGCGACTATTGCACTTGAAGATCGTAGAACGGTTAACGCAGAGTGGTATACCAAAGTTTGTTTACGCAACGCAAGCTCACACAGCGCTCGTGAAACGATTGAGTATTTGAAGCAGGAAAAGAAATTCTTGACCATCCTCCATACAGTTCTTTTTTTTTTTTTTTTACGTGTGGAAATCCCCTCGGACCGTCACCCCACCGAGGTTTGCGGCGGGGTGGTGGGTCGGACTCGAACCGACTAAAACCACACGGTGTGCCACTCTGCGAATGTAGTAGGAGGGATCCGGGAACAGCTGTTATTAAGACATCCGGACCCCTCCTAGCGCCGGCCCGCTCCTGTTGCGGGCCCCGTCTCAAAATTTTCCTCTCTTTAGGCGACGTCCGGCACACGCGGACGCCGCCCCCTCGCGGCTGGCCAAACTAATGCGGGTGGAGGGGAAACCCACCCCGTCCACCCGCGGCCACACTCAGGGCGGCATGAGGCGGTGATAGGCGCGCCTCCGCCGCCCGGTTCGCCGGCGGCGGATTGGGTCCGAGTGGAGGTCGTCCTCCCGGGCCTTCTCCGCCGCCTCCTTCTGCGAGATTACTTCCTCGCAGAAGGTTGCGACCGCGGTAAACAACTGTCGCTACCGGCCATGGAGCGTACTACGGCCGGTAGCGAGAAATCCACTCCGATGACTGCAGTGAGGGCCCGGCGCTGCGTCGCCCATGCGGGGCAGACCGCCAGCGTGTGCTGGGCCGAGTCCTCACTGCAGTCGCAGTGGTGGCAGGCGGGACTCAGTTCCCTCCTAGCGACCGAGTGCAGGTACTTTCCGAAGCAACCGTGCCTGGAAAGCACCTGCGTCAGCCGGAAGGTAAGGGTCCCGTGCTGCCACCCTGCCCACTCGGCGATGACCGGCTGGAGAGCCTCCACGGCGGCGAAGCCAGCGCGTGGAGTCTCCAGCCGAAACGACCAACGAGCCATCGTGGCTCGGCGAGCGGCTTCGCGCCACTCGCGCACGTCAGCCACTCGCCGATAAACCTCGGCGAGCACTTCCGCCTCCAAATCCCACGGGGAAGTTCCGGCCAACGCGCACGCCACCTCCGTCGAAACGGTGCGGTAACCGCGTATGGCTCTGACCGCCATTACCCTCTGAGGGCGCCAGAGGCGTGCCCTATTCTGGGCGGTCAGAGCCGCCGCCCACACCGGTGCACCGTATAGTGCCATTGACCGGACAACCCCCGTGTACAGCCGTCTTGTCGCGACGCTGGGTCCACCCAAATTGGGCAAAAGTCGCCCTAGGGCAGACGCAGCGCCGACCAGCTTTGGAGCAAGCTGTCGGAAGTGCTCGTCGAAGAGCCACCTCCCGTCGAGGATCAGGCCCAGATATTTCATCTGGGCCCGAACCGGTACGAGGACCGAGTTGACCACGATTGAGGCGCCAGGGGGTGGACCACGACGGGGCCCATGAAATAACAGAGCCTCCGTCTTATCTAGGGCCACCCGTAAGCCCAGCGCCTCAATGCGCCCGATAGCCAGGGAGACTCCCCTTGTGGCCAGGCGCGCCGCCTCTTGGAAGTTCGCCCCCCGGGCTGTAACCAGAGTATCGTCTGCGTAACAAATTGCACCCAGCCCGGGGGGGAATCCTCCATACAGTCCTGACCTAAGCCCTAACGATTTCGTTACATTTCCTAAAATTAAGAAAAGTCGTTGTGGTCAAAGGTTCCAGTCCGGTGAAGAAGCAGTCGACGCTTTCAAGTCAGCCATTTTGAACACCCCCACTTTAGAGGGGAATAAATGTTATGAATAATTGGTTTGAGCGAATGAAAAAGTGTATTAAGCTACGTGGTGAATACTTTGAAAAACAATAAAAAGTACTATAAGGTTCTAGTTGTTTTTTTCTTCAAACGACAAAACTTAAAAGTCATGACTCGTAATAACTTGCATAAATCAATCATTCACTTTAATAGAAAACGATTTCAATGCATCTACATTATTATAAATTGTAATAAACTGTATTCTTCATTCCTATTTTCGCCTTTAGGCATGGTTTTATTTTTACAAATTTGCATTAAACTAAATGGGAAGTGTACGGAAGTGGGTATCTTTACTACAAAGGAATCATTATTTTCAGTATGCTATCTTATCGGACGGTGGACATTCGCAAATCTCTACAAATGGAAGAATTGCTGGCAAGAGAGGAGTTTGAGTTCTTGATCGAAGAGGAAGTGGCTAAACAAACTATACGAACGTGGTTGGAGGGCTGTTTGAAGAAAATACGCGCTAATAGCAGCGTAAGTACCAAGTCTGCTGTTTTTAATTCACAAGTCTTTTTTTACCTGTTTATTATGTGTATCTTGTGTTATTTTTTATTAATTAGACCACCTGTATAGAAAATATCTAAACAATAGACTGGCCAAAATTGAAGTATTGATACTATTAAAATATCAAAAATTATTCTTAAAGAAAGAAAAAGCTTTTACATGAATAAGTTTTGGAGTGAGTCGTTTCTGCTCAGTTCAATTAAGGTTTCCTCGCAATCTTGCGTTTTTTCTTGTAATAATGGAAACAAAAAAAAAAGTGTAGAGTATATACCACTATCACTGTTATGTATTCTTGGCTACTGATATATTATACTGCTACCGTGTAGGTTACTATTGGTCTGCGTGTGGGGTCTTGTGTGCAGGAGAGAAATAAGTATGGAGATCACTAAATATTACTTTATTCTAACTCGGGAATTACAGGGGTACAGGTATCGGTAACGAGAACTCAACAACAACTGTATACTAGTTTTATGATGAACAAATTGTATTTGTACAATAAATATTTTTATTATTATTTCTTAAGTATTTGTTATAAGGTATTGAAAATAAGAAGATTAAGACAGGCATATACTTACTGCTATACTATTCTGGGCATAAACTTCAATTAAAAACATTAGAATATCTTATTTGAAATTACATTTTTTTTCGAATAATCTTAAAAAGGCTTTATGTAATAATAAGTATATGGTAAATAATATTTCAAGAGAATACACTAAATTATTTCATTCGTTCGTCGATAGTTTAAAAAATATAATCGTAAACCTAATACAGTGTTCGCTCGCAATTCCACGCAATAACTAGGTGCGTATAAAAATCCAAAAATTCTACCTACAATAGCGATACGAAATTTATCTGTTTAAACTTGTTTTCACCTTCTAAATTTATCCTTTTCCAGAAACAACAAACAAGTCTTATAGCTGGTCTGAGAAAAACGAACGAACAGGCTGTTGACCTTAACAGTGAGAAAGTGGACAAAGAGAAACAAGAAACTGAAGCTCAGGTTATAATATATATTTATCTCAAAGAAACGACCCAACACATTAGTTTTTTAGGGTTCCGTACCTCAAAGGGAAAAAAGCGGAACCCTTATAGGATCACTTTGTTGTCCGTCTGTCTGTCAAGACCATTTATCTCGGCAACGCGTGGAGGTATCGAGTTCTATTAAAACCATATACTTAGGTCTACGGTCCCTTGAAGCCCTAAAATAATTAAACTTAAGTTAACGTAAAAAAAAAGATACGGCGCAAAAACCGCATATTTAGACACTCTCAAGGGAATCAAAATTCATAGGGTACTGTCTTAACCTATAACTCTGAAATTATGCTAGTAACATCGTCTTATAAGTACAGGGCATAATATGTACCTACAATTGTGTTCGGAATCCTCGGTAGGCGAGTACGACTCACACTTGTCCGAAGTTTTTTAAATAGTGAGAAGCTATCTTACTCTGAAACTCTTCTGTTTTTGATAATTAAATATATTAGTAACGGTATCAATTTTTTTTCGGAATGAAATGAATAGGTAATGTTCAAAACACGAATGCTAGATAAATTACTTGTAATAACACCTTGCAAATGGATTTAACTACATAAAATGTACTCCTGCGTCTTATCAATTTTTCCATGCCTTGGAATATTTTTTTGGGGCTAAAAGACACCCTATGTCATTTTCTGTAGCCCTGATATTTATGTATATAACATTAAATAATTAACAAATAAATACTGAATTTTGAGTAAATTGTATGTAACATTAAATAATTAACAAACATACATTGAATTTTGTATAAATTGTATATAAAAACCAATGTTAAAGACTTATGATGCAAACTTTCACATTCGCTTCAGGTCACCGCAAACCTAGGGCGTACGGAAATTACAGAATCGACTTCACAACCGGTTATATCTAGTAAGTGATTTATCTAATACGGCTTTGGATTTATTCGTTATTAAATTCAAACTAATTTTTTGATTTTCATTTTACAGACATAACATCTTCATTTGATTTGCCGCCTAAGAGATCGTCCACTAAAAGTCAGTTTAAAAGACCTGGATTACCATCTGTTACCATTCCTAGGTAAGGGTTAACTTTTATAATGCGGAACCAATTTTATGTAGACAAGGTAAAAATATAAGAAGTGGGTTAAAGCAGTTAGAAAGGGTTTTTTGTAGTTAAAATACGTAATGTATGCATGGAAAAATTGAGTTTGAGAGAAAACATGTAAACAGTCAAACGTTACTATAGTAACGACAGTAACTAAAATCTATAACCTCAGGTTTGATAACCGCGACCAACTAGCTCTATACGACGAGCGCGTTCGGCGTTGTGATTGGCGAAGAGTTCAGTGCAGTAGATGTGAAATAAACCCACACTAGGCCCTCTGGTTTTAACCGGAGTCTAAAACTCTCCTCCCCTGGTTCTTATTAAAAAATAAAGTATAATTGCAGGCCCGAAAGCCCTATTAAAAAGTATCTTCAGCCAACACTCAGCGATCCACATCCAACTCTCAACAAAAAGTCGACATGTGAGTACATAATGTGTAATTGTAATGTAATTATTTGCTCAATAGTTTATTTTTTTAATGATTTAGTTTATATTTATTATACAGCACATTTATGTTCTAAAATTCATTAGATAATAATATCAAAAATATCACAAGCACTTCTATGCATCTTTTACCATTTTAATTTTATTTTTTAATTCAACCAATGGATAATTCACTTTGTGTGTGTGTTACGTGATATTTTGACCATTTGTGAACCGACTTAGTCTTTTTAATTATTTTTGCCAAAGGTCAAAGATCCACTTAAAATATTAATGACAAGGAATGAACAAACTTACTTCTACGTATCTTGATTTAGTCGCATTGAATTCGGTCATAATTTTTTTTAAAGAATAGTTCATCTTTTAGTCAAATTATATGATAATAGCGTCACATCTGACAGCTATTGTCAGATCCTAGCCACTTAGGCAGAGCCTGTGCTACGGTATCCAAACTGCAGATAAAAATACTTATAAATTTCTAAATAAATACATGTTATCGATGAATTGCACCCAGATACAGAACAAATGTGGGAATCTACTACTGGCTTAGCAGTCAGAAACACTAACCACTAGACCAACAGTCCCGTCAACACGCTGTATAATAAATATAATATAACAATGTATAAACATAACGTGTTTATTTAGCGGTGAAGAGCAACAGTCGATCGCAACACGCCAACTCAGGAGGAGGAGGCTTCGCGGGCAGCGGGCGCGACCTGCCTGCCCTACACGACGTGCAATCCTGGTGGGGTGCTCAGGTCGCCAGGCTCGCCGTCGGGGATTGCGACTAAATGTCGCAATAAATTGCAATCTAAAATTATTGAATATTATCAAACCGCTTGACATCGTTATCTAAACAACTATAGAAAGCGGGCGTCTGATAAGTCGATTTAGTTCAAAGATTAGCTTACTCGAAAACCTCTAAAAACCACCATACCTTTTACAAGTTTACCTTACCGATCCAGTTCAACTGAGAGAATACTTCCTCAAGACAACTGTTAACCTTAATGTTACTCCGCGGAGTATAGGCCTCAATTCATGACTTTACAATTACACAAGTAAACATAACTATGTTATAAGTACTGGATGAATAAGTCCTCCTTCCTTATGCTTTAGGTTTGACCTGAGCAAGTTCTATAAGAATATTGTCAGCTGTTTTGTTTTCATACTTTCGCCAGGTATTTTCTTCAGTTAGCGAAGGACGACAAAATATATATAGAAATAGCACCTAATTTATTATGTATTTAAGTGTTTAAGTATCCATAAATAAAAATATTGAATAGCAAATATTATATAAAACAATATATTCGAATGTGTTAAATGTAAACGTCTGTTTCTGTTTACGTACCAAATTAGTTGAAGTAAAAATTAAAAAATATTCTGATTATTTTATTTCAAAATCATTTTAAGGTGGCGATTACAAGTAACATTTTGAATTATTTTATTTGACTACAAATCGGGTAAAGTTGATTGTATTCTTAACAATCTATATAAGAATTAGAATTATATATTAGAATTTAGAATTATTATCATTGTATATTTGTTCTAGGATACAAATATACAATGATATTAATTCCAAATTCATAATATCATAAAATCAATTACAGAATATTTTTATAATCATACATCATTGTAAGTAGTGACACATTCCTAAAGAGAATAGTACGATGACTGTTATTGTGAGCACGAGACACAGATATCGGCCTGCGATGGGGCAGTGGAACAGTTTAGCGTGCATCTGTAGCGTAGAGGCATACATAAGCACTGTGCTGATATCCTCTTGCGACGTATCCTGGTGGAGAAATGGACGAACACACAATTCATGGCCGACTGATTGCGTCTTCCTGCATTCGTCTGATAAGCGAGCAGCCTGTAAAAGTTAAAAAAGAAATCATTAAAATGAGCTGTACTGATAAAATTGCATACTGAACATTTATGTTAATGTGTGTGCGTTTTAAAATAAATGAATGAATGCCTACTTTGTGACGTTTGTAGGCAAATAATCCGTTATGTTCATTCGTGTAAATAATTTCGTAAAATGTAATTACGTAAGTTTAATAAGTTAATTTAAGTTTGACGCATTTAGGATTCGCTTTATAATGTCAGATAACAGAAAAATGGGGGATTTTAGTTAAATTTTTATTTGTATTATATTTAATATAGGTATAATCTATATAGGTATAAGCTAGTAGTAAAATTCTTAAGTAGCTACAAGTAGCAGTAGCACAAGCTAGTAGTACATTTCCTTTGAGAAAATTGTGACCATAAGCTTTCGAACGAAAGAAGTCCTTGGTACCTGTTTGGTCAGGGGGCGGGGCATGACTGTTACGTCACTATATTCTTAACGCGAATGGACTATAGCAATAAATTGACCCACTGAAGGAGCAAATTAAGTATTTAAACCACTAATACATCATCTTTAATAGTTTTACGTAGAAATTCCAAAATTCGCAACGCATGAAGACGCAACCAAATCAATGCATCTTAATATACTTACTAACAAAGGTACAGTATAGTATTACAGGTAAAGTCTTATCACACTTACGTACCAGGAGCCGTTTAATTGACTCTAAAAAATACATCATAAAATTACCTGTACAAATGGTACGACAACTGCTGACATCCATATAAATTCATTAAGTACGCTGATGCCAATAATTGGTTCTGTCTCCGTATCCACTTTATCCAAGTTTAAAAGCCACATGACACCTGATGTAGCCCAAGAAATGTTTACTATGGTAAACAAGCAAACTGCTGGAGCCAAGTCGTCGTTCAAATACTTAAGTAGTTTTCGAAATTCAGAAATTTCCTACAACATAATCTATAGTTGTGAAGCTCGAATTTGCAAGAGGGAAACAGTGAGTACATCATAAAAACACATTTATAGATTGAATTTAAATAAAATAAAAGAAATCTTACTCTCATCCAGTGCAAAGGCGTTATAGTACGATTAAGCAATCGCTCTTTTAAAAACATTAAATGGGCTTGCAACAACTGCGCTTGTAGGCAATAACTTGCAATAATAGTAGCTTGGACCATATCGTGAATTAATGTGCATATGATTAACAAAACTTTTAGCACAAGTTTTACTTCATATGAGCTGAAAAAAATACTATGCAGTTAAAGCCAAACTTAAAATAACGAGAAATTAGCAATATCGCTCAGCCCACCTGGTTTCCATCCACCGGAAAATGATATTTCCTTTGGCTAGCATAAGATTAACAGAACACAAAGATAGGCACATCCACAGAACGCTAAGTAATATGAAGAACCACAACATGCGTAAAAGTCTCTTTGGTTTGCTTGTTGGCATTCCCTGGGGAGCGTACGATGAAAGCAGAAACACCTGAACAAAGAAAAACAGATCATTATACACAATCGTACAAAAACTGTTCTCAGCCCATATCGTGTGCGTTGCCCCAGCGGAAAAGTTCGAATTTCATTATTTGAGTTTAACAGATATTTAGTGTATGACGTCGTGTAATTGTGTAAAAATGTAAGTAAAAATTTGTGGGGAGTTATTCACGAAAAACTGTTTTTTTATTTTTTACTTTTTTATTCTTTGGACGTAGAAGAAAAAAAATGGTATCAAAAATTAGTGTATGACGTGAGATAATTGAGTATGTCTAAATGAAATTTGTGTGCCAATAAACTGGTACAGTATAGTACTGGTATGGAATTGGTACAGGTGGTTAAAATTTCGAGATTAAGACATTAGGTGGCTTGCTTTTTTTGCAACTACTGTTTCCAGCGTATTTGCTTAACGCAGTACAATTCTTAAAATAGAAATATTTATGACAAAAAAATACAAATCAAGTGCCTAAATTCATAATGGGCAATTCATTGCATAGTAGACCATAATTATATCTTGGAAAAATTATAAAATATATTATATATATAGTATATGCATACCTATAATATTATCATACCATCACAATCAGGATAACACACAGCCGTCCATCATTTCGACATGACGAAAGTCCGAGTTCGTATTTTAGACACCCTAGCAGATTCATCATATCCGTAAAGTTTTAGATATTATTTGTGTATTTATTAAGTCCGAATATAAAGTCATTTTTTTTGTAAAGTATTTTAAATTAATCAAAGTATGCACCGTTGGTATCTTTGCTTGGCTTAGGTAGTTCATTGATCCCTTTACTAAAAAAACCATGGGGGCGAGAATCAATAAACTCTTTGAAGGCGGTTTGGACTGCCGAATCAGAGTTGAATTTTTCCTTGTAAGAAGTTGTCCAAATTACGGCAAAAATGGTAATTTGTGGGAGCAAAGTCCGGGGAGTACGGTGGATATCGCAGACATTCCAATTGTAGCTCATCTAACTTAGTGGTTGTTTGTTTTGCGTTGTCGTGAAAAAGCAGTGGCCTAGAGCGGTTGACCAATCTCGGTTGTTTAGAAGCTAGTTCTTCCTTCACGGTTTGCAGTGGCTGACAATAGATATCAGCCATAATTGTTTGGCAAGATTTTAGAAAGCTGTAGTGAACAACACCAGCGCTAGTCAACCAAACACTCACAAGTAACTTTTTCCGAGTCAATTTTCGTTTAGGGCAGGATTTGGGTGGGTCTCCAGGGTTCAGCCATTGCATCGAGCGCTTTCCATTTTCGTAAAGTATCCAGTTTTCATCACAATGATTCGATTTATTATTGTGTCGTTTGAGCAAAGTAACACAGCAATCGACACGTGTTTGCAAGTTCGATTCACTCAATTTATGAGATACCTATCGTTCAAGTTTTTTTACTTTCCCGATTTGCTTCAAGTGGATTAATACAGTTTTATCACTTACACCGAAGCCTGCAGCTATCTCTGAAGTGCTTTGTGCTTCGCTTTGTTTTTCCACAATAGCCTTTAATTCTTCATTTTCCACTTTGGTCTCCAGCCGTCCACGGGGTTGGTTCTGAAGGTCGAAATTTCCAGAACGAAAACGTTGAAACCAAAAACGTACCGTGCTTTCTTTTGCGACACCAGCGCAGTACACATCATTAATCCTTCGAGCTGTTTCTGCAGCACTGGTGCCACGGTAGAACTCGTACTCGTAAATTTACCGATATTTTATGTTTTCAATTGTGCGGTAGGTAATAAGCAACGCCAAATAAAAAAAAAAATGAGGAAAAAATAAACGAATGACTGTTTTCAAAACTCAAATGTACTGGCTAAATGAATTTATAAATTTGAATTTGGAATTCTTAACGAAAGAAGAGATATTTCAGATCAAAGTGGTCAGTACGACAAAACGCTAATTACATATGTAAGGACCTAATATTTATGTATGTATGTATGTAACTCAGTAAGTATGTATGTATGTGTATTTCAGCATGTATGTATATACACTATACAGATATACATACATACATACTAGGATAGAAACAGTTGGACAGCCAACTGTTTCTATAAATCTATTTAATTATTAGTAACTTTTTAAACAAAAAAATTTAGTGCACCTACTCAGAAATTTGGGACCACCTTTGAGTGGTGGGGAAATTTCTGAGGCAAGTATCTGTTAAACTCAAATTATGAAATTCGAACTTTTTCCGCCAGGGCAACACACACGCCCGCTAGCAAATAAAATCGTTCTACTTACTCTTTCCATTAGATTTTGTAGTTGTTCATTATCAGATATTCTAAATAAGTACAAAGAATATAAAAATCCCACAAAATGAAGTATACTGGGTCCAATATAGGTGAAAATCACATTTCCATAACAGACTTGTTTATAAGTGTCATATTCTAGTGAGGATGTTAACGCCAATGGCACTAATTTGTAGCAAAATCCCCTGTCTCGCCTGTAAATCAATATTTCTGATTTAGTGTTAAAGTGATTAGTATTTGTTGTGTAGTATTAGTATAATTTTTTAACCGACTTCGAAAAGGAGGAGGTTATCAATTCGGATGTTTATATATATATTATATTTTTATGGATGTTCGGGCATAACCCCTTCATACATAGACGGATTTTCAAAATTCTTTTTTTGTACGAAAGAAGTTTATTTCGAAATGGTCCCATTTAAATTTCATATAGATCTGATGAGGAGTTTCGGAGACAGACAACGGAGCTCCTTAAAAAATGACAGCAAATTAACTGCGATTGCTGCTAGGTTTTTAGTGTTCTTTGTTAGTATTGTTCGAGTCGATCAACTTTTTTTAAAAAGGAATTTATTTAAGTGTTAAAATATATAAAGGATATCCATAAGGGATCAAAATGGATTCTTCTACTTAGATCATAACTATATTCAATATCAAATATATTTTAGGTACCGGGTACGTAAACCTGAATGTGAAATATAGCTGTCCCTTTGAATGAACTTACTCGTACGTACACCGTAAAAGTAAATGAGGGCTTACAGTTTACCCATACATCCTTCAGTTTATACGAGATCAAAGAGAATAATTCTAATAGGATAGCCAATATTTTGTTTATTATTACCTGAAACAAGCCATGTATTGAAGTAAGTATCCTAAGAACATTAGTATCGCAACTTGTAATGAGTGGAAGTGGGAGCAGCATATTGCGCATTTAGAAGAGTTTGATACATCTAGTACTGGACGCAACCCCATAATTGTTAATAACTTTAAATATGGCAATAATATCTGAAATGAGATGTAATTTTTTTTTTTAAAGTACCTTACTGTGTGTCGAGTGTTCCTTGTAATTACCGGAACAACGGTAGCAGGGTAAAGTGAGTGAGTATCAGAACATTAAATATTAAAATGCTATTTATAACTACCTTTGATTTACAATAATGTAATATAGCGGAAGTGCTCATGTGTTCCGTATCGGGTGACTCCGTTATTTCACCAATCTGGAAATTAGTCAAGAGACTGCTTATTAAGAGATATACTTATTAAAGCCTTGCTGAACCTAATAATCAAAAAAATATCTAAATTATCTCAATCATCATTAGAAACTAGAGTATTAGATGTACAAAAATAAATGTTTAGACAGTTATCAAAACAACATTGCGTTATCTACAGGTCAACAAACATCCCACAAAAATATATAAGTATTCCTAGTCAAATATGTATGTTACTTTACCTTGATCGTTTTATAGCCTGCTAAATAGTTCATGGCTAAGTTAAAAAAATATTTTATATTATTTTATACGACAGCTTAACATTATTCTTGAAATTGAGTAGGAATCTTAATTTTACATAAACACGTTGTTTTATAAGCAAGGTGAATGTAGGTATAGGTATTTGCAAATAGTTCAAAACAAAACTCACGTCCACACTATTAGCGTCAAGACTGGACCTCCGGGATCTCTCCATCGTTGGTTCCACAAGCTTGTCGTTCCCCAGTACATGGCTGTCCAGTAAATCACTCGCTACATAATCATTTAAAAAGTTAACATTAACCAGTTTATTACCCATATCTATTCTTTAATGACCAATGCACACATTATACAAAATGATATATATATTAATTATTGATTATTTACGAAGCAAACAACTACACAGTCTATATAATGACGGTAGGTAGTTAAAATTTATTACTAACTCACCACTGCCGTACGATGCATTGTCATTTTGCATTTTTAATAAATAGACAAAAAATATTTAACTATATTTAGCTATACTTTCACCGAGAGTCCAAAAGATACACCGGCATTAACAGATAACAATTCACTGCAATGTTTTTTTAAATGTAATAATATTATTGTGTATAGGTACTGCGCCGAGTCAATGCATCAAACTCTGATAAAATAACCAATGCTGTTGGAAAGTCATTATGAGAACAATATAAATTGATATAGTTATCCCAGTCTTCAATTTAATATCCCCAGAAATACGTAATGTATATACATGTTACGTACTTGCTTATATTTTCCTTCAAGTGCTTATATTTAGATGGTACTTTATACATTGATTTATACCTAAAGTATGTGGATATCAATAAGTCTTGTAAATTAATGTTACGCAGACATTGAACTTTGATAAACACGCAAAACTAGATAAAATTATGACAAAACGGTTACCTGATTACATATTGCACCTCCATTCGTATTAAAAACATTACCTACTACCTGTTTCATCTTCATCATCATCAGCCTATCGCAGTCCACTGCTGGACATAGGCCTTACCTGTTTATTATAGTATTAAAATTAGTACAATAGTATTTTTTATGTCTGTTTTAATAAACACCTTTCCACCTTTCATGAGAATTAATGCATGTATAGCAGAGGCGTATTAAACGCCCACATATTATGTACCTATAGTAGCTGCCCCAAGTATAGTGAAGAAATAAGTTTAACATTTGCTTTTCTTCATTCAGAATAGCTTGTCTTGTCACGGATTTAAGTGGACTTAGATGCCGTAAAGCTTTTGCTGAGGTGTGCCTATGTTTAATTTCGTTTGGTTATATTTTTCTTAACCTAAGAGGGTTTAAATCAGTTTGATTTTACGTTTTGGACAGTACCTATCTTTTAGTGTACTTGGTTTGGTAGCCTTTAAAATGAGCAAGAGCTCAGAACGCGGTTTATAGGAGAGTCGCGATCTTTCTTGAAGTGTGCTAGTTTATTTTCTCGTTCTGCTGATTTATTTAACGATCTACGGGGTGTCATGCAGTTGTTTTTAAAACATTCATAATGTTGGCAAAACTGGCAGTGGACAATTGCGTTTGATTTCCGAGGGTATCCTATTGTAACTCCCTAGTGCTAACCTTACATCTTTAACTGCTTTGTTATTGTCATTTGGTTCAAGCAGTTTCATTACTGATTTCATTGATGAAATCACTGTGTGGTGTGATGGCATAAAGGAGACAATGCGATAAGTATGCCTTCTTTCCATTTTGCATAAATCTGCGCCCTATCAAATCTGTGATCCTCACTGTCGTTATAAAAACTCAATTTTGTGAGACTGTTATGACAAAATACTATAAATGGCGAGGGATAAAACTGTAACCTGACTTTTGAAAAACAGTAATTAATGTAACAATGTTTATTTCCTTTGGGTTTCTCAATGCTTTTAAAGAATTATTTAAAAGTAAACGCCATACCATGGCGTTTCTTTTTATTTATTTTTGAAATTAAAACCGATTTATTCGAGTTAGCACAAAACAATGTATTTGTAATCCAATGTTTTGTGCTAACACGAATGAATCAGTTACTGTGTTACTTTAGTTACACTATCTACTCGTTGTCCTCGTGTCGTACTAAATCAACTAGATACACAAAATATAACTTACGAAACCTACATTTACAAATAAAAGAAGTATTTAAATATGATAGACATTTAATAATCAAGTAAATTTCTAATTATCTTGGAAGCTTTGTTTTCGTTAGGAATCCTGTTCGTCGTACAAACTGTTTTCTTTCTTGGTGATGTTTCTTCATTTTCTTGATCCTTTCAGAGTCTGACTTCTTTCCCTTCATAGTGTATTTCATTTCCCGATTTCCTCCAGCAGTACTGACCATTGTTGAAAATCCCTCTTTTGTTAATCTATCTCCTAAACTAGCTTTATTTACCCGCGTTACATTTCTAATTATGTTGGTATTGCCAGGAGCTTTATTAAATTCATAAACTTTTTCTACCTCAGCTTGTGAATCTTCTTCCTGTGCTTTATTATTTCTTATGATTTTATGTTGCTTTTTAACTTCCTTTACCCAGGATCTATCCTCATCAGAGCTTTCATCATCAGTGACATCGTACAGTTCCTTATCTGAATCTTTATCTTCATTTTCGTCGACCTAAACAAATGATTGCAATGAAAATATATTATTATGATAAATGACTAATTAAAATCCTATACACATATTTCATTCGCTCACTACTACTAAAGTTTTTTTACGTATTATTACACACATATTATTACACATCCAACGAACTCCATTATTATCATTTATGTTATCTCTTTTATACTGCCTAGTACCCTACTAGAGATTTTAGAACCCTTTTTTAATCCCTTGGATACTCCCCACCAGTCAGCCCGTTAGATGGTTTTGTCGGTCTCGAGCCGACTACAAACAGCAAGCCGTCTCAGGTACCAGTAATCGAGGAACTAGATGAAACCTAAAAAGGAAAATCCTGGTACTTCGACGGGTGTCGGAACCACAGTGTTCCCCTAAAGGTCTAGCGCGCGTCACGCCGCCATTACGGTCTGCTGCTAGGGTGAAAGTTCTAAACTACTCCCGGTCCCACTCAACCGGAATCCGGGACCGGAGCAAAGCAAAGGCAACATGGGACCCTAGACTGTAAAGGGCCCTGACCTTAAACTTCACCAAGTTGTGCGGCTTTCTATGTTGCACAAGGACAATATATTAAATCGGCTCTTTGATAGTGCAACAGGAGCTCCGCACAATCCTACCCTACCACCACTGATAAGACTGAACTTCTTTCATTTATCGACATAATGCAAGACACAAGAAACAAAGAAATCTTTGTAGCATGCACTTTTCTACTTAAGAAATCAAATTATCCGTCATTTCAGTCCTACATTAATATCTATACTAATATTATAAAGCTGAAGAGTTTGTTTGTTTGTTTGTTTGTTTGAACGCGCTAATCTCAGCAACTACTGGTCCGATTTGAAAAATTATTTCAGTGTTAGATAGCCCATTTATCGAGGAAGGCTATAGGCTATATATCATCACGCTAAGAGCAATAGGAGCGGAGCACCAATGAAGAATGTTTCAAAAACGTAGAAAATTTATTACTATTGAGAGACGCAGACGAAGTTGCGCGGGTCAGCTAGTAAGTTATAAGTTGGTCCCGCCTCAGCTGAATGGCAGGTCTAACTTAACATTAAAAACGATTTTATATTTACCTCCATAATTTCAGCCATTGGTTTTTTATCTTTATTTTTATCCTTCCTAGAAAGAACTGGATTAATAAGACGATATTCTTCAGCATCTTTGTCGACTTCAAAATCAGGGTTTTCAAATAGAGCCTGGAAAACAGAAATAAGTCTTACAAAAATTTAGAGAAAGACAAAGATATAGTTTAAGGTAATATCTTAACTAACCTTAAATCTGTCGTCGTTGAGCAAGTTCTTGGATTGTTTCTTCTTTTTGCCGTCATCTTCCAAAAGCTTAGACGCCAGGTCCCTATTAACTTTCGGTAAATTGTCCTCGATCTTGATTCTGGATGGCCTTTCCTGTTCAATCTTCTCTCTGATTTTGCGTTTTTTGTATTGCTCAAATGCAAATGGTTCTGCTATTGACTTCGCCCTCTTATACAACCGTACATCCACAAAGTACCTATGAATTAAAAGAAAATAATATGTATAAAATTTAGCACACTACCTCACCTCACTCATAGAAATTCTTTATGTAGCTATTTAATTCGTGTGATTGTTTTGGTGGGGGAAAAGTTAAATATCATGATATGTTTAATAATATAAATAAGTAATATCTGGATCCTTTACAGTTTACAACACAAACTGGAATATTGTTGCAGTTAAATCTAAGACTTACCCATGCATATATGCTCTCAATAGATTTGTTCCTAGCAAGTGATCTAAGCCAAGTGATTCAAGTTCCTGCTTAGTAATGAATTTATAATCGTCATATACAGTTTGTGTTGCTGAGCTTTCTAGTTCTTCAGTTAAGTTGTCCAAGAATGCACACCATCTTGGAGCAGGTCCTAAAAATGATTAATTTTCAAATGTAGTAATCAATATAACCTAAATTGTATACCTTTAAACAAGCAATTCTTGTATATATATTATCTGAATATCGCAAACAGCTTCAACGATTTTCATGATATATAGTAGGCAGGGGGTTTCGGGGGGTGATTAATCGATTTAGCTAGGTTTCATTATAAGAAAATTTATAAAAAAAAAAAAGTACCGAGAAAAGCTCGATCATCCAGGTACTTAATAAATAGAATGCAGTAAACGACCTAGAGTACCAAATAAATATATAAAATGTTTCTGCCAGTTTTAAGTATTTTAAACAAAATTCATAATAAGTACAGTTAGCCATTTTACTTGAAGAAAGAAAATTCAGCAAATCATCCAGCAAATAATTCTGGACTTATTTAAGTACATTAGTTGGTACAACAACAAATAACTAATATGTAATTGTTTGTCAAATGAAAATGCTTAAACATCTAAGTGACTTAAATGATACAAGTTTTTATAATTAACACTTTACCTACTTTAGTAGTATCAGACTTGGATATGATTTTACAGCATACTATAAAGTTCAAAAACAAAATAGTTTTATTAACGTACCTAGAGATGGTATGTAATAAATCTGCATTTTTTCATCTTCAACTGCCATCAAATTAAGCCCTGTGTTAGGTATAACACACAGGTCATTGAAGTCCGCTGATGATTGTATGCTTGTATACTGTTTGCCCTACAACAAAAATCAGAACATTATTCATAACACCATTTGTTATATTGAATATCCACAATATTATTTTTACTAAAAAGTTTATTTCAGAGAGTGCAAACATTTCCAAGAGATTTAAAAGTTCATATTGTAACTGTTAGAATAAGGGTTATATAAAGTAAATATAATATTTAATAACGGATTGGAGGATAGTAGCACAACCTGAACATTAAATTCTTTATAGTTTGGTGATTTATTAATGATAAATATGGATTGGTGATTTCTAAGAGAATAGAAAGTGCATTTTATGCATATTATATCTCTGAAACAATATTTGATCATTTCACTGCTATCACTTCCTGTTTCTAAACATCTGATGACTGAAGTAATTCATGTTAACAATAAAAAAAGGTAATACATACTGTATTTTTATCCCATATTTTAACGACAGTGGAATCCATGGAATAAACATAATTCATTTGTTTATGGAATTCTAATGCCTTTATGGGTGCCTCATTCATGTGGTCTTTTATTAGTAGAGGTTTACTTGATCTGATATCATACAATAACACATGGCCTGTAGATGTGCCCACACCCATTCTTAAGGGACCATCAAACTTAGCAGCAGTTATAGCAGGTAACATACCATTCCTAAAAACAAGTTTATTCGTTTTTAATGTACAATTTAATTAGAATCATATATAATCGATTTAATGTAATTATACATAGAAAACACCCAAACTCCGCAATAAATATTTGCAGATTATACAAACAATAGCTACCGCTTATTTAATTTAATTAAGGGCACCTTAAACAACTATATTGCAGAATATGGATGTTCAATCCCATTTCCTACTCCTACAGACACATCTAATTAATATATTGATATAATATTATAAAGCTGAAGAGTTTGTTTGTTTGTTTGTTTGTTTGTTTGTTTGAACGCGCTAATCTCAGGAACTACCGGTCCGATTTGAAAAATTCTTTCAGTGTTAGATAGCCCATTTATCGAGGAAGGCTATAGGCTATATATCATCACGCTAAGACCAATAGGAGCGGAGCACCAATGAAGAATGTTTCAAAAACGGAGAAAATTTATTACTATTGAGAGACGCAGACGAAGTTGCGCGGGTCAGCTAGTATATTGATAAATATATATGTATATGCAGTATTTTAGTTTTGAATTTCCATGGAGTATGATTGGACTACTTAAATATTTGTTGTGCATAGTTTGTTTTCCTTCTTCCTTTCTGTTATTTTTAAAAAGCAACATATTTCTGCTGTAATTGTCTTTTGATTTTTGGGAAAAAAAAAAGGTGAAATTTATAATATATATTTTGTTGACTATTGAATAAGCAAAGTAATGTAATTAGTTTAAAAGAACTGCACATTTTATCAAAATATTTGATTATATTTGAAAAGGATTCATTTCAATATAGAGTATCATTACTTGTATTCTGAATCTGTACAATGCATTGCACAGTCGAGGATTCCTTGTCTGGACTTTGTGCGCGGATCCCAGGCTTCCACATGGCCAGATTCTGTTCCAAGTATTAACAATCCATGTTCTTCATTAACTGCACAACAGTTGATTTCATTAGCTTTTGTTACAAAAGGTGCTAGAAATTGTCCTAATTCTAAATTTAATCTATTTACTTCCTAAAAACATAAGATTACATTAATTAAGCAGATAATGTACTAAATTATAATAATTTCTGTTATATGTTTAAAATATGTATCTTAAAGATGGTTACCGACGATGCTCCAACGATAAACAGATCACAGGATGGTTTATGGTATGCAATGTCTCTTCCAAAGCGAGGCACTCTTAGACGGTAATGGCGACCATGTCCAACATGAAATTCAACATACCGATCACACTGCAAAAACACAATCTGAAATGGAAATATTTTATACCATTTTTTTTAATACAATAATAACATGTGAATGGTTACCTGGACAAGACAGAAATGAACACGGCAAGATAGTATGTAATATAATATGAAATAATAGGATTGATTTATTTTATTACCTTTGAATAATCCTCACTTAAAATTTCAAATGTAACTACTTCAGAATCTAAACAGCGCTCAAACTTTAAAGATAAATTATTTACATCAAAACATTTTAATCTAGGTTTATAAATGCCCGTGGCCATTATATACTGTCCATCTTTGGAAACACGAAGACTGGTGCTAACACCTGGCATATCAAACTCTTGAATTAATTCAATTCGCCTTCGCAAATTCACATTCGTTTTTAACAAAGCTCGCTTTTTTCTTTCCGTTAACCACTGCAATAAACCAAAAGTAAATATTATAACGATAACTGATAAAGATATGTGTGATAATGATAGGTTATTTCTTAAAACTTACATCTGGAAGAGATTTTCCAACACTGAGGTTATAGATTTTAACGTTATCTATTTCAGAGACCTGCATTCTAAATATCTAATATGTACTATTAACAAAAATATCAAATTTCAAAAACTAACACAGTCTCAATTTCTATTTAGCCTGGACTCACGTTGTAAATGTTATTATTCGATTTACTTTGTTTGTGGCAATGTTGTTGTGGTAAGAGGGTAATTTCACCACAGATAACTTTTTTTTTATTTATGGCAAACTATGCAGATGCGACAATTCTGCCAAAGTCTAATGTGTGATGAAGGTGCGTGTGTCATGTGTGTTTGTACTTTTGTAGAGCCGTAGAAGGACAAAATATAACCTCTGAAGTACATCATTGCACTAAATGTGATCTGGTTGTTGTTAATTATAGAATTTAAAGGAGAACAGGTTAAAATTCAAGAGTTCTGGAGATGAATTGGTTAAGAGAGAAGAGAAATTAATAGGTGTGGGAATCTTCAAGTTTCTTAAGTACCCGTGGAGGTCTATGGATGGGTTATTTTTCCTGCAGCTAAAGAAAATGTGGTCTATTTTGCCTTCATCTAATCCACATTCGCATAGCGATGAATTCCTAACCCGAATTTTGTGTAGGAAAACGGTGCAACAGTGACCTGTACGAAGTCTACAGATGGTGGAGATTACAGGTTTGGATTCTTTTTTGTATTTATAGAACCAAGGTTTTGGTGTTACCGATAGCTGTGTGGCATAATAATGGTTCCCATTCCTTTTAGAAGGGCTATTCCACTCTAATTGCCAGGCTGCTAGTAACTTTTCCTGGGGAAGACTCAGGAGGTCATAATAACGGTACACATAATGTTTGAGTACACATATGTACACAAATGGAGCATTTTTTTTAAATAGGATAACTCCCGCATTAGGAATATAATGATTCTGTGTCACGGGGGACTTTACAAACATACATGAAACGGACACAAAGAACACCCAGACTCAGAACAACAATTTGTGGATCACACAAAGTGTCGTCCCACGTGGAAGCGGCGTGGCGACCGCTTAAACCACTACGCCATCCGTGCAGTCACATTTTTGGCCAATAAGTCTGCACATTAATTGCCTATAATGCCATTATGGCTTGGAACCCATAGCAATTTAATTATACTTGAGTTCCTAGTGCTATATAAGGCTTTTGTAATTTTTGGGATTAATGAGCTATGTAACCTATTCTGAAATGGACTTTGTAATAATGCTTTGAGGCAGCTAAGGGAACCAGTAAATATTACGGCCCTGTTGATGTTGTGGGATATAATGAAGAGACATGCTTCCAGAATGGCAACACACTCGCCCGTAAACGACCACCGAGGACTCTTTAGGACATCTAAATTTTAAGACCACTCTAAAATCCTGATAGTATACTGCTGCTCCCACAGAGCTTTCACTACATAATTTGGATGCATCAGTCAAGATTTTTTTTATAACCCTTCCATTGTTCTTCAACGAATGCGTTGAAGATCGAATTAGCATTCGCAGAACCTTTGGGGATTCCAGAGTCTAAAATTACGTCTGATTTAAAGCATAGAATGTCGTATTCGAAGCAGAACAGAGGGAGAGTTTCAAATTTTACAGCACTACTAGTAAAAGTTTGATAATCACGAAAGGATTGAAGTATCAGTGGAGTTTCTCTATTTGCTCAATATCTAGAAGTATTACAGACAGTATCCAAGTAAGAAATTATTTTGTAAAGGGGGTTTCAGGGTTTACACATAACTTTTAATAAAAAACGTGCAGACAAGAACTGTTTTCTTATTGTTAAGGGAGGTTCAGAACATTCCAGTTGCAGCGCGTTAATGGAAGAGGACTTCATACAGCCAGTTATAATGAGCAAGCACTTACCTTGAACTTTTTCAAGTGTTGCTAGTGCACCCTTATTACAAGGAGTAATCAAAAACAAAACCGCAGTCAATTATGCTGCGTACTAACGCGTTGTAAACTAGTTTCATGGTGTATGGGTGGGCCCCCCACCAGACACCAGCTTAGACTTTTAATATTTGAATGGTTCGCTCACATTTGGAGATCAAATAATTGATGTGATGTCAGTCCAGTCCAGTCAATTTAAAATCCAAATAGACACCTAGGAATTTGAATTTTGGGAAGATAGGAATGCTATATTGTTGTAAAATTGAAAGGTCGAAAGGTACATGCCATGAACAGATAACCACTGATTTAAGAGTTCAATGAGAGAGAAAGAGATTGAGCTGCATCTTAAATGCAACGGTCGCTAATAAACAGAGCTAAGTCGTCAGCATATTGTAAGATACGACAGTTGTACACGTAGTTCAAACATAAATCAATATCATATGTATAAAGGTCATAAAGTAATAGACTTAGTACGGAGCCTTGCGGTAAGCCTTTCTATGTCTTTCTGTGACCGAACTCCTCGCCCAAAACTTTAAGGACTAGAATTCGGGACATAAACATCGTACACATGCACTGTATCATCTTGACCGGCAGTGTCAGCTGGCGCAATTTTTGCCTGAGAGTAGGAAGAAGGACACTGTCATATGCAGAGGATACGTCAAGAAAAACAGCGACCACAGATGAATTTTGAGATAAAGAAAGTCGGATGACTGAAACCAAAATTCCCACACCGTCCATAGTACTAAGACCCTTGCGAAAGCCAAATTGAGAATTTGGTAGTAAGTACTTGATTCCACAATCCACTCGAGACGATTTTTAAGAAGGTGCTCAAGTAATTTTATCAGGACTGAAGAAAGAGCAATTGGTCTAAAACTATTTGGGTCGTTGACATTTTTCCCCGGCTTCAATATGGGTATAATAATTTGTATCTTCTAATGATTAGGGATCCAGCCATTAGTAAAAGAAAAATTAAGGATATTTAAAAAGTATCGTCTAGCTCCATAGAAATGCGTTTTGTTAACAACACGAACGTTTAGTTATACAATTTTTTTAAGAAAAAATTATCAAAGCAATTCAAGTTCTAAAAATATAATAATTGCAAGAAAGTAGTTAGGATGATTCACTTTATAAACGGTACAAATATCTTAAATATCCATAATATATTACTAGGTATACAGGATTTGCCATTCTTCTTTACTTGTTACATTAAAATGTTTAGAAAATACATGATATTGCTTATAGTTATCAATGCTTAATGTCAAAACGTCTAAGAAAGAACAATCCGTCAAGTCTACTAGGATCCAAGCAGTTCCGCTGGTCATGTTATCGGCAATCGAAAAAAGAGACAAAAAAACTGATTTTGAATGTGTTGAGTATGGACAATAGAGTGGCAGCAAAAGCGTCACCAACGGTGCATTTGGTGTGAACTCGTTGTGATGCATTCTTATCCCTTCTACTTCATGTTGGGTACATTCAATCAACTGACAATAATCTTATGGTGTTTACTGAGACAGGAAAAATTAAATAGGATTTTATAGGACGAAATTTAATATCTGATTATAGATTCTGCGCTATCGATTTGATGTCCCCAGAGTTCGATGATTTGATCAATTGATCTCACATCGCCATCCCTAGACTATAAGTACTAATGTCAATGTCATTGTCAAATCAACTATGTACTAGTTTTAAGGTTACTTTAGTGAAAAGTGTGCGAGTGTATGTATGTTACTGAAAAGAAAAGTGACTTACGTATCTATTGATTATCTCTGATGATATATGATCTATTTAATCTATTATTTTAGTCAATCTTTATATGAAATAATTTTGTATTTTTATAAAAAGTTAAATAAATTTTAATAATATGACTGGACTGCCTAAGAAAGTACAGCTACCGAAATCGGTACTGGACATGAAATTTATGAAAAAGACAAAAGAAAGAATAGAAAAAGAAATAGAAAATACTCAAGATCATGATAGTTTGTACGCAAATATTATAACACATGAAATGCGTAGTGCTTCTGGAAACTTTATATCAGAACCTAGTTTTATATTTTGTGAACCTATGATTGAAGGCAGATTGTCATTCAAAGGTATGAACCCAGAGATAGAACGTCTTATGGAATTGGAAAATGCAAAGAATGAAAAGCCTAGTGGTGAAATGGATAAAGATGTAAGTGACGAAGTGCTTGCAAGGAAAATGGAAGCTTTTAACAAAAGGAAAAGGCCACAAGACAGTCCAAAATATGTAACTATTGGTAACAAAAGGAAAAAGTGAAAAAGATTTTCTTTATATGAATTAAGTACAAAAATGTTATTAACTTAATGTTAGGAGCTTACAGATGATAAATAATTGACATCGATAAATACATAAGTATTGTATTAGAAGGTCATTACGGTGCAGTGGTGTGGTCCAGTGGTGAGGTTGACATTACAGAATAGTTAAAAAATGTTTGTGGAATGATATCATAATTATGTTATTGGAGAATGTTCTTACTGTCATTATAACTATAGCTATAAACAATTTTGTAAATAAAAGAACCTTAATAAAATGACATGTATATTAAAATTATATTGTTTTTAATTTATGAAATTATGAGTCACTTTCATAAATAGTACTTCAAGATATGTTGATACGAAATTAAAAAAAATAGAATGGTGTCATATCTTTATTATTTACTAGCGATTGGCCCCGGCTTCGTAGATATTACTAATGAGTCTCAGTGTAGAGTAATAAATTATAATATTATTATGATAGGACTATACTACAGATCAGGGGCGTGCGCTCCTTGTAGGCAGAAATGCAGTGTTTTACTTGCTATTCACAGACATTTTAATAAAACGTTCGTATGTTTTAGATGACTTTAATTAATAGTAAATAAATGAATAAACAAAGTATAATAACTTAAAAACGCCTACTATTTAAAAATAGCACCTATTTGCAAGCACGCAAACATTATGTTTGCCAGGCGTTTACCGATAAGCAAGTGGCGCTGTACCTAACCAACCAACTCATGCCGTCGCGTCCCGCAGGACATTTGTTCGCATGTGTGTAGTAATTTTGGTGTCCTGTGCACGGACAACAACGCAAATGCACACACCCATGTAACTCGCAAGTTTCATGTTAAAAGTTATGAAACGTATGGCTGTGTGGTTGTGTACACACGATTAAATTATATTGTTTTCCTACTCCGCCGCATACCTAGTGTCATAATCCTGTGCACGCCGCTGCTACAGATCTTTAAAAGCGACATTTGTGGGCCCTACTCATCCTACTGGCCGCTGCCACCCGGGATGGACGTATGGCTTGACGGCCATTGGAACCTCACATTCTATACCTCTAATAAATAATTAGATTATCTAAATACCTCTAATAATATATAAAGAAAAAAGTAAGAATTACTGGCGGCGAATTCTGGTGGCTTTCTTTTTTAATCATAATCATCATCATCAACAGCCTTTAATAGTCCACTGCTGGACATAGGCCTCTCCTTAGAAAGGAGTTTTTGGCCTACTATACCACGCTGGCCAAACGGGTTTGTGTCAAGTTTTCCTTTGAGCGTGGAGACCGAATCCAGAAATTCCGTAACGGAAATAACCTAACCCACCCCACGTGATACTTTTTAGTTTTGCCATCTATCGATGAATAGCACAACTTTTAATGACTTTCTTGAAATATCACTATACTCTTTAGTTCAGCAACTCGCCTCTAGGTGGCATTGGTTGTATCGGCGTTACTGCGCATGCGTAATCCCCCTCTTCGCCCCGCAATCTAATTAATATCAAAGAAAAAAAATACTGCAGAAATGAAATAAATAAATAATTATAATTGCATAAGTTGTCATGGGCATGTCAATGGGCAGCCACCGTAGTCTAGTCGACGTAGCTCTGAATTTGCAAAAAAAATGATGACCAAGAGAAAAAAACGTAACATTTTGAAAAATAATTGGTCAATGTTAAAATTGTATTTATAAGTTTATTTCACTTATTTATTTATTTATAACTTCTTCCACAAATATGTACATTGGCTGACTTTGGCGGACTAAATGCTTAAAGCATTCTCTGCCAGTCAACCGATTGGGCGATGCATAGAAAGAATGAGGTAGGTGCACTTATGGGGAGGTAATAAATTATGGGATTTTTATAAAGTACCATACATATACACACACACATATATATATATATATATATATATATATATATATATACTATACGGCCATAACCGGTTGAATTAAATTGATTACCAAGGATTTGCAAAGTTGTTATTAATTTCATACACACGGAACTTGAGGAAGTGAGTTCAGACTATATAAGCATGTTGAACAAGTTATGTCGATCTCTCAAAGGTGAAAGGGGCAATTTTAAATTTATTTCAACACAGAAGCCCCAAAATAAGTGAACCTGGCGAAGCCCTGATAGTGTGACAAAGAACGAGATCCACTTCCTCATCACAAACAAACAATATTCAGAGATGTCTCTGTGATCAACAGGTTTAACACCAGAAGTGATCATCGACTCGTAAGAGGCACTCTGAACTTATCAATTAGAACAGAACGGGCACGCCTGGCAAGATCAATTCTTAGGTGAACTCTGCCCCAGGTTGAGGCTGGATGTGAAAGCTTCCAGCTGGAACTTTGGAGCCGGTTCGCCATGTTGGAAACCATGCAGGACGTCAACCACGCCGCCGACAGTCTGGTACGTGTCGTCCGCGGGGTGGGCTATAATCACTTTCGACAAGTTCACGCCGCAAGTTTCTCATTTTTAATTTAAAAGCGCCTCCATTGCAATAGGTTTGTTTGCTCGCAATTACATGACCGAAACAAATTAGTTTTTTTTGCGTCTATGTTATTTCAACACTTTATTGTCGTCAGTTCGGATTCATTAAAAATGAAGAAATCACACTTATGTGTAATAATACAACCGTTTCTATCGTGTGCGCTGCCTTTGTAGTCTCTTGAAGAACTCGGAGATAAAAAACTATTTCTTACACAAACACGATACGGAGAAATGACTCGTTTTGTGTAAGAATTTTCTTAAATATTAATATTTATTTAAAACATTTGCATATTTTTTGTTAATTGAAACACATTAAAGTTTTTATATACTCTTTTATTGTTAATAAATATGTTATGTTGTATGTACGCATTTCAAACCGCAAGTTGTATGTCAATCTAGGTCAAGATCTATAAAAAAATTGAAATTAGAATTTATAAAAATATTAATAATCAGGTTGAAAAGTTACTTTGTCAGTTTTTGTCGCTGGTGATACATTACTCATTCTGAATACACTTTACTACACATTTTGCCCATTTGCGAGAATAATAACATAAAAAACCAGTTTTGAGTTAATTCAATCCACAGGAATATCACTGACATATTATTGTGATTATTTCAATTTTGCTAGTTTGATTAGACTAACAATGAATTCTCATTACATTTGAAAATATCATACTTCATCGCACCTAAAAATCGATGATTCTGAAGCGAAGGTATATTACACTTTTCGCAAACGAGCTGTTTACAAAACATGTCAGTCAAGCCCTTGTTGCATAAGATTGTGTAGATCTCTAAAAGCTGCTCCAAGACGACCCTGGAGCGTTTGTCGTTTGAGCAAGAAGGCCCGAATGTCAAGAAGTAGTCGGTGTATTTGTATGCACTTTGCGTAACGTTCTTCACGCGGAATGTCTACTCCCAGTGTGCGTACTGGCGCACTGACATTTGCTCGCACCACAGAGGAGAAGTTGCGAACTATCAATCTCAAGGCATTGCAACCACATTGCATATATCTGTAACGAGAAACCTTTGTTACTATACAGAACTCGAGAAATGTTATAAGGTGGTTCATAGCATGACTATACATACGACTCGTATTTGCTCTGCAGTAATTCATATATTTTTGGTAACATCAGAAGGCAGATGTCTAAGTTCCACAAGGACCTGAAGCAAATAATATCAGTGGTTTAAAATCACTCTTGTTTCAGTTTCAAATGCAACCTGTTCCATATGTAAAAAATCGGCTTAAATTACGTTTTAATTTTAGGTTGTTATAATATTTAAGTCATTTAAATCAATTCCTTTTTTCGGAATGTTTAACTCGGAAGAGGAATAAGGTTTGTCTTGCCCACATACACACAATACAAATACTTAATGTAAGCACAATAAATTTATATTTTCTTTAACAAAACTTATCTATATATATATATAAAATTACTTGCCCGGACTGAATTACTGATTTAACCAACATAGAGGCTAAACGGCTATAAACTTGAAATTTTGGCAGCTGATAAAAATTACTCTTACGGGGAAAGAAATAATCACGGTAGTGCGACGCGGAAAATAGCTAGTGAATTATATTAATATAAAAGGTTCGTTCAAGGTACACCAAAAAGTAACGGATACGTCAATTTTTTTTTTCGCGAATCCGGCAATCACTATAGACAGGTAGTATTAGCATCTTGGTCCAGAAAATCCCCATGTATTAAGGAGGAGTTTAACTACAAATATCCTCTAATGTACCTCTTCACAGTTTATAATATCCAAATTTTCAGGCCATTTGATAAATATGCATTTGTTTAAATAGTAAATATAGAACAGGTACTTTCTGCGCGCACGGCGGGGGCCCGAGTGGAAGGGGCAGCCACCGTAGTCCAGTCGACGTAGCTCTAAATTTGCATTGATGACCAAGGGTGCCTTAATTTCTTATGAACCTATAAATAATCGGATGACACTCCAGTTTTCGTTATCAGCTAAGATGGTTACCAATTCGTTAATTCAGAAAAATGCGCGCACTTACAACCCTGTATACTATCCTCGATGGCCCGTCCCCTCCTACTTATTTAACAGCACAATTTCAACTCTTATGCAATACCCACAACAGAAACATTCGTTCGTCTAACAATCTCCTTCTACTTTGTCCTTCTCACACTACTGGGTTTGTCGACTCTTCAGTCTTTGTTCAGTATATCCTCTTGTGGAATAAACTTCCTGTTCAATCAGCACTCTTTTAAAATGAAAGTAAAGGAGCTTTTACTGGGCGAATTCAACAGGGCAGAGTCAACAGGCTCCTAGTTCATCATCTACAATTATTATATTTTATTAGAATATATGTATGTGATACGTGATGGGTTTATGTATATATTATTGCTTATATTTGTCTATTCCAAGAACATAATAGATGTGCTTGTCTATTAGTTGTGTGGTGACGGATTAAGAATATAGAGTGTAACTACCCCTATTCATCCCGTGACTGTCGTAAGAGTCGACTAAGGGAACTACGCAGCAAACAGCACTGCAAAGAGAAGGGAAACTTGACGAAAACCTATACCAACCAGTCCGGCCAGCGTGGTATAGTAGGCCAAAGCCTCCTTTCTAAGGAGAGGCCTATGTCCAGGTAAGTCTGTTGATGATTGTCTATTAAAACAAATGTATATTTAGCAAATGATATATTAATTTAGATATTTTTTACTCTTCTTTAACACATAGGTGCCAAAATTATAACTTAAAAAAAAATTAAAACCCCATCCCAATCGCTGAAAATAAAGGTCACTTTTTGCAAAATTCGACGGTTTGCAAAACATTAAAAAAAAAATTGACCTTAAAATTTAACTATAGTTACAGGACTACAACATTGATAACATATCCCAATTTAGACTTACATTTGTTACATTCAACTTAATTTTGTAGGAGCTTTATTTTTCGCTCCAGACGCGAAAAACTGGTTTTTACCATTTTTGTAATTTTTTTTGGTACCTTAGCTGACAATATTTTGTTATAATTTTTATTGCAATCAATTCCTGATAGTTGAATCTTTGATAAAATATTTTTTTCACTACAATGGGATTTTGCTGGATTTTTCAGGAATTTATCACTTATTCTACCTGTCTATTAGTAGATTATGTTGTTCCAAGCGACAAAGACAGCGATTAATGAATTATGAGACAGTCAAAGTTTAACAGGCACAGTAGCCAAATGTAGCCTTTTGTTACATAAAAATTAAGGTATGTAATACTTTAATTCTCGACATTAACAATAACATATTATCATCTCAAAGGGAACAGGCTAACAATATCATAACTTGGACTGAAATAATCAAGTTGCTCCACTTGCATCTAAAATTATTAAGTTTTAATGTGGACTTTACACCATACTTGAATACTTACGGTTTATGTGCCATGACATTGAGAATATCAAGAATAACGGACGTATCTTCCAGTGCGATAACTGATTCTAATGCACACTTCAGACTTTTATTGACACGGACGGAATGAAATATCTGAAAAACAACAATAAAAAATAATTCATTTTTAATCGACTCTAAAAAGAGAAGGAAGTTGTGAATTCGGTTGTATTTTTGTAGTCTTTATTTTATTTATTTATTTATTAAGGCATATTTACAAAATAAACACAAACATTCATACAAATAGTTGTTTCGAACTCAATTCACATGCTACTCTAATTACAAATATGCACATCATTCGCATATAGACAACATTATAATTATAAAGATTAAAAAATAGCAACTTTACTTTATAACGGGTCTACCAATAGGGATGACCTGGTTTTGACAGCTCATAGCGGCCATGTTTGATGATGGATCTTTGACGTCTCTTGACATTTGTGTTCAGTAAGGTTTGCCATTTATCATGTCACGTTTCACTTTAAATCAACTCTTGGAAATTGTCCAAAACTTCTTTGAAAGTGACGAAGAAAACCCTGTTACTGTGAATGGTGAGCGCTATAACTCGATGTTAACCGAATATTTCTTTCCGGAATTTGATGATATTGATGCAGACGACCTTTATTTTCAACAAGACGGTGCACCACCTCGAGTGAACATGGAATTATTGCGTGGAATGTTTGGTGAGTCGTTAATTTCGAGAAATGGACCGATCAGTTGGCCACCAAGCTCGTGTGATTTAACACCTTTAGACTATTTTCTTTGGGGTTACGTTAAATCTAAAGTGTACGGCAATAATCCAGCTACAATTCGTGACCTAAAAACCAACATTCGACGAGCCATAGCCGACATACCGGCCGAAATGGTGCACCGCGTCATCGAAAATTGGCGTGAGAGGGTGACCGTCTGCAAAAAGAGCCGCGGCGATCATTTGGCCGATAATGTAAAACATTAATTGCATAAAATTATCTATCAAATAAATCAATCGGATGCATTTTTCATAAAAAATTGTGTTTTATCCAATTTTTTAACCAGGACGTTCTTATTGGTAGACCCCATACATAACTAAAAAACTTATGCACTTTACGAGATCAGCAGACTAGATTATATTAATAGTGAAGTTGTGCCAAATTTTATAAAATTAACACATTTGAAAACCAAGAAATTTAATTATTAAAATATAAAAAAATGCCTTCTGAAAATGTACTACAATATGCATATAAAAAACTTATGCTAAAATAAATTTTCAAATTAAATTAGTACCATCGATAATTTTGCACTTAAAATGATTGAAATGGTCGTGTAAGATATCAAGGCCAAGTCTCCTCCAGCAGTGATTGTATGTTGCAGTTTGTTTAGTTAGAGGAGCTTGTGCACCCAAGTTGGTTTGGTGTGTCGGTACGTGACAGAACGGAAAATTGTTCCTGATTCTAGCGTTTGGCCTAGGTACGCTGATCCCTACACGCTCAAGTAATTAATGTCTCTGTGACAACCCCTTTACCACGTTTTGTAAGAACATAGTTCTAGGAGTAACAAATGCCAAATGTCTAGTGAATGTTCTTTGGATTTACTCTATGCGTTGAATGTGAAATGTATACAGAGGATTCCAAACGACGCTACCAAACTCCAATGTACTCCTCACAAGAGCTTTATAAAGAATAATTTTTCATGTAGTACGTTTGAAATCCTTAGTATTTAGCTTTATGAAACCCAACATTTTGGCAGCTCTGTTGACAATGTTGTCACATTGAGGAATGAATGATATTTTAGAGTCAAGGATAACACCCAAGTCACGCACTTGATGAACTGTGGCAATTAGCTCGTTATTTATGCGGAAACTAGTATGTATTATGTACCGTTTTTTAGTGAAACGAATATTTAGTACCATTCTGTTATCGCAACACCATTTATAAATTCGATTAGTTAGGGGTTACCGCATCAACCACAGTGCTGACGTCATATTTTCATATCGTCAGCATAGCGTGAACTATCACAATGTTGTCTGCCCGTGCTTGCACATTTATGAACTGATTTGGTTTCTTTTTATTTGGGAGGGTGAACTTTCTATCTGAATAATTGAAGAAAAAATACCACTCCTAAGGGTGAAAAATTAAAAATGAATACTACAGTTCATTACAATTCATCATGCAGTGAAGTTGGGGACAAGTTTACATTAGACGGTGACTGTCCAAATTTGTATTGATTGTTCGTATTAAGTATGTAATATTCGTTTACTACGCATATCAATCGAGTACTTTCGAACTGTTTCTCTAAGTGTTATCGTATTACTAGTAATAATATAGCGTGTATGCGTGCCTGTAGTGCGCGCTGCCGGGCGGTGAGCACGGCCATCATGGAGTCGTGTCCCCGCATCATGACGCCCAGCACCTCCTGCTCGCTGGGCTCGGCCACCCCGCCGCGCGCCCCGCGCCTCGCGCCGCCCCCCGCCATGGTGCGCTACGGTACGGCCACGGAATATTAGCTTAAACTATCTCTTGATAAATAAAATTGTTATTACTTTGGATCTTATAGTGACTCACGAAAGGAGCACCTCACCTCGTGAGTCACTATAAGATTCAAAGTAATAATTATTTTATTTGTTAGATTTACATTGTTCCTATTTTATTGGTTTTATATGTATATATATACATCTGCAAAATCCCGAATCCATAAAAGGCTATTTGAATACTAAGTACACTGTGTATCACTGTGAACTGAGACACATGATAAAACAATGGACTTTTTTACTACAGATTGAAATAATGGATTAGCGACAATTTCGTTTTATCGTCTCAGCCTTTAATAGTCCCCTGTTGGACATAGGCCTCTCCTTAGAAAGAAGATTTTGGCCTACTATACCACGCTGGCCAGACGGGTTGATATAGGGTTTGTGTCAAGTTTTCCTTCTCTTTGTTTGCACGTTTGAAATTCAATGTCAAACATTATACGTGCTACTTGTCAGTTTAATGGTATTATATTCTTTAGTTAATTAGTAGTAGATTTGGCCTACAGCTAGTCTGCAAATGTATATAATTATATAAACAATTTGTAGTAAATTACTCACAGGTAAAAATTCATCGAGATCAAGCCCGACCGGTCTGTCGGTAGTGTAAGGGACGAACTCTGTTTCCGGCTCGGCTTCTGGAGTTTCAAGGTTGCAAGATACCGTTATGGTTTCCCTGGTTGTTTCTACTCTTCGCCTAAAATAAATATCAACATGAAAATAATTATTCTATTCTTTTCAAAATCTTTTTTACTTTTTTTTTACTAAGAATGCTACGAAACTTCATAGCCCGAACCGAACTTAATGACAGATGATATTCAGCCCTGTGTAGTTTCGATGATTTAAAGGATTTTTATAAATCTAAAGGCGTTTCCACGTTGTATTGCTCAATGCTGATAGGTAAACAACTATGTAGAATACGAGTAGTACTTTCGGAGTTATCCTTTTTTTTCTGAGCGGAAATGCCCTGGCATACCACCCGGGTTGTTATGTCGGAATCGAACTGACTAAAAACCTCGGGTACCAGTAGCCGGGCAAGCAGGTGTACCCTAGAAAGGGCCTCCGGTTCTCTACGGCTTGTAGATGATCTATTAGGGAAAAACGATGTTCCATTTCTGTCCCCTAAAAGGCGCGCGCGCTCTGCAGCCTACTTTTGGTAGAGTGACGGATGGCCTCACCTGTCACCCCCAGGCCTACGCTTATAGAGGACGGAGGTCACTGAGCGACCTCCGGCGCCTGAGTTGTCTACGGTAGCTGGCCCGTTTCCGGGCCTGGCGACCGGGAGAGTTCTAAACCTCTCCTGGTCCAGCTCCGCCGTCTGCTTCGCAAGCCTAACTTGCTCACAGAAGACCTCTTCTTCTGTGACTGTATTTTATATTACTATAAAGGCTCTCCCCATATCTTTTACATATCATTAGGTGTAACATTTTTCACATAACATAAGTTCCGTAACACTTAATTTTACCCAGTTTATGAAAAAAATCTCTTTATGTTAATTTATTTACACGAAATTAACTCAAATTTATGGATAAATAACAACCAGTTCAAATTATAATTTTAAAACATAATTTGGGTTTTTATTCTACCTCAAAACTTTTAATTTCAGGGTATTTGTATAAAATAAAATGCTTTACTTAAACCGTGTCTTCATATAGAGACCTACAATGAAATCATTATAATCGAGTACATATTTCTTTTTTATTTATAATGTTTTCTAAATATTTGAAAGCATTTATGTATTGTTGTATTGTTAATAGAACCAAAAAATTGATAAGATTTCAATATTTTTTCTGTCTGTAAAGCATTATTATATTATCACGACTGGTAAATCTGTATTGTATCTGTGTGAATACTATATTGTATTGTTGTTTTTTTCTTATAGCCTGGATGGTCTACAATCCACAATGACGCACATCCGAGTTGGACACGCAAATAGTGTTAATTAGTTTTGGTTATTTTAGATTTAATACTAGACGTGTACACAAATATATGATACATATTATGATATGATGCAAACGCACCTTGTACTCTCTGCAGTAGCCGCCCTGGTGAACGACAAAGATCTAGGTCCCAAAGACGGCGGTCCCAAGGATACTTCACTGTTACTCGGTCGAAGGTTGCTCGTTGCTAAAAGAAAATGTATTTTCGTAACAATATTACATTGCCATAAATATAAATATTCATAATTAATAATAAAACACATAAATATCAAACATACAACTTACTCAAATCAGTAGTAGACTTTGTTTCTTTGTAGGAGTTATGTCGGTTAAGCGAGTTCGACGTGAGCGGGCTGGCGGTATAGTCCCGTAACGTATGCGATGACGCGAATGCATTATTTTCTTTAGTGTTGTCCATCACCCCTGATACAAGCATATTAGCGAACATGTTACGGTTACTCTTATACTAAGTTTAAAAAAAAAAAGAAGCTTAGAAGCAGTAAAACTGAAAGTTTGTTACTGGCAAAGGTGTCAATTTTCTTGTCGACAACCACGTAATGTTCCTTAGTGGAGGTGGGTATGCGCGAGTAGTGGTCGGCGCGCTGGCGCTGCGGCGGCGAGGGCTGCGGCGCCGGCCGCGCCGGGCCCGCCCCCCCCGCCATCAGCTCGCGCATGGTATTGCCCAGCGGGCTCTCCAGGGGGGGTGAGGCTGCTTGCACTGTACACAGAACACGTTAACCTTGGATCCACAAAAATACTGTCCCGATATTCGATAAAAGCTACTAGTACCTAGTTGAGATATTTTTAAATGTATGCATAAGACTATCCAAAAAAATACCTGGTGTGTAATCTTCCAGTGTTAAGCTAGTAGCCGGGGGAGGCGTGCGATTCACTGTGAAATAAAAACATTGAACTTTATCTATGTTTTCAGTTTTTTGGGTGTTTCAGGGTCTCTTTATCTACTCACGTGTTCTAGCGGGTCGAAATATTTCAGTGTAATCATTGAAATTTGATATAACAGCACCTGATTCCTCATCCGCTTCAGTTCCTGAAGTAGATTCTTCAGCTGTTTTCTCGTCGAGCAATGTTGGTCTATGGATCACTGTAACGAAACGAACACGTTTGTTTCTCAAAAATGTTGATGTTGATAATCCTAAAAGCTACAACAGGTTTTCCGTGATCTCTCACCCCCCATTCATATCCCTGATCCCGCACGGGCGTGGTTTTATGATCTGACAAACTGACCTTATATTATGTCTTCTTAGTACTTACCAGTATTACATAATAAAGGACAAGTGAAGAACGTACTGCATTTATGTGTCGTGTTCAAACAGCCTTGATTACATTTTCTTTAATCATGGTAAAGTTTCGAAAAAACCCGGTCAGGTACGAGGCGAACGTGTGCCCAGGGTTCCGTACCTACCTAGATTTTACGTAGGTTTTCAACCTTTTTTATTTTTTTGGAATTATTCCTTTATTTGTGCTGTAAGACGTTTCTTTTTGGCAAATTTCGTAATTCTAGGTTAACGGGAACTACCATATAGGTTTTCGACCCAAAACCTATAGGGTACTTCCGGTTGACCTAGAATTGACAATTTTGGTTAAAAGCAATGTCTTACAGCACAAGAAAAGAAAAAATTCTGAAAAATAAAAAATGTTGAAAATTAAGGTAAATTTTGGTACTTACAAGTTTTCGCGAAAATCAAAATTTGCCCATATCTTTCTATCGTGTTGCCTCAGGACCTTCATTTTTATACACCTAATAGGGACCATAGACCCCAGTATCTGGTATAAATTTTAACTTCCTAGGTCTACCCGTTCCTGAGAAAATAGGTGGTGACACACGGACAGACGGACAAGAAAGTGATAGGGTACGGAACCCTAAAAAGAATGCCTTTTTGTCTAGATAGTATTTATATTTTTAATGAAATTAAGGTTGGTAACTATAAAACGACTCACCTGATGGCAAGCGGATACCAGTGCTGACACTTGTATACCAAGAGCTTATAACGAATTTTGAAATGTTGGAATGTAGACATTTACCACAGTTTTTTTTTGTTTTTAAAAGTCAACTCCCGCATTAGGAATATATCCTGTGTCGCGGGGGACTTTACAAACATACATGAAACGGACACAAATAACACTCAGAACAACAATTTGTGGATCACACAAAGTGTCGTCCCATGTGGGGTTTGAATCTACAACACTCAGTGTAGTAGGACGCGGTGTGGCGACCGCTTCAACCACTACGCCATCTGTGCAGTCAAACTTGAATGTTATGGAAGTAAGGAATAAAACACCGGATAGGCCAAATCGGCACATTTTTTTACTGCGAGTGATACCATTACCAAAAGCATTTCAGAGGAAAGATATATTTTAATTTAAATGAAATAAGGCCAGGTACAATTGTAATGATGAGCTTTGAATACCTTCTTTAGGTGGTTTTTCTTTTGAAAAACTCTTGCGAACCGAGTGGCCTTTTTGGAATGGTGATAGATCCCTCACCACTGGTGCAGAAACTGGTGGAGATCCTCCAAATGGATGAACTTTGCTGAGATCAACAACTGATAACACCACATAAGTTGAATGGAAAGATCCTGCTATCTGAAATGTTTAAGTTTCATCTATACTAATATTATAAAGCTGAAGAGTTTGTTTGTTTGTTTGAACGCGCTAATCTCAGGAACTACTGGTCCGATTTAAAAAATTCTTTCAGTGTTAGATAGCCCATTTATCGAGGAAGGCTATAGGCTATATATCATCACGCTAAGACCAATAGGAGCGGAGCAACAATGAAGAATGTTTCAAAAATTTATTACTATTGAGAGACGCAGACGAAGTTGTGCGGGTCAGCTAGTTAAATTATAATCATTGAAATAATCTATAAATATAATAATCTAACTCATAATTAGCTACTTGCTAAAATAAAGTAATATACTTATTCATATTTTCAGAACTTAAAGTTTAAGATTGTTTAACAAAGGTGGCGTATTTTCACTGTATACCTACTAAAATAATTCAAGGACGAATCTAGATTTAACTGTCCTGTAACCCATGCACAATATTTATCTAATATGCATACATAGAAAAATGAATAATCAGGTTTTATAGTACAACTAGTACCTTAGAAGACTTATAGATTTTCCTGATTTTATTATCCAATTGTTTTATATGAAAACTTTAATAAGTTAATTATTGACAATCTCAAATTCTCATTTCAAACATCAATAATTATTTTATTTTAAATCATTAATTTTAATGTATATACTTACTAGTTGAGTTTGTGCAACAGTTATGTCATGAATTTGTCCCCAATGTCCAGGGACAGTGTCAAACACTCTGGCTGGTTCCCATCCAACTACATGCAACCCATCATTAGCACATCCAAGTAATGTTGTGCCATCCTCACTGAACACCATGTGTCTAGGCAAACATATTCACATTATTATCAACACCAATTTTATTACATCTAATTTAAAAATGTTAATTTAAAAGAAATACAGTTTTGTTTAAACATAAGTAAAAATGTTTCAGGCGGATGTCCCATTGTTTTAGGGATGCAGGACCCCTGGAAGTTCAACGCCTACAGGAATTAAGAAAGAACAGAAACAATGTTTAACATGGGCTCATTAGCATATTTTTGAATATTTACAATAATAAAACATTTATTCCTTAGGTTGTCTCAGTTGAAAACACAGAACTATTTTAAGCCTTGAGTATTTTTCCATACCTAATAGATGTGTTGTCTTTTTCAAGTTTAGAAACTAGTTGGAATTTCTCCATGTCCCAGAAATTAACAGTTCTGTCTGTACCACAGCTAGCTAGAAGAAACTCATGAGGATGAAACTTTACACATGTCACTGCTGAAGTATGCTCTGCAAACTCTTGCAATACTTTGCCCACCCGAACATCCCACACTTTTACCAAACCTGAAAACAAAGATAATTAAATTCTAAGAAAGAAACTAACAACAATTTAATGTTATTAAAAGATATAACAGTGACCTTGGTCAGATTCATAAATAAAACAATATCACTTTTATTTAGATTTGTGTGGGTAAGAGAACATACCATCCTCACAAGCAGATGCGATCCATTGTCCATCAGGGCTAAATTGTAAGCTGTTAACAGCTAGACGGTGACTTGCATAAGTCACAATGCAGCCTCTTTTTCTGGTATCCCATAATTTTACATTACTGTCACAAGAACCTGTTGTCAAATAATCGCCATATGGATGAAAATCCATACATTTTATAGCTCCTTTGTGTCCAGTGAATGTTCTTAACAATTTAGCTGCTTCCAAGTCCCAAATTTTTAAGGCACCAGTTTGTGATCCTGCACAAACTAAATCTTCTGAATGACCAAAACATACACATTCTACAGGAGTTGTATGTCCACTCAAGCTCTGTAAAGAAAAGTTGCGGAATTACGTTTAATATAGTCATAAAGTTCTACATAAGGGTCTTGGTATTATTTACAATATCTTAACAGTAACAATATATATTTACCATTAGGCAACTTTGCCTTCCAATGGCCCATAAATTAACCTTTTTATCATCGCCACCAGTGGCCAAGACCTGGTTGGACTTGTGGCCCATGGCCAGGCAGTTGACATTTGCTTTGTGAGCAACAAATTCCTCTGAAATAAAATTACTATACAATTAAACAATGAGTTAAGTTATTAATTATAAAATAACTGTGTCACACATACGCAGTTTCCATGATCGTCGAACAGCTTCCATGGTGATGGTAATTCATGTGGATTCCATGTATAGTATACGTAACCTTGTAAAATAACTAGTCTACTCTTATTAAATGCAATGATATTTGCTATATTCACAGCTTTTTACTTCAGGTCTTTCTCAGCTTACACTATTACAATTTACATATTTATTTTACTTAGATATTTATTTGTATACTTTTTAGTTTTCTGCTGCAATACTTCATCACAATCCACCAATAAGAATTGTTCTTCCTGTTAAATGTCACTTTTAGTCTTGCCAGACGAAATCTAAAAGACGCAGTATGTATGAGAGCATGTGAAAAAAGTAAGTACATAGATTCAGGAACAAAGCAATAATTTTGATAATTTTAATGCCAATAATACGTTCTTTCTTATTCGTATATTCATGCGTTAAAATGTCATCTTGTTATACGTTTATTAAACTGTTTACATAAAACTTAATAATTTCTTTATATTCCTATAATCATATTTAACAATAAGTTTTAAGTCTCATGTGAATACCAACGGGCACAAAATAGGATTGCATAATTTTTTATATCATGTACTACAATAGTTCCGTGTCAATGGTTCCTTAAACGTTAGTTAAAGCAAAAATACGCGAAGCCAAATCATAAAAAAATTACAGTCATGCCATTTCATTTCACTCTTAGTTACTAAGATAAAGAAATACTAGGTAGAAGGAAATAGGAAGATAAAGAAATAGGAAGGTATTTCTTTATCTTAGCTTAGTTACCAGGTCATTAAATTAAAAAAAAACATTTCACTCAAACGACGAGCAGTCAATTGTGTGAATAAAGGTCAGGCGGTACAATCTTAGTCGACAATCCTTGGAATGTTACAAAAATAATGAAACCAAATACAATGGTTTTTTATTTCTTCTAAAATTTTAACAACATTACGTACACTTCATTTAGGCGTATAATACGTGTGTACTTCGCCAGTCGATACTTATAGATGTCGTTACTTTCGGTATAATCCGCATAAAACATAAAGTGAGTTGTTTTAGTTTTTATTATCCCGGAACGTATATCACTATTTTCTGGAATCATTATAAAATGACTTTTGGAAACAAAATGTTGCCATTATTTTTTTATACATTGAGTTGGTAGTTATTTTGTATGATAAAATTGATAAATGTAGACTTACATTAAAAATTTTGAAAACTTTAAAATTTTTTTAGCACTTTAATACACACGATTCTAAGAAATACTAACTTAGAGCCTGTATCATTTCATTATTGCCATTGTTTTGGTACTTTTCATCAGCGTTAATGCCGCAACATTTGCAACAGCTGTCGTTATGAATGTTGTCCGTCAACATGACATTCATACCGGCATTTTTTTGGAACTAATAACAATTATTCTCTGATATCTTCATTAATGCGTGAGTTGAGCCTAGGTTCTTCTGATCTTTGTTATCCTTGTGTGTTGTTTTCGAGTAGTATTGAAGTAGAGACACTTATTTTTAACGCTTTATTTTTGTGTTGCAATGTCTGTTAAACGTTGTTGTCTTGAAAAGAAGAAAATAAACGTTTTTTTATACATTGTTTTATTTTACAAAGTTCTAATTGCATACGTATATTTGTACATAAAATAAACAATACTGTATACAATAAGTATTACCTATATTATAGATATGTAGGTATAAATATATCCTTTCAAATGTTGAGTAAGAGAAAAGTTGTTGCTCGCTCCTAACAGATGGCGTTGTTTTGTAATTTCCTCCAAAAGCGATTGAGATATACCTCTATTTCAGTATATTACAATGTACTCTGTGATAAAGGTCAAACAACAGCTGATAGTGAAATAACTGTCAATTCCATTCCAATAAATAATACTATAATCACAATCATACAACCGCTTTAAAATTGACAATATGTTATACCCTCGTTGTGTACGTTTTATTTCCAACTGCACTTCATTTAATAAGTTCTTTCAGGAGCGTCATATTAGTTATATACAAGGCCAGGAACCAGAGCCAAAAATTAGAGAATATTTTTATTACATTGATCACCAAGGAATGGTAAGTATTATATATTATAGTGTTCTAGATCTTTATAAAGAACATTGCATAATGTTCGCGAGTCTAGATATTTACATAGAATCGTGATAGATATATTATTGGATACTATTGGCTCACTATTTTGATTTTTTGTCAACAGTTAAAAATAAATAACATTGTAAATATACAAGTCCTTGATTGTTTCGAATCTTCTCAGTAATTCTAAACTTTTACGATTTAAGTTATTTGAGTTTGATTAATTTGCCTCTTTAGTTATTTTTAGATGACTCAAAAATGAAAAACTTTACATCATGCTTTAAAGAAAAGAAGTTTCTGGAATTTTTTTTCAAGAGGATTCGTCTCAATACTACAGGTAGATATCAAGAATTCCCTTTTATTTCGTTGTGTGGAAGGGAAAGGAATTTTATAAGATGTGATGATCTCCCTATAGTTTTCACAAATATAATACAAGCTCATGACAATGATCTGCTATGTTATGGATATGCAGGGGATTTATTAACTTCACAATTTAAACCTGATAAAATATTTATGTTACCTTCAACTGGTAGAGTTTATCACCCAGCTGAGGATAAATATGGAGGGGTGGGTTTAGTGAAGTCCAAACTAGCTATAGAGTTAAGTAAATATTTTGAATTCCGCTGTGATAAAATACAGTCTCCAACACATTTCAAATGGAAAAGTAATGTGTATGAATTGGATCAGAACTGGTTTCAAGAAACAATAACAAAGTATAAATTAAAAATAAGGTCTGATAGCTAAATATGTAAGAATATTTGGTCTCAGTTATGCCAAAATGTACTAACTGCTGAAAATTGATTTAGAGAAAATGATGTTTAAAGTTTGAACTGTTATTGCTCATGGTGCAACACTCTGAACATTTTTTTATTAATGCCAGTTTGTGCTTTTTGCTTCAAAGTTTGGATACATGTTTAAATTTTTCTGTATTGTTTTCAAATATTCTAATAATTCAAGATAAATGTACTTGGTATGTTTTGGCAAAAATGTATTCATTATGAAATTGGATGTAAATAAGATATACCAAAATGTACCATTTTTTAGCTTTTAAACTTTCAAGTTAAAAACTACTATGTTTTTATAAAATACATAAAATATTTGATTTGAGGGAGAGAACAAAGCAATCTTAATTGCTTGTATAATATAAATATAACAACAGCATAAAAAAAGGTTTTCTTTATTGGTTATACAGCCTAGTTACAGTATTTTATGGTATCAAGTGCATCATAGACTTTATGTCATCAAGTTTAGCCTGGACAATTTCTTTGCCTTGTGGCCACAGTGTTACTAAACTCTCCACATTAAAAGTCAAGCCAACCTGATTTCTGTCATTTTTTAGTGTTCCCTTATAAGATCACTTTCTTGTCCGTCTGTCCGTGTGTCACCACTGATTTTCTCAGAAACGGATAGACCAAGCAAGCTGAAATTTATACCAGATACTGAGGTCTATGGTCCCTGTTAGGTGTATAAAAATCAAGGTCCTGAGTCAACACGATAAAAAGAAAAGGGCAAATATAGATTTTCGCGAAAACTTGTAAGTACCAAAATTTACCTTAATTTTCAACTTTTTTTATTTTTAAGAATTTTCTCTACACTTGTGCTGTGAGACCTTGCTTTTAACCAAAATTGACAATTATAGTATAGTAATTAAATTAAGTAAGTAAGTTAAGTAATTATAGTAAGTATCCTATAGGTTTTGGGTCGAAAACCTATATGGTAGTTCCGTTGACCTAAAATCACGAAATTTGGCAAAAAGAAACGTCTTACAGCACAAATAAAGGAATAATTCCAAAAAATAAAAAAAAATTGAAAAATTTTGGTACTCACAAATTTTCGCGAAAATCTACGTAAAATCTGGGTAGGTATGGAACCCTCGGCGCACGAGTTCGACTCGTACCTGACCGGTTTTTTTATTATTTCTAGTTCTTGAAATTCGCCTTGGTGCTTTTCTCACATATTGCAACTCTTAAAATCTTCTGTTTTCATTTTGATCACTTTTAAAGGATTAACTTTTTTTGGAGTTTTTCATAATATAAACATAGTCTTCGAAAAATGATTTAAGTGTTGTTAGATTCTATAACTTTAATTTATATGAGTGGTCCAACTAGCTTGAATTGTATTTGCTAAATTATTTTTAATAAGTTTTACATAAAGAAAGTGACTCGACTGCACTTGGATCATTTTAGTTGAATATTTTATTTTAATTCACAGAATACAAAATCACTTGGTTCATTTTTGCTGATACTTAAAGATAAAATTGCTTAAATGATCCATGTCCAACTTTGAGACATTTTTTTTGGAAATATTTTATTATTTTCAAACAACCAAAATCATTTGGATCTTATTTATAATATGAAGTTTATACCAAACATTCATGGATCATTTTAGCAGAATTATTTTTTACATACTCCTTATGTGTGGCTTGGTTCGTAAGTACCTTTTTAGTGTCAAATGTGAATAGATCTTGGGCTGTTTTCACTGAGTGGTAATGTATCACATTCTAATCAATTTTTTGTTAATAAGTCATTTTTGATAATTTGTGGGTTGGTACATTTTGGCATAACTAGGTCCATTTATAAAAGCAAATGACTAAACAGTTTCGATTAATGTAATATAATTATACTGTATAATAGTTATTAAAATGTAAATAAAATTATACTTTTAACTGTTATATTTTTTCTTAACCATTTCTATAAATTGCTTTTAAAAATAAATATCTGACTGGAATACCCAGTGAACGCCACTTGTTTAGGAGCAGGTGTTTAGGAGCTGGATAGGGGTAGGCACCTGCTCCTGAACTTGGTATGCTTTATCCTTCCCAATTCCCATAAATCTGCTTGTGTGTAGTATGTATCAATATTAAATAGGTATTATATAATTAAATAAAAATATAAGAATAATCCTCCAAATTTAGGAACTTTCTTACAATGCACTAGCAGGATCTTTTTAACAATTAGTCGCCAGGTGTACAGCCGTAGCCCAGGAAGCATCAATCTACCTACCTCACCATCAAGAATAAACGGATAACGCCATCTTCCGGCATTGAACGCAACTAGTATAACAGCAGCCATTAGATCTACCGATCCGATCTTTCAACAGACTTAATAGCGCCATCTATCAATTTATAAAGTCACTATAATGTTGTGGTCATATTTAAATTGTAAATAGGTATCTTATCCCTTTTCTCTGAACATTCATTAATTATTTTGGAAATATTACTGTAAATCATATTCAATTACAAAAGTGTACTTTATAAAATATATAGGTTATATTCTTATTATTATTGTAATGAGTATGTCAATTTATGTAAGTGTTTCGAATATTTTACATTAATAAGTAAGGGACGTTAGTTTGACTTCCTGATGGCGGTACCTTTTTTGTCCCCTTTTCAGGGAGATGAGAGAGAGAGCTCTTTTGTGTTGGCGTTTGATAATTGTTTTTATGATAAAATATAATAATACCAAGATAGTGCGTGCACTGTGTGTTTCTCATTTTCACTACTGAACACCCTCACACTCATTTAGTTCTATTAGATTAGGTTGTAATCTCAACTAAAACATAATCTCTATCCGTATCTGAATTTCCAATGCCATGTATATCCAAAACGCATAAAAATAATCATTTAACTTCCCTGTCAGATATGAAGTATTACTTCGGAAAAATTGATCCTTCAGGTTGCAATTGCGTTTTGCACTAAGGGGGTTATAATAATAATATTCCAGTAATTAACAGTTATAATATTTTACAACTATTTGTTTGGAACCTATTTACCCTGGTAGGTCCTAATGATGTGACAAACACCGGCGATTGTTACTGAGCCCCCATATCGATGCCTCCTTTTTTTTTTTTTCACCGTGCGGAAATCCCCTCGGATACCACCTATCGGTGGCATGTCGGACTCGAACCAACTAAAACCGCACACCGTCTCGGGTACTAATAGCCGGGAAACCATATCGATACCTCCTAAGTATAATAAGTCAACTGACAGTGTAGTAATTTTACAGGAGAGCGATTTGAAGGCAAATCGTTTATATTTTAATTAAATTAAACCTGTTCGTAATAAATTTAATGTTTATTTAATAAGGATTGGAAGCTCTTCCTTTGGTATAAAAAGATTTTGCTGATTTTTGTTTTTAAATTACATTTTATGTACATGACTGGGTATACGCCAGCGAGACTCAACATTAAAATGGTTTAACTACCAGTTATATTCATGTGCGTTGTATATCAAAATCTATGGCTTTTTTTTTTTTTGTTGACGGGGTGGTAAATCCCTTCGGATCTCCTGCTCCTCGGGGCTAGGAGCTAGGAGTATGTGGTGATTCCACTAAAAACCACCCCGACGGCCGGCCTCAGGTGCCCTACTCTGGGAGGACCCGGACCATGTTATTTCAGGTCCTAAAATCTATGGCTTACTCCAATATATTATGAAATATGATTGTCAATTTGATAATGTCATCCTATTGGTTGTTATCGGGATTTTCTGTCTCACTTAATAATAAAATGTTGGAATTACATCACTTGACTCATTATACTAGGAAAGTACTTAACTTTGTTAGCATTTAAAACCTCAACGTATACTGGACTAACATAATTTACCGAGACTTTTTAATTAGGTACTGATTTGATTTCTATTATAATATCTATGCATAACAATTATGGGATTATTCAACTTCAATATATAACTATAGGTAATCAAAAACAAGATAAGGTGACGATAGCCTTCCGCAAGTAGCCAACGCCTGAGTGCCACCACTGCGATGGCCAGACCGTGGACACGGCTCTCCACACGCTGGCAGAGTGCCCGGCGTGGGTTGAGCAGAGGCGAGACCTCGTGGCGGCCATCGGAGTGGGAGTTCTCTCGCTCAAAAGCCTGATTGCGGCTATCGTGCGGAGCGAGAGTGCGTGGAACTCTGCCGTCTCCTTCTGCGAGCAAGTTATGCTCGCGAAGGAGACGGCGGAGCGGGACCGGGAGAGGTTTAGAACTCTCCCGGCCCGCCAGGCCCGGGAACGGGCCAGGTACCGCAGGCGACTCAGGCGCCGGAGGTCGCAGAACGACCTCCGTCCTCCATAAGCGCAGGCCTGGGGGTGACAGGTGAGGCCATCTGTCACCCTAGCAGAAGCAGGCCGGAGTTTTCCCCCATGTTTCCTTTGCTCCCTAGAGGCGAGCGCGTTGCGAAGCGCGCTCGCTTCTAGGGAGCAAAGGAAACATGGGGTTCCCACACGGGGGGTCGTCTAGTCGTCTGTAGATGGCCCGAGGTATGTCGGGGCACCGAATATCGGTACCGGTACCGAATATCGGTGTCGGGGCACCGAATACGAATATCGGTACCCCTTTGGGTTACGTAGGTCAGATGGCAGTCGGTCCGTGGAAAACTGATATTCAGCTAATAAGCGGTTAGACCAGCGGCCGACCTCACGAAATGTGGAATTAATAGCTAGAAAGAAGCAGAAGAATCATAAACACAAAAAAACTCATTTTATAGAATCACAATGTATTTTTATTCGCTACAATTAGGTGAAAATGAAAATGAAAAATATTTATTTAGAAACAAAGAAAATAAATTACAGGAGTGCTTAACAAGACATAAAATTAGTGTAGCAGATCTTATCAGATAAATATTAAACGCGGTCCCCACACTAGGCAAGCCTGTATCGTGGGGTCCCAGCCAAACGTATTTACATTAAGGTATAGAGCTCCTGCACTTCACAATTTTAAACAAATTAGAAAAACAGAAAAAACA